ATCCCGAGCGGGATACATTGTTTAATGTATCACGATCGGGATACATTTGATTTTAGTCAAGGCCACGTGACCAAGAATCAACCAATGGCAGGCCCTGTTTAGTTGAGTGAAATTCTAGGAATATAACAATAGATGATAGATAGCCAACGAGGCGCATAGCGCCGAGTTGGCTATAATCATTTCATATCCAACAAGCCCGAGTGGAATAATTGTTTTATTAAAAACGCCCACAAAATCTCGTTGAATCGCCCCGACTAGAACAAACCGGAAAAGAGACTTCCGCTATTCACATGTCACACGTCTATCAAAACTGTCAACGCGCGAACAGACTCGCCTGGACTGCATGAATGAAAAATCAACACATTGTAGCGATGAACATTAGTTTTTTAAAAACTCATCGTGATTCTAGGATTTTACACAGCAGAACAGCTTAAAAAACCTGGCAGATAATGTGAAGGAAAGGAATTTTTAAGTGACAGCCGTCGAAATTACAATGAATTTGGATTTTCAGTGCAGTTATAAAAGTAAGAACAACGGAAAAAAACTAGCGGTATTACCTCGGTCGCTTGTTATGAAGTTGTTTGAAGCCACAAGCTGGTTTTGCTGAACGAGAAAAGAAGCTATACTGCCGCCTCGATTGCTCTAGTGAATGGCTGCATAGCCTGTATTTGTAGCTGGTTACTTGTGATTTATATTCTTGATGTCGGATAAACAAGCTGCAGTTATCTATCGGCGAGTGACTCGATCGGCGAATGGCTTCGCGATCATGAAGAAATTAAGAATTTGTTCATGCTTAGCGTGCGTATATCGAGTTATGGATGCACGCAGGAAGTTTGGAGAGCACGAAAGATGCGTAAGAGTTGCACGAGGCGATAGCCGAGTGCAACTCTAGCTTCTTGAGTGCTCTCCAAACTTCCCAAGTGCATCCATAACTCGATATACGCACTGCTAAAGGCATGAGCAAATTCTTTTATAACATAGCTGACAAAAATGCTTGCTTTTTGATGAACTGCAAAATTCTCGTAACGCGCTACACAATAACAAACGGCTCTATAAGCTGATTACGAATGAACACGCCACAATCGTCTAGTTTGAATGAAAATATTCTTTCTGTAAAACTGAGAAAGAAAATTTGCTTCTTTATTCGTTAACGATCAATGGAAACTAAGCAGAAACAAAGGTAAAAGAGTCTTAAAGTTCTCCTAAAGTTAAAATACTGTTCGTAAGAAGTCGTGGAGTATGGTTTGGATTTGCTGAAAAGATGTTTACGTTTTGCTCGGCGAAATCCAGAAAACATGTCTTTGCGAAGACGACTGTCATCCTTCTTTAAACTCATATTCATTTACGAACATGGGCTGGTCATTACGGCTTCTTGAGAAGACCTGGCAGCAGTTGTTTTTGTGAGTAATAAATTTATGTCTTCTTGTGTAATTTGTGTTGTTATTGCGAGAGAAATTTTCCTGCTTCAGTCGGATTGTCCGGAGATAACAAAAGTGCATAGCAAATTTAAAAACAACAACAAAAGCGGAAATTTTACCTTTAAATGTTTTTGATGACTAGTTGGTGTCTGTTCTGTTCCCAGTGAATGTCTTTCGGCCAAAATTTGCTGCAGCTGGTCTTCCGACAAATTTGCGAAACGCGCAACTTGCGAGTTTTTTTTAATTCGACTTTATTCTTGCTGCTTGTTGGATCAGGACCTAAAAGGTCAATGCCGATAGAAAAATTGCGCACTTCTTCGCTGGTTTCTTCCATATTTTAAAGAGAAGGAAAACTGCACTGCAGCTTAAAAGACGACAACTTTGCAGCCAGGTAAAAAAAGAATGCTTACGTCATCTTATTTACGCACGGGCGTGCGTAAATAAAGATTTTGTTCATAGCGGCTCAATAGGACTTATATAGGGCAAGCACGCGCGCTATGTTATAACAACACTTGCCTTCTTTCGTAGCTGGTCAAGGTACTTTAGTTCCATGTGTTTTCATGTATTTTTCGACAAACTTTCAAACAAGCTGTTGTGGCTTTTTTGTTTGTTTTTGTCTTTTTTCTTTCGTTGAAATTGCATTTCTAGTATTCTAAGATATGAATTAAAACGATTTGCTTCGGGCGCCGTTCTATCCTTCGCGAAAAAAAATCTCAGCTAGCTTCCAATTTTAAACTGACGCGTACACCGACCATATAGAGTGTTTTCACATGACGTCACGGCGGCCATATTGGCGTCCCAAAACAATGAAACGGCGGCCATGTTGGTGTCCCAAACCAGTCCTGTGGGAGTTGAACTCTTTTCTTATGCAAACGCTTTCTTTTGTTTCAATAAATTTGCATAGATGCTGGCCACGTGAGTGAAAACACTCTATATGGAGAACATGGTATATTAGCTCATATACCATAACGGCTAAGCCAATCAAAATGCTAGAATTGCATTATCCAATGATTCAGTTTTTAATAAAATACAATATACTCAATGAGCATCCGGCGAAACCAATACTGTATACCTTTCAATTAATTAAATACTACATAGAGAAATATCAACAAATTATTGACGACCAAGCTTGGCTGTAACCAAAAAGAAAGTGAAAACGCGGTTTGTCTATATTTAATAATTCATTTTGTTTATTTAATTCACTTCATCTTACTCTTTAATGAGGTAATAATAGGTACCTCGATAACACTAGAACACATCATTTTTTGGCTTTGTAACCTGAAACAGTTAAATTTTTGGCATTTTAACACTAACAGTAAAAAAGTCTTTGAAACAGTAAATTTTTACCAGAAAGAAGCAAAAACGGTTCCAAAAAGGCCAACATTATTCGGCCATTTTACGGCAATTCTGGATTATTTCAGAAGATTTCCGAAGACTAACAAAGAGGTCCGACCATTGCCTAAGATGTCCGAAGAACCAACCAAACACTTCTCAGTAACTTCTTCGGAAGCAGTAAACACTAAAAAATTGGCCAATTTAACAGCAAACACTAAAAATTATGGGCAAATAACACTGAACACTAAACCCCATTCAGACCCTCTTTAATTTAGTCAGGAAATTAATGACTTTCTACTACTTTTGGGTGTAACCAAAACTAAAACCACAAGTACTCTTTTTTTGCGATCGAATAGAGTAAATTACTCAGTAAAGTTACCATGTTATCCAAATGAACTCAGTCAGCGGTCATGTGCACTGTGCAGTGCAGGACCGAGCCGCGATCAGTTTGTCACTTAACCAACCACGCCATCAAATTTAAGAAGGTGAAAAACTAAAGATGATAAACTATGTGACATAGTTTTTCATTTCACTAAGTCAGAGAATTTGCGAGAAAACTTGCTCATGAGAACGAAAGCGAGACAAGCTTAGATCACGAACGAAGATGTCCTTTCACCAATACTGCCTTAACTGTCGAGATGAACAAAGTAACTTTCATATTATTCCTTGTAATATATCATACGTCCTATGTAACTTTAGAACTCTTTTACGGCAGTACCACCTTCTATCAAATTGATACTTTTTGCATTTACCATCTAAGTTATACACTAAGTCCTACTATGGCTCTTGACACTAAGAATAGCGATATATCATATGGCATGTTATATGTATATTAACCAATAGAGATCGACGCAGTGTACCATTTATTTCAACAAGTGGTAAAACAAAGGTCAATGGAGAAACCTTGTCCACTTTTATTTCTGCCCTGCCGTATTTTTTTTTTTTGTCAATTAGATAGCTTTTATCATTATATTAATAAATATATTATTATTATTGTTGCTATTAACTGCTTTAAACGTTTTTACATTTCTTTCAATTCAGAGTCGCTATATACACATCGGCAATGGTTTTATGTCCACTTTTATGGGAGGTAAAATGGTGAAAATAGGGGGATTTATTCTATCACAGTCCGTATGACATACATTAGAGCGATTTTCGTATGACCTTGAAAACTGGTTTCGGTAAGTGTTCGTTATTTGTTTTATCAGGCAATGGATGAAAAGATCAAAACATGTACTCTTCGTTTTCCCGCCAAAGAAAACCGTAATATGGAGAAGGCATCAGGGTTCGATTGGTCAATAGTGTCGCAGTATGACGTCAAAACAAAGTATCGATTGATTTCTAGAAAGTTCTTGGGCATGAAGTTTTTTCATCCGAGCGTTCGCTTAACCAACCAAAAGCCACGCGCGTTTGTATCCGTCCGAAAAACCAATCAAATCGCTCTATTTTCGTTCGTTTGTTGTTTCTGTCTTGTTCGCGCGTTTTCATTTCAAGGTCATACGAAAGTCGCTCTAACATATAGGGTAAGCAAAGCGCGGGTAGTTTTTGGTGTTACTACCCAGACACTAGAGAACTTTAGATTCCAAGACGAAGACGAAGACGAATACGAGAACGAGATTTTCTCAATATTAGTCGTGCGCGTGCGTGAACAAGCGTCATTTTGGCGGGAAAACTACCGGTTTCATCGAGAATATCGTAGTGTATTTTCTGTGCTCGCGATCGGGAGAAGGCTTAATCTCCTTCAACAAAAACAACCGTGCTATCTTTTCTGGTGAAGAAAAGTACAACGAAGAAGTATTCCAAGGTGTCTTGTTTTAGTATGCGCCAAAAAAATTACCGTACAGTTAAATCTCTCCTCTTCTTCGAATCTAGAGGTCTCCAATTTTGCTCAACATGTACCAAGCCAAACAGCCCCTCAAATTTTAAATGAGTCACAAAACCGGAAACAGCTCAAAGTAGCAGCCCAAGATCCGCTGTTACACAGACCTACACTTGGATTACATCATCAAGGGCGTTATCCTTGGTTTCTTTTGTGTTATTGTTTAGGGACGTCTCAGTTAGATTATTTGGTGGCGAACGAGCATCCTTGATACTCATCAAAGAAAGCGCTAAGTTTGCTTGTCCAGATTTGCCCTTCGTTGGACTTTGTGGTAATGCATAAGCATTCGTTTTACGAGAGGCACCTGTTACAAACCTCAAAATATTTACGTAGTTGTTTTTTGAAGAGCCAAATTGCCAGAAATTGTTCAGGGTTGCAAAAAACGCCTTGCGATATCTTTTATTCAGGAGAATATAAAGACATGGATTTAAAGCACTGTTTGCATGTGCTATCCAGTAGAATAGCAGCTGAACCTTAAACGGTAACTTGTGCGATTGATCCGGTCGTACGAACCGAAAGTAGTGATTCACATAGACTGGAAACCAGCATACTGCAAATACCACGCATGTGATGACCAGCAGACGTGTTACCTTGCGTTTTAACCTTTTTTCAGCAGCGAGGTTGGTATCCGTCACATTTCCTGGAATCTTACGCAGCCATAATTTTCGGCAAATTAAGCAGTTGATGATTATTGTCATGGTGAGAGGTAACGCGTATATAATGACAAAAACGCATATGTGAAAGATCTTTCGCACTCTATATGTTTCGCTCAAGTCTGTGTCGTTTGGTGGTGCCCATGGCCACTCCTGAAAACAATAGTATACGCCTGGTTGCCGTTCTCTTGTTTGAAACAATAAAACATATGGAGTCATTAACCCAAAAGATAAAACCCATATGGTTGATGACAAGACTTTCGGCTTTCGGAAAAGTTTCCCTTTTAAAGGGTAAAATACGGCGTAAAATCTGTCAAACGAAATCAGCATCATTGTAAAAACAGTAGCGGAAATAAAAACAGGCATGACATAATGCAACCCTTTGCAAGTAATGCTACCCAACGTTCCTCCGATCCAAAGACGCCCACGGTACAAAAAGGCGACCGTATATGGCATAATCGTGGTTGTTAGGAGCAGATCTGCAACGGCCATGTTGCCAATGAACAGGTTTGTCACGCTGGTAGATGAAAATTTCTTTAACACCACGTAGAGACCGACCGAGTTACCAAACAGAGCTACAAAGAAAATTACTGCATACGCTGACGTTACGCCAATCTTGAGGTCTAGTGGGATAACGACTGCACTTTGTCTGCTTGGTTGTGGTGGGAGTAGGGTTACGTTCGAAGAGTGAGTGATGTTTGTTTCTAAAGAAGAACCAAAATAACCTGTTAAGTTCATAGCAAATGAATGTAAATCAAATCAAAATTCGGAGCTTCAGTTTAAAGGGAACCTCCACTCTTACTACAGAATAAGTTCAAATCGAATAAAATTATGTTGATAAACAAATTTGTTCGAAATTTGTCTTAAAAAAAGTGTTTATATCAGGAAAAGTGAATTTTAAAATCGCTTATTTTCACTTTCAAATTTCGCGGGCGCCGCCATCTTGAATAATTGTGACGTGTTACGGTTGCTCTATTGTTCTGACACAAAAAGCTTTTGTTTAATAACAATAGGGCAACCATTACACGTTACAATTATTCAAGATGGCGACGCCTGCAAAATTTGAAAACAAAAATAGGCGAATCTAAAAGTTATTTCTTTCGGATACAAACGCTTTCTTTAAAAAGATTTTAGATTGACTTGACTGTAACAGTTATTTCCTGTGATTTAAAGTTATCTTTTTGTTGAAGTGGAGGTTCCCTTTAAACGATTGAAAAAAACAATACAGAGCTACTAAACTTTAGCTCGCTGGTACATCACGTTATTCAATACAGTGGAACACCGCCTCGCGGCCACTTCGGTAATACAGTCACTTCGTTATTAAGGCCACTTTTTTTGGCTGCACGGCAAAACGGCCATAAACTTTCTTGTAAAAAAACCTTGTTAATACGGCCATGTTTCTTTGTTAACGGGGTTCCACTGAAGCAAGAAAATTAGAAATGAGCCGCCGTGAGACGGAAGACCGTTAACTTTCTAACCACTGAGTGACGTTTACTCTTTGGCATTCAGGCTAACTGATACTCGAGTAACAGTACAAAATATTAGTTTTTGAACTTTCAAAACAGCCCAGCTCAGGCTGAACATCCCATCAGAATATAACTGATGACTTCTTGCCTTTAGGATCCTTTGGATCGTCAGGATCTCTTTTGCTGGGATTTCCGCCCTCGTTCCTTGCGGCTTTGCCGCTCGCCCCTTACGCGAGCTCTCGATCTACTGTCAGTGATTTAAAAGAAAAATAAGAGACTGTTGGTGGAAAAAACCTATAGCGGATAGTGTTAAATAATACAACTGGAAGATCATTTTTGAAATTAAGTTGATGCGAACACACGTTTTTTCCGCTTTTTAAGAAGATAAAAAATAGCGCGACATAGCCACATTAAGCTAAAATACTTTCTTCTTCCTGAAGCTGATTTTACTTACCGTTAAATCCTGTTAAGTTGTTCATTTTGGATCTTGGAGATTTAAAATTTCCACAAGAGAATGGTAGTCGGAACCTTAAAAAAATAAGAAATGAACTTCAAAGAATAACTCCATGCTCGCTAGGCCTTTCCCGATTGTGCTCGTAAAATGCTGGAAAGTTGCTAACTGGAATGCCAAAAAGTTGCTAAAAAATTGCCAAGAATCCAAAAAGTTGCTGCCTAAATTTCAAAAGTTGCCACCTGAATTTCTTGATATTTTTATATAAAAGTTGATTAAAAGCTTTATTTTTCGTTTTTCACAATAATTTCTAACATCAGTTAAGAAAAATAGCTGGAAACTTAGCTATTTTTAATTCAAAAACAAGAAATTAAAAAAAAAAGAAAAATAAAAAAAAAAATTGATAAACATTCAAGACATTCGCATGAACTGAAGTTTTCTATGCAATTTTTGACTTTTTCGTACTTGATATGTGCTCTAAACCTAAAATTTGCTCAAAAGTTGCTCAGAAAGGCAAGTTTGCTCGAGGTTGCTAGAACCGCAAAAAGTTGCTCCAAACGCCAAAACGTTGCTCAAAAGTTGCCGAGCACAATCGGGAAAGGCCTAATGTTCGCCTCCCCCCACGCACCATTTCCGAAAACATCCATAAAAGACCTTCAGAGAGGTTTAAAAGCTTGCAAAAGCTTCAACTTGAGATGAAAAGCTCAAAATTTAGTGAAATATCGACATAGACCATGGGTTTTGAAATTCAGGACAGGGGATGTAAGTATCCCCCCATTCCCCCCTCCTCCTTAACCATTTAAGCCCCAAGATCAACATACAAATTCTCTACACAGGCCTCCATACATTTCTTGAAAAACTGCTTGAGAGAATTTGTCAAAGATCAAAGCATTTCCTTCTGTGATCATTTCATTAATTCTCATAACCTTTCTTCTTGATTATAACTGATATTGTTAAGAGAAAATATGATGTTGGTCACTCATGGGACTTAAAGGGTTAACAGGGCCACCTTATTCTCACTTAATTTCGCGAGAATTCAATATCGCGAAAAATCATGGGCCATATTTCGCGAGCATCTAATTTCTCGATATTTAGGGATCTGTAGCGATTTTTAGATTTCGAGAGTATTAAATTTAGCGATTTTTTGCCAATCGCGAAACTCGCGTAGTTTAATACTCGCGAAACTAAGTGAGAATGAGTTAATTACGAGTGGGTGGGGGCGGCCATTTTGAGAAAGCTCAGAGGATTCTCTAACCGATCCCCTTGATTCATCCTAGCTTTTTACACGTTGTGAGAGTGAGCTCCCCCAACCGATTGATGTGGAGACTACGAATATTCTAGCTACAAATAGTGCCAAAGTTCACCACATAACTCTACAGACTAGTGGTTTCAAGATTGCTGTTCACTATTTACGGCTGTTACATTCAATTTCAATTCATTGCTTTGGCCTACTTTCATGAGTAACACACCCTTTTCTGAACGTGACCCCACAAAACCAATCAAGGTATCTGACTTCTCAGTATTCGCTGGCTCGATGGTTTTACTGTTACTGAAAAATTTCGAAAATAAGCCCCTCCATGTATAAGTCCCTCAAACTCGTAACGCAAAAAACCCTCTGTTAAATCGACCATCCAAATATAACCCCCCCCCCCGGGGGTTGGTACTTGGAAATTGCCCTTAAAGACAAAGTAAAACAAAGCAAAAACGGTAAATTTCCTTCAAACTAGAAGGGAAGCCCAATCGATTTTGAATCGCAAATTTTCCTTCGGAGATAAGCCACTCCGAATATAACCCCCTCCAAAAATAAGCTCCTCAAAAAGGGCCTTTGAAAAATATAAGTCCGGGCCGGGGCTTATTTTCGAAATCTAACGGTATGTTACCGGGGGATTTCAAGTCTCAGTCTTTAATTTGGTGAGTTAGTTATATTATTTTTAGCTATTTAGGGAGTATGAAATTCCTTATTGGTAATGTTTCCTTTCTAGTCATTTTTGTAAAGACCCATAAACATTCAAATAAAACTGAATCAGATGCATTTCTCTCATTTAAAGCAGAAAGAAAGACTTAGTACGAAATACCTGACAAATGATTTTCCGAATTCGTTTTCCTCTCTGTTTCAGCTCTATTGAAGCTGGTTGAAAAAGTCAACAAATACAAAACTCTGAACAGGATGTCTAAACTATGACGGGCGAACATAATATATCATTCTAATCTACCTAGCAGGTGTTACATTTAGTTTTAGATTATTGGCTATGAACAATTTAAGTTAAATTCGCTTTCGCGTGTTATTAAATGTCTCGGCTGTTGCCGAAAACAAAGCGCAAAAATAAAGAAACGATTCAGCAAACTTTTAAATGTATTCTAATGTATTCATGATTTATGAATTGAGTTCGGCACGGCAGTAGCTCAACGTTTGAAACCAAGTCGAGCTACTGCCGTGTAGCCGTGCAGTTTCTTGCTTCATTAACAAAGCCTTGTGTATTCCACCTTTTTCAATGTCAAGTTTGAAGTAAAGATAACTAACGATATCTATTGATATTTTCACAAATCATGATACTTATATTAGTTCCGTCTAGTTTTTTAAAGTTATGAATATAAACGCCTCCTATTTATTAAAAACCCCCTCTTGGACCCCTAAATTTAAATAAACGCAGAGTTTTTGCCATAGGTAAGAGCTGAAACGACTGGTATCTATCTATTAGATCTTTTACTTGCGCAGATGAATTATCAAGAAATTGGTTTCATCGCTTTTAAACCTAAATAAATTGCACAGGACGAAATTTCAAGAATCCGTAAATGGAAACTTAACGTAAACACGTAAAACCGTTGCGGAAACATGACGGTAATCACATGTTTCCGTTAGCGGATACATTACGTTTCCGTCAAATTTCCGTCTAAGCAAACACGTATTTCCGCAAGAGTAAATGCGTGGCATCCTTGCGGAAACACGCGAAAACGTTCCGGAAACAATTCAATTTCATGTTTCCGTCAACGTAATCGGATGTAACTATTGCGGAAACACGAGTTTACGAGTCGGGAACTGGTGTTTTCAAGTTATTTCCATCGTGAAAAAAGCGCTTTTCACCATCTTGGGGTGGTTTTCCCGCCATCTATAGTTACAAAAACCCATTCTCTCGACATTTTTATTGCACAAAATAATACCACAGCAATCTTTCCAAGTACTTTCTTTATTCTTCTTGCTTCCTAAACTGACAATCAGGTCTTCTTATGGTATTTATTCATTACATTGGTCAAGTTAAATTACATTTTAAATGTGAGTGCCTATTCACACTAGCAATGAACAGGAATAGTAAGAGGCTTCCTTTGGGAAATCCACTAGAAATTTTCTGTAGGACTACGTAGTGTTTTTTTGGCAAAGAAAATGTCAAATCTGTTAACAAATTAATATCCTTTATAGCAGATAGTCACTTTCATGTGCAGTTTATGGCTAGTGATATGTTTGGCTGTCTATAACAATTATTTCAACAAAGTGGAATATGATTTGTCGGGTGAATGTACATTGTAGTCCTGAGCAGGACTGTCGTTGACAGCGACTAACGTTTAGACAACAAGGTGATCATCATTTTCATGGGCATTGTCAAAACATCAGTTCCTGTCAACAGTCCCACTAAGTGCTATACTAACCTGTATGACCATATACCACTTACTCATATGACCATTCTGCTTCAGGATAATTTTATAATTATGGTGTCAGGAAATATTCTTACTCTTCTAACATGGTGGTCTAAACTACACAATTTTCTATGACCACTGCAAAGATTGAAATGCAAAAAATACATCAACAAACAAAGTATGGCTACAGTTTTACATAATACAAGTCTGCTAAAACGGTTTATGTGTTTCATGTGTACGTTTTAGGTCACTTCTATGCTGAAGTCATTACTTAGGGCGCTTTCCATTTGTCAAAACTGACCGGCCAGAACATTCCAGTAGTAACGAGAATTTCACTTTTAATCACAACTATCCAACTAGATCAGTCAAAACCTAAATACTAATGCACAAAGGTGATGGTTTTTCAGCAAAAACTCTTCGGAAAAAGCTATTTCATTGTCAAAATAACTGCTCCAGCCATGGTCCAGCCGGCCAGTTCCGACTTTTGGAAAGCGCCCTTAGTGTCTTTACCCTCACACAAAATGCTTGGCTTGTAGAGTTATGAAGAAGATACATGCATCAAGCCAATTTCATCAAGAAGCACAAACCATAATAATTCTTGGTGATTTATGCAGTCACAGCATTATTTTAACCTTGAAAAAGTTGGCCAAGTTTCAATCCATGATCATCTTTGTCATACATAACAAGAGGTGATGGGAAACAGTGCCAATGCCTCAATTAAGTTTTAAATAACAGAACTGGACCATTATTTTTGGAACTTAATTTAAGCCAAGACACATTTAAGCCTCTCAAAGAACAAAATATAGTATAGCATAACCTAGCCCTTTTAAAGCAATATAAAATGCCTTTCTGGAAAAGATGTTCACAAAGTTCTAATAATTATTATTGTTATAAATGATTATGCGTTACTGACCAACATTCAGTCAAGATGCCTGGATATTGGCCAGGCTCTTTTTTGCGAGGCCAATACCCAGCTATCTTTACCGAACAAGCTTGATTGGTTTGCCCACTTGAGTAGCCAATTAGAACACAGGATTTGCTTCACCTTGCCCGCTCACGGATTCAACCATAAAATTGTAATAAATAATTATGCTTTATTGACCGGGTGTGAGGTTAAGATGGCTGGATATTTGCGTCTTTATTGACCCTGCCTTCCCTTGCAAGGTTGTGCTCTAAGAAAAATTGAAGGCAGTCCAGCACTCTGAACTTGTGAAATCCAGTGTGCCCAGCAAATGATTTCTATGAAAAACCAAAGATTTTCTAGTCGCCTGAGAACAAAAGTTACAGATGTAGGCGTAACGGGCCACAGAGCACAGCCTGGTCTTGGTCAATAAAAATACAAAAATGAATGAGGTCAATATTCAGCCATCTTGAATGAACAACCTTGGTCAATAAATGAATTATTACATGGCCAAGAAGAGAACTTTTACTTGCGGGACCAACGCAGGAAATCCCAAGTGGGCAAAATGGGCTCACCTTGCCCCCTTGGGTAGCCAATTAGAGTGCAAGGTTTGCTTCACCTTGCCCACTCAAGGTAGCAGTTGGACATTTTTTGTCTTTAGCATAGAAGTAGTATTTCAAGATTAACATTTGCAGAACTGGACTAAGCATAAAGCACAGTAACTTGAGACTGAAATTAAGTTCCATGAACCAGCCTGCTTTGAGAGAACGTTCTACACCAACATCACATACCAAGGTGATCTGCCTGGCCTGTTGTATGAAAAACAAAACAAAGTGCTAATAAGTAAAACACAGAAGCTATTCCCCAGGCTATCGGGGGAGGGGGGGGAGGGAAAACCTTTTAGCAGTAAGACAACTTTACTAATGTAGATATTCTCATACGAATAAAAAATACTAAATGAGTAATATACATATAATTTACTGGCCGCTTATTATTTTTGACAACTCAGCTGTCTACTTCAAAACTTTCTGACAACCCTGATTCATCACATTACAATAATTTTACATGCATACAGTTGTGTTTCATAGTAATAGCTAGTACATTACGTTGCCCGCAACCTGCAACGTTAAGACTATGGACCAGGGGTTACATGTACATGTAAATGTAAACAGAGGCTGTCTATGATTACCAGTACCAGCAACAAAAAGCCTACTTTTCAAGGGCACAACCTCCCTCAGGTTGAACATTATCATCTACACGTACAGGGTCAATACCAGGCGAAGCAGGGGAAAGTAACAAGGTCTGGGTGCAAGAAATGATGTTCTCACAACTTGTAAAGCGATAACCCTGGTGGGCAGCAGATAATTTACTGCAGTAAATGTATACTTCTGGTGTACAATGTATTACGCAAAACAAAGTTCCCATCAAACTCCCCCGAACAAAACAGTTTGGCCATCAAACAATATCAAACCAGCTTTCTGGAGAGTTTGATGCCTGAACAAAATCGAAACAAACCAAATTATATTGGAAAAAAATAAAATGTGAAAACTGAGTCAACTCAACAAGCCAGGGAAATCTGACAAGTGCTGGATTCAGAATATGCTACAATATTATTGAGGCCCACTAAGGAGTGAAGAGTAATAACTGAGATGATTCCTAAGATGATTTCAACTTGCAGATTTAAAGACTTTTTCCTTGGTAAACAAAATGTTTATTTTAGAATTTAACTCTGAAATGGAAATAATAAAAGAAGCAGGATCTTACATCGCCTTGACTGCTTTCACACTAGATCAATAATTAACACACTTGTCATCAATTGCTTGGAACTGAAACGCTTGTTTTTGTTCCATTCGAGTGTTCCTTATGTGAGTTCCACTTTGTTTGATAACCCAACTCAATGTTTGACTGACTTCAAAAATCAAATGATCTATTCAATTTTTTTTTGTGAGTGGGTTTTGTTGAATGGCTGAGCTGCATCAAACTCTTTCATTCGAAAGAGTTTGATCTAGCTTGAAAGCCAAACATTCAATGTGATATGCTGGATATACATGTACATGTGTTTCCTAAAGTAAATATTTTAGCAGTGAGAGGCGAACCAACAGAGAAAATAAGTCAATAATTGACAAAAATATCATGCCTCTTTGTTTTTCTCACATGTTGTAATTGTTTCTTGGTATTGAAGACGCAAGGGAAACTAAAAAAAATGTGACAGTCACCGCAACCATGTAACATCTTAACTGACGACAATGTATGCTGAGCTATGAGTGTGGATATTCAAGGAATGATCAGTAAACAAATCTGCTGGTTGCTTTGCAAGTTGTGGGAACATTGTTTGGATTTCAAGAGAACATATTTAAGGAGTACCCTCCTTCCCCCTGGTCAATATGATGTTTTCATAGAACTGCAGGGTAATACAGGATAAATAAAAGTGGTTTTACTAGTTTAACTCCACTGCTGGTTTTGCTGTCCACTGAAATGAAGACTTAGGGCGCTTTCCATTTGTCAGAACTGACCGGCCAAACCATTCCCAACACAATGAGAATTTCCATTTTAATCAAATCTCTCCAGCCAGATCAGTCAAATCCTAAGTAGTATGCACCAAGGAAATGGTTGTTCAGCAAAAACTCTTGGCAAAAGCGTATTTCAATATCAAACCGACTGGTTGGACAATGGTCCGGCTGGCCAGTTCCGACAAATGGAAAGTGCTCTTAAAGTCTGGATCACTCTGTTACAGTCGATTTCACATTATTTACCACACCATGTTGCAAAGTTCGTTGGAAAATTGGGTACTACATCACGAAGTAGCCAATTACTTAGCAAGTTAGGGAATCAAATTGCGAACTTCAAGACATAGTTGTCAACTACGACTGAGCTTCACAAGTTTGCTCAACAGTAACTTCACTTTCCAATTGTTTTAATCACCGAGTTCTCGTCAAAGAAGTACCTATTCCTGGGATCACAGTTACTGAAAAAAAATATATGCTTCAACTTTTTCTTGAGCGTTCTCAGTCAAGCATTATCATATTATTAGATTAAGCTCTCTTTTGGAACTATTGTCAACTCTTTGCAAGAGTAACCGAAATCACGTGTCAATACATGACTTATCGAACCTTTGCGGGTCAACAACCTGATTTTCGATTAAATGTTTTTGTATTTCCGTAGCATACATACTTGGTCATCGCTGTTTAAAAAACTCTGTGTAGGGGCTTCCTGGACATATGAAACGATCAACAATATTTGTTACCGTCCTTCTCAGTAAATTAAACTGGTGCACTATTTGGAATGGTTTCAAACCCCAGTGATTTTGTTACCTCTGCATCTTGTGTCCCTCACACAAAAAATTATCCAAAGACGCAAAATAATTCATGGCATGCATCCCGTAGGATGCAAAGGATGATCGATCGATTTGAAGATTTGTTGGTAGAATATCCTGTTTGTGCGATTTCTGTAGCTGTTGTTTAAAGATGTATATAATCATTTTAGTCTTTTTGTGCTTTAAATATATAGGACTATATTTTCATTTTAGTAAACTGTCACAAAAAGTCTTGGCATCTGTCTCCAGATTAACTGTCTGGTTAAAAGGCCCATACCAAGCATTTTCAATTAAGGACTCCCTGTTTTTTAACTGGGACTCACTGGTTGTGCATGTGGACAGGCCAGAACTCTTGACTATTCACAAAATGAGTCTCAGGACTCACCATGCATATACTATTTGTAACAAAATCACTGGAACCCTCTAACCATTTTTCTACAATCATTTCACAGACCTCACAGTGCAGCGCCTTGCCTTGTTTAGTAAGAGGATTCAGGTTCATTATGTTGCAGTTTCCTGCTCGGGAAATTACTGTACTTATCAATCACAGCTTTGTGTCAACAAATATGTCTCCCAAGCATTATCTCAAATGCTACAGACCACAAAAATGAAATATGGAAAACTGTTAAGCTTACCTCGTCTTACTATCGGTATTCCATCACAATCCTCCGCCTTTGTCTCACATTCTGCTCCATTGTGTCAGAAAAGAGTCGCTTTACGAGGAAAGCGATCTATTACTGAAGGCCGATGGGTCGCTAAATATACATAACAACCCTTAGATGTCTTGTGGTATCATCAGAAAGCAAAAATATACCGATTCCACGCTCCTAGAACCCATAGAAGCTACTATAGGTACTAGCAAGGCATTGTGGGCTTGTCGTGTATATGGCATTCAGCCATGAAGTACGCGCCCAAAATGGACGCCAAAAAGAATGACCGTAATGAGCATGAGCAAAGGAAAAGTCCGCTGACCAGCACTCCGCTCTGTTCTAGGCCCCATTCTCTCCTGTTTTCTCTGTTGTTTTCTCCGTCTAAGAGCATTTTAGTTTTACGCCAGTACTAGTACTGATTAACATCAATCTAGCAAATATTGAAAGCTGTTGGTAAGCTCTGCGATTTTTACCACTTAGAATGGAAAGCAATGGCAACCTCGCACACTTCACAGTCTTTGTATCAATGCAACGCGCGCGAGTAATGCATGAGAACCGTTTAATCTCGAGAGTAAATTTACCTTTATTCACCTTGATTGTACGCCAAGGCAAAGTTTACGAAACATTGATCATGCGATCTTGGACATGGGTTAAAAAAAAGAAAAAAATTCGTCACCTGAAACGTAACGGAAACAAGAAAGAACGGAAATGTGATGACAGAAATGTGGCGGAAACATGATCGTTCGTTTCCGACGTGGAAACATGGCGGAAACGCGTCCCGTCCATGGAAAACTAGATCACCATGTTTCCGCAGGGCGGAAACGTGACGGATATAAGCAACTTCCCGTTTCCGTCGAGTTTACAAAATACGGAAACACGTTATTTCGTCCTGTGTTGCCTGCAGGCGTATGAGGCTGTTTAATTATTTACCAATTACAATGATGCTTTTCGGCTTATTCATGGTGTTTCCATCATTTGTCGTCAAAAATTGAAAAGTATATTTGTAACTATGAACTTAGTTATTTTCCGAGCGTCACCAGTTCTTACGGGGAAGATGTATTGACTGTATTGGTTAGAAATAAAAAAAAGCCCGCCAAAATTGCTTTTTATTAGCCTGCTAATATACAGGCGTCTCCGCTCACTCCCCGTTGCGAGAGACATTTCGCGAAACTCATCCGTTCCAGTCGGCGAGGAGCGACGAGGGACGGCTGAATTCGCAGGCAATATATATTTAGGCTCGATTACCAACCACTTTTCGGGAAATGCGCCCGCGCTTCTCTCCCGTACAGGCTGTTGCAATCTGCACAACATTTTTAAACAATTTTTAAATCGTTTTTTGGTAGCCTTATTCTCTCCACCCGCCCGCTGAAAAAGGCAAATAGAAAAAACGCCAAAAAACGAACGCTTCGAGAGCTGGCCTCAATAATTGCTAATTTGCATAATCTTTCTAGTTCTGTAAAAATAAAACAGAAACTGCGGTAACAAACATGATGAAACAACGCATGTTGCAAAAAACTAAGATTTTAAAGACTTGACGTTTCGTACGTAACAACATACATCTTCAGAAGTGGCGGTTAAAAAGATTACAGGGTGTCCCAGAAGTTCGTTCCTCTACTTTATAAGTCTGTATTTCAGTGCGATTGGACTTGGTAAGCAAATCATTGAAACAAAAGTTGTGTCTTTCAATCTAATTCACTTTTTTCATACTTGTTATGCCATCTTTTGACTCGAATATTCGATTTGTGTACTTCCGCGTTAAAGGTGCGCGTGCGCGAGTGTATTTTCCAGCCACATATTTTTTGTATTTCATAACCTGAATTGCTCGAACTCCTTCCTTGTTTTTTGTGAATATCACGAAAGATAAACCCCCTTAACGCAAAAACGTTCAGTTGCGTGAGAGCATAAACCTGTATACGTCGATTTACTGGCTTATTTGTTGTAGAAACTGCTACAAAAACTGGAAAAAAACAAATGTTGGGTAGTAGAATGATCATGGAGAAATGAAGGGTTTGAAGGCAAGAAACTAAGGGGAAGACCAAAGGGCCCCGAACAAAGCAGCTACAATAGTTTTAAAGAGGGCTAGGTACAAAATAGGAGACTCGTTAAGGAAGCTCAGTCTCAAATAGTTAGCAAGCCAAATAAAAGGGGAAAAGGGAAAAGCTGTTTAAAATGTTTGAAATTATAGTCCCCTGAGATGCCAAAAAGACTTCTACTTAGCCTGCCAATTAACGCCCAGCTCGTTTCAAATTTGTAAAGAATTACAAAAGCCTTGCTGTGGATGGGGGACGCGATGATTATCTTTTTTGGATGAATGCCCAAAATATATTTTTTCCAGCTGTCTAAACTAAACAAATATTGTTTGGGGATTGAACTGGATCCTGCTTACCAGGTGATAAAAAAGCTCAAAATGGATCATTTGTGGGTCTACACGCTGTATCCCACTTCATGCCGCAACGGCGACAGAATGTGAAAAAAAAAAAAAATAAAAAGGGCATACCAGTTATTGAAATTCTGAATACATGTACTTGAGAGAGAAATATATATCTTCTAGAAATTTCATGTAAAAATAAAGTTTTGATCAAAAGGAGGAACGAACTTTTGGGACACCCTGTACAGTAAAATTTAAACATCTAGAAAAAGACTGGAACCAAAACAACAGGTAAAAACAATAACTAATGACAACAAATGATGATGACAGACTCAATTTGAAGTCTGCAGGAAATTATAATATATGATGCTAGAAGAGAAAAAGTTTTGCACTGCCGACATTTTCATATAAAGCAGGTTTTAAATCACGAATTCATAAAGTTTCTTTCAGTTTATTTTACAGTCTGATTTCCGGTTGTTAATATCTCAAGGTGATGCCGTTTAACTTTGGGCCCGTTGAAGAAATATGATCTGCAATGGCAGAAGTGTGGCAATTCCAGCAGCTGGCCTTGTACACTACCTTAGACTTGAGTGAGCGGCTAAGTTTTCTAGTTCTAAGCTTTCTAGTTCTTCTTCGTATGCAGGCTTCTTCTTTTCTGGTACTGCTCTTGGTGGGTGTTGTACTGGTTGAACATTAAATTTGAACTGGATACGATATGGTAAGGCCCGCCAGGTAACTTCCTTATGCCCTCAAACACATCTTTGTATTATCAGACAACACGTACTTTATCTTTAGTAACAGGTAATTAATGTCTCTTCCCATTCAGGATAACAGCATCGCAAGGGGCAAATTCACTTTATGTGAGTTTGGTCGTAGGGCAATAGTGCTTTTGACTTGTGGGGCACTGCTCACAGAGGCCAGGGATCAGGAGCAACCCAACGAGAATATAGTTCAAAACCACTTAATAAACGTAGCATTGTTAAACGTATTTTAGTATTTAAACGGTAGATATAGGCATATTTTTTCTTGGTCCGTCGAGCAAAAAGACTTTTTTCGTTGGAAGTCTTCTTTATCGTTATCCGAAATTTAGGCCTCCAAAAGGCGTGTGTTACTTGTATTAAAAGAACAGAATTAATACGTTTTTTTAAACAGACTCGGTCGCCCCATGCAACGGAATCCAAGACAGTCTTGGATTCTGGATCGGATTCCACGCTGTGGATTCCGGATTCTAGGTACGGGATTCTAATCTGTTGTCATTGGAACTTGGATTCCGGATTCCATTTGCTGGTAGGATTCCGGATTTCGCAAGTAAAATTTTCTGGGATTCCGGATTCCACATTTAAAGCCAAAATTTCTAGGATTCCGGAATCCAGAGTCCCTTTCATGGGACGAACTCTGCGAAGATTAGCCTGTACACAGACGTTACTTTATTTTTCTTTTCGTTTTCGAAAGCTTCTTTTTCCCCCACGCCTACCCCCTTGCGCTGGTGGTCAACAAATCCCCCACGGTTTTTATTTTTTATCACGCGCGCACGACGAACTTTGAAGAGAAAATAGAGGGTCTGTGAATAGGCTATGCGAAGGTGGACAAACATGCTTTATAGATCACGCAACACCCTCTGGGTTACTGGGTTAATAATTGATAGTGTTCATTTTTTCCCACTAATCTACCCATTTTATAAACTGGACGTGCTACGCAGCCCAGTTAACAAAACGCGCACCCGCCCGTGAAGTACTGGGAGGAGTGTAATCGGGACCCTGCGTTAAGCAATCTCAACCCCGGTGTTGGCCTTGAAGGATCCTTGTGTAGCGTTGCAGTTGTGTCCTCCGTTGCAGTTTGGTCCTCTCACCTATCAAGCATTCGTTTTTATTTCTTCCAATCAAAGTGCGTTGTGATCGTGTCTTCATGTGACTTCCCAACTAGGGGAGGGCTGTAGTATGAGTTTTTTTCGTTTCGTTTTGCTGATCCGGTGGAAGACTTGTGTATGAAACAGTTTTCGAGCGTTTTCGCCGATGGGTTTTTGGAGAATTTTACAGGAGTGAAGTGTGTTCGAAACCGTCCTCGGTCAACGCATATGTCCATATGTTGGAGAGCTAAAAAGCCTGGGACAAGAATGAAAGCACAAGCCTCGTGCCCAAATAAAGCGAGAGTTCGAAGAAGGACAGTAGCAAAAAGATGCAGTAAGAACAGGAGCACCCAACTACAACTATTGGAAAATATCTGTTCGGAAGACGATTTGAGATCTAGAATTTTCGGAACATTTGTTGTTAAATTTCTTGCTTGCCTGCCTCTCCTAGGATTTTCGCACCCCCCAAAAATGGTATAATTGCCCATTTTTAATGGATTTTTACCCTAAAAAGGTCACCTAGAATTTTCAGGCGCCTTTTTTGTGGTTGAAATATTCGAAGACAAGGTAAGTTTTGATCCCTATAATTTTCGAATCACTAGGCTTTCAGCTAGGAAATCCGAACAGATGAAAAATTTTTAGGGGATAAAAAATTGCCTATATCTACCGTTTAAATACTAAAATACGTTCAACAATGCTATTTTTTAAGTGGTTTTGAACTATATTCTCGTTGGGTACCCCTGTAAGAAGAAGAAGAGATGATATGATTTTCGAGCTTCTGAGTTAAGGGGTTATTTGCAGTTCTTTTAAAAGGCTTTTTTATACAAGGATTAGGTCATGTTACAGATAAGCTCAAGCTAGGCTAGCTCTTATTTTTATACATGTAGATCGTGGAGTTGTGAGCATAAAGAACGATCAACAAATATTGACTTAACTTGGCTGTAACCAAGAAGAAAGTGAAAACTCGTTTTGTCAATTTTTAATAATTCATTTCGTTTATTTAATTCAATTCATCCCACCCTTTCCATGTAATTCAGTCAGGAAATTAATGACTTTCTACTACACAAGATTAGCTGTAACCAAAACGAAAACCACGAGTACTATTTGTTTGCGTTCGAATAGAGTAAATTACTCAGTAAAGTTACCATGTTATCCAACTGAATGACATCAGTCAGCGGTCACGTGCACTGTGATGAGGACAGGTCCGCGATCAGACAGGATCAGTTAGCCTGTTCCAAGCGTTCAGATAGTGGAGAGCAGTGCGAAGTAAAGAAAGCGATAAAAAGAGGGGGACTGGGGAGTTTACTTCGCAGCGCTCCCCACTATCTGAACGCCTGGAACAGGCTAGGATAAGTTTGTCATTTAACCAACGACGTCAAATTTAAGGAGGTGACGTGACAACTGTTTCATCACCTCTGTAAGGTTCACAAGTCACACTTTGCGAGAAACATTGGTCGTGGGAACGAAAGCAAGACAAGCTTAGCTCATGAACGAAGAAGATATCCTTTCACCTATACTGCCTTAATTGACGAGATCAATTGCAACAGAGTAACTTTCGTATCATTCCTTGTAATACATTGTAAGTCCTATGTAACTTAAGAACCCTTTTACTCCTATATCACTTCCTATCAAATTTATACCTTTTGCATTTACCATCTAAGTTATACACTAAAATTAGCGACAAATCGCATGGCATGCTATATGTATATTTAACAATTATTCCTCGAGACCGGCTCTGCTCTGCCGAATCAATAGCTATTGACTCAGAGGCCATGGGGGCGAGAGGGATAATTGTTTTAGTAAAATCCAAGTACTTGGTCAAAAATATTGCGACAAAACAACTATAGCTAGTTCAAGCTAGACTTTAATCCTTTTTTGCCACCAAAAAGCCGGCGCTTTTCGCTACTGGTGGGCTATAACATAAAATCTAGTAGTAGCTCAACCAATCAGAACACAGATTTGATAATAGACCACTAGTTGGATTTTACTAATAACCAATAGAGATCGACGCAGTGTTCCATTTATTCCAACACAAACCCTGTGTTGGAGAATTAATTCAACAGGTGGAAATAATGGTCAATGGAGAAACCTTGTCTTTTTTTATTTCTGCCCTGCCGCGGGAACATTAAATATTCTGTGTTGTTGTTATTTTTTTTGTCAATTGCTTTTTAGGAAACTGGGTGTGAAAGGTATTAACTGCTCTAAAAGTTAATTATGACTTTTACATTTCTTTGAATTCAGAGTCGCTATGTACACTTCATGATCAGCAATTGTTTTATGGGAGGTAAAATGTTGAAAATGGGGGGATTTATTCTATCACGGCCCGCAGGATAGGTCTTTGCCACAGGGCAATGAGTCAGAGGCACCCAACGTCAATTTTTGGAAACATCTGTTCGGAAGACGATTTGAGATCTAGAATTTTCGGAACATTTGTTCTAACATTTCCAGCTTGCCTGCCTCTCCTAGGAATTTCGAACATTTACAAAATGGTATAATTGCCAATTTTTAACGGATTTTTAGCCTAAAAAGGTCACTTAGGATTTTCGGGAGCCTTTTTTCTGGCTGAAATTTTCGAAAAGGTAAGTTTTGATCCCTGTAATTTTCGGATCACTAGACTTTCAGCTAGAAAATCCGAACAGATAAAAAATTTTTAGGGGATAAAAATATGCCTATATCTACCTTTTAAATACTAAAATACGTTCAACAATGCTATGTTTAAGTGGTTTTGAACTATATTCTCGTTGGGTGCTACTGATGAGTAAACGCGCTCGAGCAACGTTTAACGATTATGCTAATTTCATTGGATACTGTATCATCTTTTAAGTTCCCACAGGGGCCAATTTATTTCAAGCCCCTTTGAGGGGGTGGGGGTTTATTTACATCCAGCGAAGATGATGACACCAATCCTCCATAGAGAACTAGAATACAAAGTGTTGTAGGTCATGCAGCTGAAGCATGTGAATAAATCATACCGGATCATTCCGCATGAAGTGTTACATTTTTAACGAATAGAGAGAAGAATTTTGACGTCAAGTTACCATGGTAGCCAAATTTCTGGATGACAACAATAAGGCTCCTGGGCCGAGATTAAGCAACGACGTCGGCGACAGTAACGAGAACGGCAAAAAAAAACCTCGATAAGTTTAGATTAGCAAAACAACAACTTTGCACGTGCATCACGCTTTTTTTGTACATTTCTTAGCCGTCATTGCAGTACTGCGACATGAAACTTCCTAATTTCACGCGGCCTCTTCACGGAGTAAGTGAACACAACACAAAAAGTTTATTTTTGTTTTTCTAAACTCAGATACGGTCCTTTTGGATTAAATCCAGAAAATTTTGCTAACATTTGACAAATTAAATGAAGCTGAATAAGATCAATGAAGTTTGAATGAGTGAAGTGAATTTTCAGTTTGTTGTCATCCAAAAATGTTGCTACCATGGCAACGTGACGTAAAGACTTCTCCTCTTTATTATTAAGAAACAAACAGTTTGTCATCTAAAAAAAGCCGAGGGAGAGGGTAAGGGGAGCTTCAAAGACTGAAGGGGACTTAATAATTTTTCTCCCCTGAAAAGGGAGGGGGCTTATTGAAAAAGGGGGGCTTTACATTCGTTGTCCGGTATCCAGTACGATACCACAGGTGAAACTGGCAATATTGCTTACTGAACGAAACACTGACTATGAGCCCCAGTGGGAACTTAAAAGAAGATATACGGTATCAGGAGCCTATGATGGGCTCCTGACGGTATCCAATGAAATTAGCCGGCACAACCGGTGTACGTTGCTCGAGCGCATTTACACATTTCCCTGTATGACAAGCAAACTGACCTATCGTACCGGACTCTGTTAGAATAAATCTCCATACTCAAACCAGCATCCAAATTTTTGTTAATTTACAATACCCTTGTTGGCTCTAACTCTTTCCAAACTTGGTCTGAAAGTACAAAATATTGACAATGTTATATCTTCATTTTATCATCAATAAGAGAACAGATGATAAAAAACTGGCGTCAATTCAGTTAAATATCACATACATTTACATATCCGGTACACGAGCTTTTTAAGGTGTGAGAAGAACACTATCAGTGTGCTAGTATCCAGACACTAGAGACCTCAGTTTAGATTCTGAGACTAGGGTGACTACGAGAACGAGATTTTTTTCAATACTAGTGAACCATTCCAGGGTGTCTAGGTTTTGAGAATACGCAAAAAACGTAAAGTTAACTGTCGTCCTTGTCTATCTAAAGGTTTCCAATGTTGTTCTTGCACCAAGTGCACGTACAGCCCCCTGTAAATGACTCAGAAAGTCGAAAACAGCTCAGAGCAGCAGCCCAAGTTCTGCTGCTTCCCAGACCAACACTTAGATTGCCTCGGTGACGACGTCATCCTTGGTTTCTTTTGTGTTATTATTCAGGGAAGTCTTAGTCCGGCCATTTGGTGGCGAACGGTTCTCTCTGACACTCATCAAAGAAAGCGATAAGTTTGTTTGTCCAGATTTGGCCTTCGTTGGGCTTTGTGGTAACGTATAAGCATCGGTTTTACGCTGAGTCGCAACTGTTAAAAACCTCTTATTATTTGACTTAGTGTCACTGCAATTGTTTTTTGAGGAACCAAATTGCAGTAAATTGTGCAGGGTTGCTTGAAACTTTTGGCGAAATTTTTCATTCAGTAGAATGTAAAGGCATGGATTTAAAGCGCTGTTTGCATGTGCTATCCAGTTGAATAGCATCTGAACTCTAATTGGCAACTTGTGTTTTTGATCAGATCGTACGTACGAGAAGTAATGATTCACATAGACTGGAAACCAGCAGACTGCAAATACCACGCATGTGATGACAAGCAAACGTATAACCTTGCGTTTTAACCTTTTTTCAGCAGCGAGTTTGCTATCTGTTACATTTCCTGGAATCTTACGCAGCCACAATTTTCGGCAAATTAAGAAGTAAATAAATAATGTTACTGAGAGAGGTAACGCGTACAGTATGACAAAAAGGCATATGTGAAAGCTTTTTAACACTTTATATGTTTCGGTGAAGTCTGTGTCGTTTGGTGGTGCCCATGGCCACTCCTGCCAACAATAGTATACGCCTGGTTGTACCTCAGTTGTTTGAAACATTAAAACGTAAGGAGTCATCAACCCAAAAGATGAGATCCATATAATTGCTGACAAAACTTTTGGCTTTTGGAAGAATTTCTCTTTCCACGGGTAAAATACGGCGTAAAATCTGTCAAACGAAATCAGCATCATTGTAAACACAGAGGCGGAAATAGAAACTGGCATGACATAAAAAAACGCTTTGCAAGTAATAGTACCCAACGTTCCTCCTATCCAAAGAGTGATGCCATGGTACAAAAAGGCGACCGAAAACGGCATAATCGTGATAGTTAGCAGCAGATCTGCAACGGCCATGTTGCCAATGAACAGGTTTGTCACGCTGGTGGATGAAGATTCCTTTTTAATTACCACCACGTAGAAACCAACCGAGTTGCCAAATAGAGCTACGAGGAAAATTACCACATATGCTGACGTTAGGCCAATCTTGAGGTCTAGTGGAATACCGACGCTGTCTGTTACGTTTGAGGCGTGAGTGATGTTTGTTTCTAAAGAAGAGCCAGACAAATTGTTAATTTTAAAGCAAATGAATATAAATCAAATCATTTGATTTATATTCAGAATTCGGAGCTTCAGTTTAAACCATTGAAAGAACAATACAGACCTACTAAACTTTAGCTTGCTGGTACATCATGTTATACAACAGTAAAAAATAAGAAATTAGAATGTGAGACGGAGGACTGACTTAACTTTAAAATCGGGTACTCTAACGACTGAGTCACGTTCACTCTTTGCATTCCGGCTCACTGATAGTCATGTAACAGTACCGTGACAAAAATCAGTTTTTGGCCTTTCAAAAGAGCCCAGTTCAGGCTGAACATCCCATCAGAATATAACTGATGATGTCTTGCCTTTAGATTGTCACGTCCTTCCCCTTCCAGCTCCCCCATGAGGCTAAATCAGTGTAATGTAGAGACCCTAACCGGGACGTTGGGTTAGTATGATGTCATAATCGCTCTCGAAAATGTTAGTCGACTAGAAGTCTGTAAGATTTGTACTGCTGTTAAGACTAAGATAAATTGTTTCGTACGTTTACACCTCTTTCATTGTCCTGTTTACTAGACACCCCAAGCTTTAATTTATCAAAGTATAATTTTTATTAAAAAAAGTTGGATTTTTATTATTTGAAGGGAAGTTTATTCCGCTTTTTACCTGAGAAAGAAAGGATCATTATCGATGATTTCGGGGAAAAGGGAAATAAAATTCGGAGAAAGCTTAAGTCCTGGTCGCCCTTAAAGAAACCTTACCTCGATTTTTGGTATCGCTGCAACACTGTAAAGGTATATCTAATTTTGGCGGGGATTTTCGCAGTGGATAGCATGAAAACGTGAACAAGTTGGCCCAGAATTTTCAAGTTTCAAACCCCATGCCTATCCTTAACATTCGTAGCAAGGAAACAGTTTCCATACCAGGACCATACTAGACCGAGAGCGGTCGTCCTTCTTTGAAAAAGTGAAAAAGTAAAATTATGCAAATTAATGGAAAAAGAGGAGGAGAGATTGGGGCGGAAAAAGAAAAAAGGACTGGAGAACTAGAGGGTGAACCAAACAGCAGTAAACAAACAATCGAAGACAAGCTGTTTCTTTACAGGAAAAAGCATGCGAAATGATGTCAATTGTCAGAAAGGAAGGAGTTGTCAATAACAGCAATTAAGAAGGCGTGAAAAGAAGCAAATTTTACTTTTTCTTTGCTCGGACTTCCGCCCTCGTTCCTCGCCGCTTCGCCGCCCGCTCCTTACGCGTGCTTACGATCTACTGTGATTCAAAGAAAAATAAGAGACTTCTCGAAAGACCATACGTATATCGGAAAGTGTTAAATAATAAAACTGGTCCATTATTTTTGAAATTCAGTTGATGCGAATACACGTTTTATCTTTTTTTTTAAAATGACGAAAAAAAGACGATAAAAGACGATAGAAAATAGCGTGACATAGCCACGTTGGGTTAAAAAACTTTCCTCTTCCTCTAGCTGATTTTACTTACCATTAAATCCTGATGAGTGGTTCATTTTAGATTTCCGAAGATTTAAAACTTCTATGACAAAGGAAAGAAATAAATTTCCTCAGGAGCACAATAACTCCATTCCCTCCTCCCCGCCTCTGTGTATCATTTCCGAAACAGGCATAAAAGACCTCGATGATCTTTAAAGGCTTGTAAAATCTTCAACTTGAGATGAAAAGCTCAAACTTCAGTGAAGTATCGACATGGAGATGGCTTTTTTAAATTCAGGATAAGGGACATATGTATCCCCCCTCCAGGAGCCCATATATACCCAGGAGCGAGCAACTTCCATGCGCTCGTGTCACGGCTTTTTTACGGACCAGTTTATTTTTAGAACGGTTTTGGAATTTGAATTTTGAACATCTTTTAAATTCCACAAACCAGTCAGCAAAACCTACGGGACCTAAAAGTGATATTTTTTCCTTTTAATAAAGTTAATTTTTTTCCTTTTTGATATCCTATAATTCGAATGCGCTCATAGACATGGTGGAGATTCTATTATCGCGGGAAAAAGTGCCCTGTGTCTAAAAATAAACCGTTCCGTAAAAACGCCGTGACATAGGCCTAGTATGGGAGTTGCTCGCTACGGGTTAGGGGTTAGTTTACTACCTGAGGGTGGGGGCGGTCATTTTGAAAAGGCTCAGAGGATAACCGATCCCCCAATTCATTCTAGCTTTTTAGAAATGACCCCCCATGAATTTTACATGTTTTGAAAGCGATCCCCCCCAACCTATTGATGTGAAGACTACGAATATTCTAGCTACAAATAGTGCCGAAGTTCACCACATAAGTTATCTACAGACTAGTGTTTTTAAGATTCATTTGGTGTTTATTATTTAATGCTGTTACATTCAGTCTCAATTCACCCTCGTTACCTGCTTTGACCTACTTTCATGAAGTAATGCACCCTTTTCTGAAAATGACTCGCAAAACAAATCATGCAAGATTTTGAAAATGATCCCCGAGCAAAATGGCCGCTCCCCTTAGAGGTAATATACGACCATTATGGCTCTTGCCAGCCCCTCCCCCCCATTAAGTTTCATACTGACATCTCAGTGTTCGCTGGCTCGATGGTTCTACTCTTCCAAGTTAATCATTTTACGTCACCGGTGGATTTCTAGTCTCAGTCTTTAACTTGGTGAGTTAGTTATATATTTTTTAGCTATTTAGGAAGGATGAAATTCCCTTTTGGTATTGTTTCCTTTCTATTCATTTCTGCAAGATACATATTAAGCTGATTTGAATAAAACTGAATCCGGATGCAGTTCTCTCATTTAAAGCACCAGCAAAGAGTTAGTATGAAATACCTGACAACTGATGGTTTTCAGAATTCTAATCCCCCGTTTACCTCTCTGTCACTGTTTCAGCTCTATTGAAGCTCGGGTTGAAAAAGTCAATAAACACAAACCTTTGAATAGGCGAGCACAATATATACATTCTACGTTGCGGCAGATGTTAAGTTTAATAAATTTTTGGATTTGGTCTTTATGAACAATTTAAGTTAAATACGCTTTCGCATGTTATTAAATGTTTGATCGAGTCTTAAGAAGGGGAAGATATGTCAAGTAATTACTGCTAAAATTTCTTCAGTGCGCTAATGATGAAATGAACTGGCAGTCAAAGGTGGTTAAATTCTTCAACTAGCATCTCTTTAACGACATATTATAACTGTTAATAAATGTTTCTTGCTCAATATCAACTGGAAATATTAATCAAAATGTCTATCAAACAAACAGCAATAAGATAACCAACTTTACAAACCACCATCAGATGGCTATTGTAATAGGGAACCGAGAGGAAAGGTGGCGTAGTTAACACTTGCTTTTCCCCAATGTGACACGCGATCGTGTACATGTTTATGTACTTAATTATTTGGGGGTTCAGATTTTTCTTCTCATACGAACTTCAATTTTTTCCCCTTGTTTCTCGACAGAATGTGGTACGCACAAACACTCAGAGCTGTTGACGAGCTCCTACGTAGGAGCTCCTACTGAGGTGTTTATTGTAAGTTTTCTTGTTAACGCTGATTGGCCTGTAATGCTCTGGGTGGGCGAGAGGGGCGAGAAGTAGTCCTTTTTTCTTTTTTTAATTAAAATGGTACCCTAATCAAAATTTTTGCCGATATGATGCCTCGAATGCGCTGAATACCCGGTCAGTTTAGATCAGGAGCAATATTATGGTTTCGTTGTATCAGTAGAAACTTTTTGGGGAATAGCGAGGAAAACCCCACCCAAAAAGGGGCCTGGAAGTGCACGAACAGCCCGACCGGAAGTGACTAGCTAGTAAACCTGTATCGAGAGAACTTTGCTCTTAGAGGACTGAATACGAATAGATGGACCATGGATTGTCCCGGACTGAACAAAATAGGTATACAGTCACCCAAAGGTATTAAAACTGATTCCCCAGATCATGTTCATGCACTTACTGACTTCACCAACTGCTCATTGTTTTCAGTTCATCAAATTTTCCCACTTCGTGGAAATTGCTGAGGTAATACTACTCATGAAGGAAAGGGATTATGAAATGATCTAGGGCCTGTTTCAAACGCCGCGTGCGCGACTGGAGCACGACACTAGTACGACTTGGTTTCAGACGTCGAATTTAATTCAGTCCAAAAGAACGGCTGTTGCTGAAAACAAAACACAAAACTGAAAGAAACGATTTAGCAAATTTTTAAATGTATTCTAATTTATTCATAATTTTTGAATTGAGTTCGGCACGGCGGTAGCACGACGTTTGAAACCAAGTCGAGCTACTGCCGCTTAGCCGTGCAATTTCTTGCTTGATTAACAAAGCCTTGTGTATTCCACCTTGTTCAATGTCACTTTTAAAGTAAAGATAAGCTAACGATGTCAACACAATGACCTTGAACGAGGGTTTTGACGTCGAAGTTGAGATTTGAAAGAAGTGAATATGGATCTCTAGATGGCCTAGACGTATCGATAGGTGGAGTGGATACTGATGTTTATAAACTCTATTGTTATTTTCACAAAGCATGTTTTTTAATTTAGTTCCGTTTAATTTGTTAAAGTTATGAGTATAAACGCCTCCTATCTACTCAGTAAACGCCCCCTCTTGGACCCCTAAATTAAAATAAACGTTCTGAGTTTTTGCTAATGGGAGAGCCCCGGGGGGGGGTACTCCCATACATTACCTATATGGGTATGTGCCGCCCAACGGGGTCGTGATTTTGAAGCTCCTGATTTAGAATGGGGTATCCATTTCAGAGGCGTTTTCTAGAACGGGGTATAATGTTTCGAATGCACGAAAGCTCCAGTTTTGTATGCAGCCATTTGAAATTATTTAAGGTCAGATTACGTTTAAAAATATGGTTCAATGCGTTAACAAGCAAACTGTTGTACTCTTTGCACCTTAGAACGGAGTATAAAAAATTGGCTTATTTTTAAAACGGGGTATCAGTTTTAGGGCGAATTCTAGAACGGGGTATCAATTTTAGGGGAATTTTTTTTTAGAACGGGGTGCCAATTTGGAGTCCCGGGCGGCACATACCCACCCAAAAAATACCCAAGTGCCCCCCCCCCGGGGGGAGAGCTGAGAAGACGGGCATCTATCTATTAGATCATTTTCGTACGCAGATGAATTGTCAAGAATCATCGCTACTAAACCTAAATCAATCGCCTGCATGCATATGAGCCTGTTTAATTATTTGCCAATTAATGCGTTTCGACTCATTTATGATGTTTCCATCATTTGTCATCAAAAATTGGAAAGTATATTCATATTAGTGACTAAGAATTTAGCTTTTAGCAAACTTTTAAAGCACCTGTTCTTACGGGGGAGTTATATTGACTATGTTGGTTAGAAATATTAATACTAAAAAGCCTGCCTGCCATTCCACCTTGTTTACTGTCAAGTTCAAAGGTTCTGACGTCGAAGTTGAGATTTGAAAGAGCAAGAATGTGGATCTCTAGATGGCCTAGACGTATCGATAGATGGAGTGAATACTGATATTTATAAATTCTATTGATATTTTCGCAAAGCATGTTACCAGGTTACTTAGTTCCGTTTAGTTTGTTAAAGTTATGAATATAAACGCCCCCTCTTGGACCCCTGAATTTAAATAAACGCAGAGTTTTTGCCGTAGGTAGAGCTGAAACGACAGGCATCTATCCATTAGATCATTTACGTACGCAGATGAATTATCAAGAAATTGGTTTCATCGCTATTAAACCTATTGTAAATAAATTGCCTGCAGGCATATGAGCCTGTTTAATTATTTGCCAATTAATGCGTTTCGGCTTATTTATGGTGTGTCCATCATTTGTTGTCAAGAAATTGGAAAGCATATTATATTTGTAACTTTGAACTTAGCTGTTTTTTCGAGCGTCACCCGTTCCTGTGGGGAAGATATATTAATTGAGTATATTGGATAGAAATAACAAAAAATGCCTGCCAAAATTGCTTTTTATTAGCCTGCTCATATACAGGCGTTCCGCGAAACTCCGCTCTTGTCGGCGAGGAGCGACGAGGGACGGCTGTATTCGCAGGCTCGATTACCAACCGCTGTTTGGGAAATGCACCCGCGCTTCTCTCCCGTACAGGCTGTTAATAAGGCAAATACAAAAATCGCCAAACAACGAACGCTTCGAGAACTGGCCTCAATAATTGCTAATTTGCATAATCTTTCTAATTCTGTAAAACTGAAACTGCGGTAACAAACATGATGAAACAACGCATGTTGTAAAAAACTAAGATTTTAAAGACTCAGTGACGTTTCGTATGTAACAACGTACATCTTCAGAAGTGACGGTTAAAAAGATTACGGTAAAATTTCAAAATCTAGAAAAAGACTGGAACCAAGTCTGCAGTTTGAAGTCTGCGGCAAATTATAATATATGATGCTAGAAGAGAAAACGTTTTTCACTGCCAATATTTTCATTTAAGGCAGGTTTTAATTCACGAATCAATAAAATTTCTTTCAGTTCATTTTACAGTCTGATTTCCGGTTGTTTAAAAATACCTATTAATATATCTATTTAAAATATTTATATATCTATAAAAAGAGATATTATATATCTATTAATATAGATATTAAAATATCTCAAAGTGATGTCATTTAGCATTGGGGCGCGTTGAAAAAATATGGTCTGCAATGGCAGAAGTGTGCACTGTAAGGGGCAAATTCACTTTATGTGAGTTTGGTCGTAGCGCAACAGTGCTTTTGACTTGTAGGGGAGGCACAGAGGCCAGGGATACCTCTGAGAATGCACGACCATGTAATGTATCCTTCGTATACTTCTTGGGCTGTTTTTCGCCCCAGGATAAGATATTCTCGTGTGTCTGTCACTTGACACATGGCGATCTGAGGCTCTTTGGCTGTTACCGAGTGTGGATTGCAATTAATTGTGAACGCTCCTAGATTTGCAATAGGAAATTACCGATATCAGAAGATCTGCACCGAGGTAGAAGCACTAATCATCTCCTGGTAGGAGTTAGTACCTTATCAGGGGCACCAAACGAGAATATAGTTCAAAACCACTTAAACATAGCATTGTTCAACGTATTTTAGTAGTTAAACCTGGGTAGATATAGGCATATTTTTATCCCCTAAAAATGTTTCATCTGTTCGGATTTCCTAGCTGAAAGTTTAGTGATACGAAAATTATAGGGATCAAGTCTTACCTTATCGTAAATTTCAGCCACAAAAAAGGCTCCCGAAAATTCTAGGTGACCTTTTTAGGGTAAAAATCCGTTATAAATGGGCAATTATACCATTTTTTAGATGTTCGAAAATCCTAGGAGAAGTAGGCAAGCAAGAAATTTTACAACAAATGTTCCGAAAATTCTCGTCTTCCGAACAGATATTTTCCGAAAATTGTCGTTGGGTGCCCTTACCTTATCTACAAAATAAATAAGGATTTGTCTAGACTACCAACAGTCTCTCGTTTTTCTTGGTCCGTCGAGCAAAACGCCTTTTTTACGTCGGAAGTCTTCTTTATCCTTATCCGAAATTTCAAAAATTTAGACCTCCAAAAGGCGTGTGTTGCTTATATTAAAAGATCAGAATCACTTTTTTCTTCAACAGACTTGGTCGGCTTGCTTAGGAGGCTATGCGCGAGTCCCCTGCGCGGTTTCTGTGGACGAGCCAGTGGAACGCCTGGCGAAAAAGAAAAATCATGTGTTTTGCTCGAGACAACTCGAGACATCACTGAACGTCTTGGCTAACTGAAGTGCGGTTACCGCCGGGTTTGAGCTGTTGTCATGGTTCACTATGGCTACTTTTCTACAAGTTTAACGCAGCGAGCTGTCGTGTTTTTAATTCTGGTTTATGTGAATTTGCACGCCCTGAGTGAACAAGACTTTGTGTTCGGCAGAGAGAAGTATGTAGAGCAAAATGTTTCGATAAATCTGGAGCACTCTGTTTTCACTGTTAGTGAAAAGTTTCTTTCCGTAGCAATTGATGCGAGTATGATGAGGAATCATTGGCCCCACATCAATTTTACTTCTGAGAAATTTTATACCCTCGCGAGAGGTCTTTCCCCAGCTTTTCTTCGTGTGGGTGGCACATCCGCAGATTTTTTGATCTATGATGATTCTTCTGGCTATAATACGTTCAAGAATGTTACAAATTTTACAATAACGAACGAGGATTTGGATAAGATTCATCTGCTTTCTTCTAAGGCGAACTGGAATGTTATGTTTGGATTGAATGTGCTTCTACGGCAGAAGGATAGATCTTGGAATGCGAGTAACCCCAAACAAATTATGCAGTATGTTGCTGAAAGTGATTATCATTTTGGTTGGGAGCTTGGAAATGGTAAATTAAAAATAGGAATAAACTGGATGTGTAAATGTAGTGGATATTAATTTTAGGGATGATTTTTACCTTACCCTTGAAATAGATAGTATGGTTAACCAGGCAGTATTACACTCTGATTTCACTTTTTTCTTTTGTTTACTTGTAACTATTTGGCAGTAAGTTTGTAGATGCAGGTTTAGATACTCTTTCATGGGTTACTTGAAATCATTCTATCCTTAGTTTTGAATTCTATTTACTTTGGACTTTTGGGTATTGTACTGTATGGAAAGGAGTTAAATATAAACGAAAATGACAATTAAATCAAGGATGAAACAGAGAATACAACACATGCTGTGGCTCAATATTTTACCTGATTTGATTACATTTTCCTTTGTTTATAATACAGGGGGCAGTGGGGTCTGCTAGAGCACAGGCTTTTTGACTGTGAATTTTAAATTTAATTTAATTTATGTCCATGGAGTGTAGCATTTGTCAAGAAAAAACAAAAACAAAAGACAAAAACAAACCTGACAAAACAAATAAAGTATAGTTAATCATCAATTTCTTTATAAAGCTACATGCAAACAGACATGACATTTTTGGCTCCAGAATGTTGGGAGTGGTTGGATAGTGCTGGCATTGGTTTGCAAAGGATTCAAGGACTGATTTTCATGGAGACAATGTGTTATGTGTGTGTCTGGCCCCAACAATGTTGGGAGAGCTGTGCAAACATTTTAGTGCTATGCTTTGGAGATCATGGAACAAATGAAATGCCTGGAGTTGTTGGCTCAAAAGTTTGATGAGTTTCAAACTTTGTGCAACAACTCCCAACTACACGCAATGACATTGCAACAAGGTTTGCAAACGGATGCTAGATGTAACACTTGACAAAGTTGGGCGTTGTTGGCCAGCATTAATGTTGCATCTGTTTGCATAGAGCTTAAAGGGGATTTAGTCAAGGGAGACCAGTGGATTTTGCACATGTTCCATAGTTCTCTATTTCCAAAGGGAAGTGAATGGTTTTCAAAATGCATGGTGTATTTTAGTTGAACTTCAGTAGGTCTAACAAAATCAGTTATCATGGTTTCTCTGCAAATTAGTCTTTTTCTGCTCCACATTAAATTTGGCTAGGTTTTCATGATCATGTAAAAAAAGTAAGATTCAGGTTGCAATATATTGCATACTTTTCTCTTAGACCTGTCAAAATTTATTTCCTTTTTTGTCACTTTAAGAACCTAACCTCTTTGATGATTTCAATAAGTCACTGTCTCCAGACGATCTTGCAAGTGACTTCCACACATTGAGAGAAATTCTGAAAAGCAGCCCTCAGTTTGGAAATTGTCTTGTTGGCCCTGACGTTACCCGGATTCAGAATTATTCTAAAAGTGCAAGCTATCTTGAAAGGTAATCTAATGTTAAACCCCCTTCCGTTCATTGCTTTGTTTCTTTATTATAGAGCCTGATCATTTCAAGACATATTTTAACAAGTCTGTATCTACAGAGGAGCTAGCAGAAGACTTTAAAACCTTAAGGGCAATTCTTGAAAGCACTCCTCAGTTTGGAAACTTTCTTGTTGGCCCTGATGTTACGACAGTGGGGAATCACTCCAGAGCTGCATTGTTCTTGGAAAGGTGAAGTTCTGAAATGGTTAGAATTTGGCCAAATAGCTGGCTCTTACCAGGTGTTAAACACTGTCAGTGTAAAGAATAACACTGCAGTGACCTTGAGATGGGGACAGCTTTTAGTCTAATGGTGCTTAAGACTATCCAGCTCAGGGAAGTTGTTGTCAACTTTAATAACCGTACCCTCAATTAAATAAGTTCTTCCCTTTGAATTAGAGCCCCCCGTGAATCTATTAGGACATGGAATAGAAGTATTCAACACAAGAATTTACTTAGATAATAAATTGTAGAGGAGACAGACTTTGAGTGTGACCCCACCCAGAAAATTAATAATGAAGTAAGGACCCCACTTTCAATTAGTGCCCCTAAGAAGATACCTTTTTTGACTTGGCAGCTTAATTTAAACACACGAGAAAAAACAAGGTACACTGTTACTAGCAAAATTGTTGAGGTTTGTTAATAAAGGCGGAGCTTGAGCATTGTTGAGAAAATGTCAGTCATTCTATACACTTTATCTGATTTCCTTATCATGATCTCTCTGCTGTTAATTCTCCCTGTAGTGAATTACTAGCAGCCTTTTTTAAGAATTCAGGTAGTGGGGAGTGGCACAAATAGGAAGCGGAGGATACCATTCTCTTTGCACCGCCCTCACTATATGAACATGAACAAGGAACAGGCTAAAAGTAATCACAATGAGGTAGTTTACACAACCTAAATAAGTGAACTTGTGCAAATTCTCGACTTTCATTGGAGATAAGAAATATGAGTATTTGCCACCATGTTACTATTATCATTGTTTTGTTATCCTCTGTTTACGATTGTAATTGCATTCTCTTGTTTTCCATTTTTTAGTTTTGTTTCCCGAGCTAAAGATGTCATTGATGCAGTTACTTGGCACCAGTGAGTAAACTTAGATGTGAATTATTGTAATGAATGTTTGTGTTATTTCCCCATTTTGATTGTTTGTTATTATTTTTTTCTTGTTAGGTACTACCTTGATGGAAGAACTTGTACTATGAAAGATTTTTACAATCCTGATGTATTGGATAAATTACTGTATGAGCTGGAGGAAGCCAATGAAATCTTGGATAAACTAGATCCAGGTACACCCAGGTGGCTGGGAGAGACTAGCAGTGCTTATGGAGGCGGGGCTCCTGGATTGTCTGACAGATATGGTGCAGGATTCTTGTAAGTTTACTTTCAACAATATTATTTTCAGTGGAAGTAACATTTTTTCTTCTTAGCATCAAAAGTGGCAGGATGGGGTTGGAAAATTCCATTTTTTGAATCAGGCAAAATTAGCACATGCCGTAGGATAGTATATGGCTCTTTAGGTGCTGTAAGTCTGTAAATCTGGTGTGGTCAAAGGGTGTCAATATTATTTTTAATATATACCTCACCTAATTTATCAGGGTGGCACACCTGTGTTGAGTCCAAGTGGTCAGAGGGGAGACTAGGAGAATTCCTTCCCCCTGGCCTGCAGCTGCTGTACCTCTTCCTCTTTCTTTAACTACAAATCAAAATCTTAGCCGGACCAGTGAATGTTTGTTGTGGTGTCATCTCCAGTTACATGAACACCAAGACTTTACCCAAGTGACTATACATTCTGCAGTTAGACCTACTGATGTGTGGTCTGAGTTGCTACTCCATAACTACATGTTATTGCATAGACTTAGATTTACATGCACTCTCCTGTTCCCTCTGTCACCTCACGTGAGTGGAACATGAGGAGAAAAAGAAAATCAAAGTGCCATCACTGGTTTGCTTTTAGAACTTAGAAACGAGGCGTTGGCTCGTAATAATATGCACCCTTCAACAAAACGCATTTAAGCCATACAATATTAAAATCTTGTTAGCCTATAGATGGCTTCTCCTTGCTGTAGAATGAAATTCGAAAGTCTCCTTGGCAGTCATCAGTGTATTTCATCACACAATGCCCTCCTGGTTCCTTCCTGCTGAAGGGAACAACTCCCTTATGAAAGGAGTAGCGATGCCCGACTTCTTGTTAAGGAGAGTAAGTCGCAAATTTTGGTCTACTGGCACCAGCATTTTGACCCATCAGCTATTTCTAATAGTTGTCTGTGAAAAAAAAAATCAAAAGAAGCAGATGCTTTAATTAGTGTTTTCAAGGTCTGGAAACGAGGGAAAATAAAGGTAAAAACTGCTTCTTGAGGTGAGGTATTATTTATTGTTTTGTTATATAATGGCAAAGAAAAGTTAGATAGGAATAAAGCAGTAAAAAGTTGAAAAAAATGTTAGCGGTACCCAAAAGAGGTACCCCTTGGTCGGTGAATATCATTTTTCAGCGCATTGTCACCATGAACAAGGGTTATATGCTTCTGTAGCCTGTTCCAGGCTCTTAGATAGTGGGGAAGATGTGAAAGTGAAAGGCGCGCAAAAAAGGGGCGGGTCGGGAGAAAGGAAAAAGGAAAAAGTTTCCTCTCGTTATATTTTCGTGTTTGCGCTTTGTCAATTCCGTGGACCCGACTATCTCGGAGCCTGGAACAGGCTAATGCTTCTGCAATGAAGTACTTCTATTAATTTTTTAATGTTTCCAGGTGGCTTGATAAGCTGGGACTTGCTGCTCGAATGCGTCATGAAGTTGTTATTCGCCAAACGTTTGCTGGAGGAAATTATGCGCTACTAAACAATGATTTGGACCCAAATCCTGTAAGTATAATCTGTCAACTAAAGTAGCCTGTTCCAGGGCTCTCGGATGATAGGGACGTACTATACCGAAAATAAGGTCAAACGAAAATTTGACGCGCATGATAAGAGAAAAGGTAACCTGAGATCAGGCCCAATTTTAGCAATTCTCATATGTAGTCAAATCTCTCTTATGCAGTCCGGCTTCCCCGCCGGAATGTTATTTACAAAGAGAAAAGAAGCCTGATGTCAGGTTAGAGAAAAGGAGGCTGTGGTGGGAAAAAGGAAAGAAATCCTGTAAGCATATCTTTCACTACCCTCTTATACCCTTTTTTTGTCAACTTTGGATAAATTTAGGCTGTCAAACTGTCAAAGTTTCGATTTTTTGGAATCATTTTCATATTTCCTGCACGAGTGTTTTGCAGGTATTTCTTGTCTCCCCAGCTCGCGCGCGTTTTCCTCACTTTTTATCATGATAATTGCATATAATATTTTGGAGCCTGGAACAGGTTAATGGTAAAGTTATTATGCTCATAGTAGTAATAAAAAGAAAAATAATAGAAAAATGCATCGCTCCATATCGAATGAAAGTGATCAAAGCTGTCGTCAAAGGGTTTAAATTATACTTCTCATCACATGTAGTTTATAAGGTCTTAGCAGTGTTGCCACTCCGACTGTTCGACCGGTCACTTCGTTAATATTCGACGAAAATGGCATGGCCCAACCATTGGCAACAAGGTCCCACTGTAACTGGCATAAGCTACTGACTGTAATGTTCCCTCTTGAAGCAGATCTCTAGGGATCTTACGCTAACTGCTCAAATTATAAACTGTGCTTTCATTCCGTGCATCCACTGTGAATTTTTGTCCTACTAAAAAACTCGTTTGTGTTTCTTGCAGGATTACTGGCTGTCTTTGTTATATAAGAGGCTTGTGGGGGTAAAAGTCCTAGAGGTGAATGGCGGAACAGAAGAGAAGCGTACCACCCGTGTATATGCTCACTGTGCTAGCAGGTATAAAATGAGTCGAAAACTCTGTCCAGTCACTTTGAGGCCTGAGCTGAACTGGCTCTTTTTGTTTGATTTATAAGACAGTATGTTACTGCACTCTCGTTGCTTGGAAAGGGGGTCCCCTAACAGCTGAGCGGGGCTTGAATTTAATCATTTATTGCTTTACGAAATACAGGAAATACCCTGTTGGTGCTGTCTCCCTCCTTGTTCTGAATATTCACAATCATGACCCAGTTGGCTTGAAACTTACTGGAAGCCTCCAACAAAAAGAAGTGGAAGAGTACCTGTTGACAACAGAAAACAGTGACCTTACGTCGAAGTAAGTACAATAGTCTGAATAGTTTGTGATGATAAATGAGGTAACTTCGTACCGAAGGAAGCAAAACCCTAGGTATGGAAATTCCCGCGTTAATTAAGGCAGGTAGGCAGGCAGCAGACAGGCAGACAATCTGACAGGCAGACTGGGACACAGGCAGGCAGGTAGGAAGGCAGGCAGTTAGGCAGGTAGATAGGTAGGTAAGCAGGCAGGCAGGTAGGTTGGTAGGCAAATTAAGCAGGCAGAAAGGTAGGCAGGTAGGAAGGCATGCAGGCAGGCAGGTTGGCAGGTAAGTAGGAAGGAAAAAATCATATGGATTTCTACCCTAACACCCTCCTCCGGTATGAGGACTGTAGGTAGGTGAGTAGTGCAGGCAGGCAGGTAAGTAGACAGGCAGGCAGGCAGGCAGGTAGGCAGGTAGGCAGACAGATAGACTATTACAATGTAACTGGAAGTGACAGGGGTCACTTCTTGCACTTTTGCCACGAGCTGAAGTTCGTCAGCTTTTGAATATTTTTGCGGTGGTAAATTGATTTTTCTGGGTTTTCAAAACCGACCCTTAAGTCCTGGTTGGAAGACCGACATCCCTGCAACCGGTTAAGTGTTTTGTCGAAATAGGTATTAGACTTAAACCCCATTTACACACGCTAAAAAAAATCAGCACGGCACGCACGGCACTTCCAGGAGGTAGTCTCGGCACCCCTAAAATTTTGAGCACTAGTGCCATATTACATTTGGGACCTATACGTTTACACGTCGAAAATTGGGAGTGCCGTGCCTTAAAATCGTCAGCACGGTGCCTAAAATTTGGCGTGGCGTGCAGTGCCGATGTTTTTAGCGCGTGTAAATGGGGTTTTAGGGTTAATTGAAATCTTGGGCTGCTTTCCATTATGCCAAATTTCCGGAACTTTCGTTTGATGGAACGTTTCGCTCCTGGTGGATATTTCCCAGAAAAAATGATGCACCTCCAGAGGTGGTCCTCCTCTACTAGTCGGTCCTGTCCGACCGAAACTTACCGTTACCTTTCCAAAAATTCGCGTTTCCAGTCCCACTTCGCTGAGAAGTAGTCAAAATTTCGATTGAAACGTACCTCACTGCATTAAATTTTTGCGACACGTAAATTTCGCGGTTTTACGATGGGCGTATTTCCCGCGGTTTTGCAAAATTTTTGTACTTTGGATCACTTTAATTTCGCGATCTATAGTAAGACGCTATTTATTCATTAACTTATCCTTGAAGCAAACAGAACATCGTCATTTACAATAACGTCAAAATTTATAACGCGATGCAGCGACGGGTCTATATGAGAACAGTAACAACAAAGTTCTAACAATTTCCACAATTACGCTTGTTCGTTAATTTTAGTCAATTGACCATGATCTCCATGTTCGTTTGTGTAAATTCGTCCTTTCTTCATTAATTATTAGCTATTGTTGATATATTGTTATTCACTTAATTTTCGCGTCATGTTATGCTCGCGATACTTATTGTTCGCGTCACTTTTTAACTTTCGCGATTTTAAAAAGAGTCGCGATTTTATTAAATTGTCGAGAAAATTTCGTGTAATAAGGTCAATGGAAACGTCTATCCGCTTCGAAATTTCGTTCCATTTTTTCTTGGTTAGTTCTACTGGTCTCTGACAGGTCGGTTTGGCAGAGTGGACAGCATTCCCGGTAAGGGGTACACTCCCGTTCTGCTGAGTGCATTTGAATTTGCCCTGAACCAAAGGTGAAGAAATATGGAGTGATAGAGTTGCTCTTATTTTTTTTGTGACAGAACCGTCCTGCTAAATGGAAGAGTTCTAAAACTTGTGGATGACCATACCTTTCCAGATCTTATTCCTGCGATTGTACCGGGAGATAAACCTCTCATTCTTCCGCCTCTGACGTTTGGGTTTTACGTCATCCCCGGAGCTTCTGCTGGTGGGTGCAGATAGGCCAAAAACCATCCGTAGAACAACTGAGGACGAAAATCATTGTTCAACGAAGGTTGAATTCCTAGCACCTTGATATACTATCTATCATTCATTTTTTTAGGAATGTGTCACTGAATGACGAAGTCAGTTTTTCAAATTAGCCCCAATTCTCAACAGATAATATTTTCGTTTTGTATAACTGCACACCTTTGCAGCAGCTGTATTTTTTCTAATTTTCAGTATTTTTATTCAATATGAATTGCAACTGTAAATTCTCATAGGTCTCTATTCAGTTGACCTCATTTATAAATTCAAGCAATATCAATATCTATTGACTGCCTCAGGAGTCATATATTAGTAATAGATGAAAACAAGTTGTAGTGTGTGAAAAAAGCAATGAAGTTGAACTTGAATTCAATCGAGCGGTATGGAGGGTATAAAAGGAAAATAAAGGAAGAAAAGGTAGTGTTTTACTGATGAAGTGGCGTTTTTTTGGTCGTTCTTCTTCGTAAGATTACAATAAATTTACCATCTAAATATGTAAGAATCAAGAAAACTAAATCCGTGTTTTTTTTTCCTTATTAAAGCGGCACTTTGCGCAATAAACTTCCAGGGTATTCTTTGCAATCGATGGCAATTTTTTTGTCAAATTCGTCGCAAAGCTTCTCAAAGCCTCTAACTGCCATGCTCTTCGTTAAGTAATAGGTGTTTCCCCTCTCTCTTTTTTTCTACCGTGTTTACGCTGTGATTTTTCGCCAACTGGTACCGAACAGTGTTCGGTGTGAAATAAAATGTCACCTTTTGAATCATTAATTCTTTATTTTCTTAAAATCGTCTCTGTGTGTATAGATCTAGTTAGTTTTACATGCCATTTACCTTGCTCTCTTACAATCGTAGAAAATGGGAAATGCTACAATATCAAATGTTCCATCCCAGGGAGACCTTCGATGACAGATGCCTTATCTGCGATCATACTTTTTTTCCCCTTTCTTTCTTTTTTTGAGAAGAGATGAGAAAGGACATAGTAGAGCCTATATAGGGACGGCATGATTTACAGGCTAACAAACGCCCCACCTCGGGAACTCATGATTACAACCTGGCAAATGCCCGGTACTAGGAACTGTACAGCCCCCAAAATGATCCCCAACCCTGAAATGATCCCTAAATCGACCCCGAAATGATACCGACAAAGAAATGATCCCCATTTCTCTTCACGTCGACCCCGAAATGATCCCCAATTAATTTTAGGAATGGAATGATATCATAGAACTATGGATTGATTAAAATGCACAACATTGACTTATTAAGTTCACTAATAATCTTCACTTGCAGCTACTTGCCCACATTCTTTTATGTCATTAATCTGGGATTACACTTTGAGCTGCATTAAACGAAAAGTCTAGTATATTTTTAGTAACCCCGTGAACTGCTAGTGATAACATTAAAAAAACATAACATTTTATATTATTATTACTTACTTTAGGTGATTATAGCCTAGGTTATAGAGAAAACTGCATGAATGTTAAATTATAAAAATGATATTTAAACTGAGTGCCTTGGATATTGAATTTTAAAAAAGGTGTTCTAACGCTTTTCAAAATTTTATAATGATGTTGATGATGCAAAAGTAGACGAACTGACTGACCCATTACCACTCAAGCTTGCTGTCGAGCTCGCTTCCCAGACGGCTTAGTGAGGGCAGAGTTGAATTGGTTTCAGCTAAAAAAGGATGGAAATGTTCGAGTTGAGGCTTTCTTTGTTTCATTCTTTTACCGATCGTAAAACTGTAGCACGAATTCTTGAACATTGGACAGTCCATAGTCCGGCATTCCATAGTCCACTGTACAGTCATGCTGACCCTTAAGTGGAAGTGGCATTCTTCACGTTTGGATGCGCTTCGTTGAAGTGAGATTTATTTGGGTGAACAACATGGCATATTTTGGCATCATTTCTCTTCGTTTGACGCTGCTTGTACTTGTGTTTTCGATACTTGTCTCTGGGAATTTGCGTGCATTGAGTTTCAAGGACATAAACGAAGACGGCAACGAAAAAGTTGTGGAACAAACTGTTTCGATCAATTTGAACCAGTCCGTCTTCACAGTCTGTAAGAAGTTTCTCTCCGTGGCAATTACAGTTAGTTTGATACGGGAGCATTGGCCCCACATTAGCTTCACCTCAGAGAAATTCTTCACTCTCGCAAAGGGTCTCTCTCCTGCATTTCTTCGTGTGGGAGGGACTGCCGAAGATTTTTTGATCTATGATGATTCGACAGGGTTGAACAAGCACAAGAATTTTACTAATTTTACAATAACGCACGAGGATTTGGATAAGATTCATCTGCTGTCTTCTAAGGCAAACTGGGATGTTTTGTTCGGATTGAATGTGCTTCTCCGACAGAAGGATGGATCTTGGAATGCGAGTAACCCTAAACAAATTATGCAGTATGTTGCTGATAGTGGCTATCATTTTGGATGGGAGCTTGGAAATGGTAATTTTATACAAGCGCACTCAATGTTTATGATTGTGTTTTATTTTAGCCTTAATTAGCCTTGGCCAAATTTATTCCTATGGTTCAATTAACAGGGACAATAAATAGAGCACTATACAGTATATGGACAAAAGCATTCTATATCCTAACAGCTGACACAAATTTAAGGTTTTAAACTAGCTAAAGACTAATTTCTTTGAGAGTTTTAAACTAAGTTTAAAGTTAAACGTGCTTAGCATGATTATTTTATTGATGTTCTCTTTTCTGACATTTTAGGACCTAACTAATTCAATACACAGGTACATTCGTACATTGTACCATCTCAAAATTTGGCTCTAGGTTTTCATGTAAAAAAAGGTAAGATTCAGGTGTATCTTGCCATAAATTGCATACTTTTCTCTTAGACCTGTCAAAATTTTTTCCCTTTTTTGTCACTTTTAGAACCTAACCACTTTGACGATTTCAACAAGTCACTGTCTCCATAAGATCTTGCAAGTGACTTCCACACCTTACGGGAAATTCTCAAGAGTAGCCCTCAGTTTGGAAATTTTCTAGTTGGCCCTGATGTTACCCGGATTCATGAGAACTCCAAAAGTGCAAGCTACCTTCAAAGGTAATTGAGTCAGTACACCTTAGACTGGTTAGGGTCCTAATAAAGATGAGTAGATTAGAGATCCTTATCTTTGATGAGTAGATTAGAGTAGATTAGAGATCCTTATCTTTGATTAACTAATCCAGCTTAAAGAAGTCCCTAAGATCTATAACAGAAAAGTCTTCCTGATCTGGGGCGGATCCAGGAGTTTTTTTAGGAGGGGGTGCACTCGTCTCTTGCTCTACTTCAACACCAATAAACCACATAGAATTTTTTTTTTTGGCAGAATACTAGTTGTATTAGAAAAACGCAGATCATCGGGGGGCGCACCCCCTGCACCCTCCCCCTAGATCCGCCCCTGCTGATACAGATGAACTAAAATTACTCCAAAAATTGTATCGAATGACTTATGGATTATCAACCCAGTACATCCGCAGATTTGGGGTGGTCTACTAAAAGAAATGAACTGTTTTTAGCACGAAAGTACAGATTAGGGTCACTATTTTTACGTCTCCTACAGGAGACGGGACTGCTATTTTACGTGGTCATCCAAGCCACGCAAAGGTCAAGCCATTTGCAGGGTAAAGGGCGTACCTTCATTTCTCAGTTATTTTAAGACCCTGACCGAGTTTTGGTCTGGCCCCGGGAATCGAACCCGCGACCTCCCGCTCTGCAATCATGCGCTCTACCGACTGAGTGAAAGTGAGGGTACTGGCGCCAGAAGAAGAGTTCTTCTATCTGCTTTGGTACCCCGAAACTGTCAAGAATTTTGATACGTTTAGATGACAACGAAAAGGAGATGATCTTAGTCTTGTCAGAGCTGGTCGTGAAAATGTTGATCGAGGGCAAACAAATCAGAGCTACACACGGAGCAGAGTTACTCTGCTATCCATCTGCGAAAGTAAGGAATAAACTGTCCCCCCTCTTAGCATGAAGAAGCAGACACGAGAATGATAGTTCATGTAGCTGATGCAGTAGAAAATCGTCAACAACAACTAGAGCCCCACATCTCCTTGCAAAAGTCTCCCTGTCGTCCATGCCGTAACAGGATGCGATACAACACCTGTCCCTATGGTCATGATGACCAGAAGAGCCTGGACGGCATGGGAGAACTTTCCAGATGTAAGCGCGTTACGTTTCTCGAGCTGGCAAGGATTCTCTCTGCTATTTCCGAGGAGAATCATTCAGCCATAGAGAGATATATAGGATGTAAAAGGTATGGGAGGAAAAAGATGTAAAAGTATGGGGTGGCTGAAAGTAGGTACGACAATCTTTATATCATACATTTATTATCTATTTTCCATTTCTTTCTTTTCCACTGTTTAGTTTTGTCTCGGGTGCTAAAGATGTCATAGACGCAGTCACGTGGCACCAGTAAGTGTTGCATTGTTTCAGTACTAGGCGGCTTTCTGTTACATTTATTTTAATTTTTCCCCGGGTTTACAGTGTAAAGCGCATGGTCTATGAAATCATGCCACACATTCCAACCAATTTTGCCACGCAAAATAACCAATCAGAGACCGATTTGCTTCACAAGAGAGACTGGTAATTCTACTCAGTTACTTTTTTTATAATATATTCCAATTTTAAAGTCTCTAGTCTTGTAGACTAAAAGGAAAACAAGGATGTGGTAGAAAGTAGATTACAAAATAGCCGGTTTCTTTCTCAAATCGCTCCTGGTAAAGCGCAAAGGGCCGAAAGGATAGAATCGGATTCGAAGCTCACTTGCCCACGACCGGTCTCTTTTTCCGATTTCACTTCTTGCTTTTATCTGCCTCGTCCCATACCTTTCATTTGACAATTTCCCGTAACTTGGTTAACTCAAAAAATGCGGTTTTTGTGTGGTTCAAGTGGGAATACGAAATCTGTATGTTTTGAAGTTCCACTGGGTGTAATCAGAAGCATACTCACTATATCCCGTTAAATGTGTCACGCCTGTGTTTTTTAGGTACTACCTCGATAAAAGAAATTGTACTGAGAAGGATTTTTATAATCCAAATGTACTAGACGAATTCCTGCGTGAGCTGGAGGCAGCCAATGATGTCTTGGATAAAATAGATCCAGGCATACCAAGGTGGCTGGGGGAGACTGGAAGTGCTTTTGGCGGGGGAGCTCCTGGATTGTCTGACAGATATGTTGCAGGCTTTATGTAAGTGAGCTTCTAATAATTTGTTGTATGTTCTGCCCTAAAGTCAGTGCTTATGTTTAAGAAAAAGAATGACGGTTTTCTTTTTAAGTCAGTAAGGACCTTACGAGCCTACGAAGACGACGACAACGTCAGAAAAAAGTAATAGATTTAATGAGCAAAACAACAACTCTGCACGTTCATCACGCTTTTTTGTAAATTTCTTTGCCGTCACCGCACAACTACGACCGAAATTTTTTCTAAGTTTTCTTAGGAACGGGAAAGGCAAGGTGATAAATTCTACCTCCTCTGTCGGAACTTGGACACGGTTCCCTCTCTTCAGCTCCAACCTCAATTCCATTCTTTTAAGTAACAGGGCGACTTGGAATAATTGCCAAATAGTTTGAAAGGATGCGAAGTCTGTTTTTCAGCGACGTTTTCATGGACGTCGCCGTTGTCAGATTGAAAGGTCCAGAGTGACACAGGCGACATGGAAAAAAGGAACCCGCGTTCTCCCAACTGGATTCCAACCTTTGGCATCCCTTGACCAACTACAACATTATATTTAGATAAGTTTATCAGTATGCACTGGCTAGTTGGACGCCTTTAATCATAGATCCGCCTCTGTAACCTTTTTACGCCAAACCAGTTAATACATGATTTGCTTACCAGTATATTGACTGACTTTAGCGGGTTTACCATGTCAATAAGGACTGAGGTTTAGGATTATTTCCACCGGCTATTATACGCTCGAATCTCAGCTACTTTCAGCTACTGGGGTAGTCAAAAGCAAAGATTGACCATCCCAGGGAGATTGGAATCGTGGGCTACCCTTTACATTTCCGTTTCAAAGATTTACGTGCCATACAGCTCTCCGTACTTTTAATACAATGATATATTTTTCTTCTCAATCCTGGGAAAGACTCAGTTTGAATACGTCTTTTACAATTACTTGAAGGAAAGTGAACACCAAATTACGTACTAGTATAGGGATGAAAGGGTCATGAGGATTGAACTGTGAAAATCAATGCGTAACCTTCTCTTCGAAACTGACTCTATTCCCAAGTGCAAATCAACTATTTCTTTCTTTTCATGGATACATTATTGTGACGTATTTTATCTATACTTATGGCATGATTCCTGGGTACCCCATTAATGTAAATATTATTATGCTTTCTAGGTGGCTTGACAAATTAGGACTCGCTGCTCGATTGGGCCATGAAGTTGTTATTCGACAATCGTTTGTTAAAGGAAGCTATGCTTTACTTGATGAAGATTTGGATCCAAATCCTGTAATTACATGTACATATTTTGGTTAAGTTAAGTAACATACTTTCACATTAACCGTCTGATGACCCGCACCTACGTTTTATTGTTCCTTCCGTTTTGTGAAGGATCTAATAGCCTGCGTAGATGGCGATATTGTGTGGCTGCGGGAAGTTTAGGCGGAGGAGCCGTGTTCCAATAAAAGGGAGTAGGGACGAGGCGGTTTCTCGCGGCTTCGCCGTCAAGTCTCACTCGCCTATATTACAACGGCTTCGCCGCCAAATCTCACTCAACTACTACACAATACCGCCAGCTACGCAGGCTAAGGATCTAATTCATCGCCCTGTAGGCAGGCTTCCCATCATGAGATCAGTTATGAGACCCTTGTAAAGGGACAGTATTACGAGTATTCAGTCTCCTAGGTTTTTGTGATAATTGCCCTACAATTATGAATATACCCTCGCTTAAAATGGCTTTCATGAACGACAAGAAAAGAGAATAACTCGCGCTTACAAGTCTTTGGCAACTGCTCATCTACTCATCAATTCAACTTTTGGTTTTCTGGTACAATCGGGTATGCAAACTTTGCTTCGGTTTCGTGCGTTTTAAGTACATAACGAGTATAAAACAGGTTATGTTTTTTTGAGTGAGAGCTTCGATCCCGTTATTTGCTACACTAGAAGGTGAGTGGGACAAACTGGACCAAACTGGTTGGTTAGATGCTGCGAAAACGTATAATGACTGGTTCCTAGAGCCGTCAGAAGAAACCCATCAGGCATCATTACTTTTACATACTTCGATCCTGTTGTTTGAAGCATCTCACTGGAACTGAACCCCGGGTGAGGTACTTGGATTAATTTCTGCTGGGTATGTGCCGCTGGCCTCTCAAAGCCCCAACTCCGTTATAATCTATTCTGTGGCCAATTATAGAGCCCGCCTTCACTTACTACTTTTATGAATTGACCCATTTTTAGATTGAACGAAGAATACTTTACTTTTCGTCTACAGTACAAACATTCTGTTACGTTTGCTAACCGTAAATATGAAGAACTGTCCTACTTCCAAAAATCCGATAATGTATAATGTGCGAACCCATTTTAGTAACTCTATTGAAAATGCAACCCCAATATGGTCAATCCGGTCGTAAAAATGCGACCCCATCCAGCGGCACCTCCCCTTTAGCCTCTTAAAGGACGTACCCTCCCCCCCCCCGGGACCTGAACTGAGGTTTATGGTTAACAGTGCCATTCTGTTTATGATCTCAGCATTCTTTCGGTTTCTTACGTATGTTGTAGGATTATTGGTTGTCTTTGTTATATAAGAGGCTTGTTGGGGTGAAAGTCCTAGAAGTAGAAGGTGGGACAAAAGAGAAGCGAAAGACCCGTGTATACGCTCACTGTGCTAACAGGTATAAAACACGTTAAAAAATATTTCCATTGTTTTTAGAGAAATGATTTAAGCAGAAAAAAGCTCTTAGTTTTCTGACCAACACTCCTTACGTGAGACGCATGTTACTACACGTATGTCTGGCCTTAAAATTGCCAGTGAACAGTAATTTCAGACTTTTAATTGCTTCAGGAAATATCCTGTTGGAGCTGTCACCCTTCTTGTTCTGAATGTTCACGATCATGATCCAGTTAGCCTTAAACTTACTGGTAGCCTCAAAGGAAAAGATGTGGAAGAGTATCTTCTGAGGACGGAAAACAGTGACCTCACGTCGAAGTAAGTAAAACGTCTAAATGACTGTTTATTGTTATTGAGCTTTCTGGCTTGTGTTCAAGAAGTCGGGATCATTGCCTAAGGTGTGGATATGCCGGCCATTATAGACGTGGAGGCATACACAGTCAATTCTCGTTTAACGGACATATTTATATAGAGAAATAAGACGTACACCTTCCTAAAAAACAACTAGAGTTGGTCTGAAGATGACTACCACACAGGTTGTCGAAACGTCAGCTACTGTCAGCAACAGTCCTATTTTCTAGCCGTAGTTGCATGTTCAAAGAATGAGTCATACGCTATCCAGCAGATCCAGTGGATGGTGCAGTTGGTTTCCCCAATACCCAATCCGCTGGATAGTGATCTATCTGGTGGATAACGCTTGAGCTTTTGAACGACTGGGGCCAATGTTGCACTCATCCAGACATCATATCTTATTCCGCGAATTAGTAAGGACCTATAGAGTTAGCCATTGTCGCTAATTTTTCAGGTCTCTTTGACGCTCTTCAAGGCGGACACCTCCCAAAAACGGATACTTAGTGTCGGTCCTATTGCTGTCTATCTTAAGGTTGATTTCCACTGTCGCGTTCTAATTTTTTACGTGCGTACGCGCGTTAATAAAACAGAGACAATGTATGGAAGGTCACGCGTAAACATAAAAGTTGAACCTCGCTCAACTTTCACGTTTACCGGGGGCCTTTCATACATTGCCTCTATTTCATTTACGCATGTAAATTTTACGTGCGTTCGCACGAAAAAATACGCAGTAGTGGAAATCAACCCTTAAGGCTGATTTGCACTGACGCGTTTTGGCTACGCACGTTAACGCACTTTACCTTTAATCATGTAAATAAAATAGAGGCGAGGTTGAGATGAAACGTTAAGTTAAACGAGGTTCTACTTTTACGCTTACGTGCGGCCTTTGATACATTGCCTGTATTTTATTTGCGAACGTAAATCGTACGCGCGTACGCACGTAAAAATTACGCGACAGTGGAAATCAACCCTTAAGGCTGATTTGCACTGACGCGTTCTGGCTACGCACGTTAACGCACTTTACCTTTAATCATGTAAATAAAATAGAGGCGAGATATAAAGTGTTGAGATTAAACGTTAAGTTAAACGAGGTTCTACTTTTACGCTTACGTGCGGCCTTTGATACATTGCCTGTATTTTATTTGCGAACGTAAATTTTACGCGCGTACGCACGTAAAAATTACGCGACAGTGGAAATCAACCCTCGGAGAGACCTGGCTGCAGAGTAACACACAAACTAATATAAATCATAAAGACAGGTAAGGAAAACGGGATTTCAATACGAAAGCCTGTCCTTCTGCAGGGCTCATTAAAGGTTGCCTTTAATTTTGTTAACAGGACAGTGAGACTGAATGGAAAAGTGCTTAAACTTGTGGATGACCACACCTTTCCCGATCTTAATCCTGTGATTGTACCAGGAGATAAACCCCTCATCCTTCCGCCTATGACGTTTGGGTTCTACGTCATCCCAGGAGCTTCTGCCAGTGGATGCAGTTAATGTCACTTATTGGAGCAGGACAGTTTATTTGACAAATGTAAACTATAGATTAAACTTTCATTGACCATGGATACATGTTAACGAATGGGATCCGCATGCAAGCCAAAATAACACAGTTTCACTGGAAGTGGGACTCAGTCAAACGTTAAGCTGGTTAATCATTGCATCGTGGACACAGCCTAGAAAAGAAAAGAAAAACAAAAAGAACAACAACAACAAAACAGTCATCTGGTTTCTTGGCTTTTGGTTATTCAATTTGTCAAATTATGAAGAGTTTGTCTCTGGCTTTTTCTGACGGAGTTTAACACGATTATGGTCTTTTTGCTCAGTTCTACACAGCACTGACCGTTTGCTGAAGAGGGACCCTGCTCGCTTGACTTCAACATGTCTAAATGAACTGTTAACCCGCTTTAAACCCTAGGATCAAAATTTGAATTCTCGTTTGTTGCCCCTATTCATTTGCTACAAAAGTAGTGGGGAGAAGTTGATAAGATAGAAAATATCATTCTGTGTGATAATATCTGTAATTCTCTTGACCACTCTGTTTTACAAAACATTGATATTACAAGGAGAAATTTGATGCTGATCACTCTTTATAGGGCTTAAAGGGTTAAGCTTGTTGTTTTTCGCAACGTTTGCGGATGAAATTTGAAGGATGTTGAGCCGTAAGTTTCACGCTTACGTTAGTAAGCGGAAGGTGGTCAGAGACCTGTGAATAAGGTGGAGGACTTGAAGACGAAACGTCTTTCTTCTGATATGTGTTGTTGTCGACTTGCTAAGGGCGATGTTACACCCACGGAAAGATTTCAGTTGCAACGAAGATTGTTAGCACAAGACAACATTGTAAGTTGACCCTGCACGTCTGTTTTGGTCGGTGGTTCAAACTTTAAAACGCAATTTTTGCACAGGAAATTTATTTTTTGTACAGCTTTTGTAAGTTTTTGAACCAGCTTGCGATACCGACTTGAAACCCTGTGCTGCTCTAAAATTGTCGTCATAGTCCGGTCAAAAGCGTCTCGTAAACACTGTCACCTAGACGTCTATGTGTCTTATTATCTATCAAATCGTGCGGGACTTGTCTTTGATCTGGTTTTTTTTTCGGTTATTGAAGAAGAAAAAAATGAGGTTAATAACTCAAGGTAAAATAGACTGATCAAGGAAATCTATTTGGGAGTTTTGTTTATTGCTTTGTCATTTCAAGTTGCGTAATTATAAGCAGCAACGCCCTGATGCTGCTATTGTTTGAGTGGCAAAGAACAAAGCAGGTGCTCATACGTAATTTGGTTTTGTTATTTTAGATACGAAATACTGATAAGGTCTTCTTATATCTGAATTCTTTAGATAGTATGATTGTTACGTCTATGCTAAATTTTCTCTTCTACGGCTACGCTATTTTTGATAAAGGGGTTAGTTTCCAAAGAAACTCATTTTATTGCGTCGGTGTGAAACGCAAAAGTTTGGTCTGTGTATTAGTTTTATTGCCAGACTTGACCACCATCCAGAGATTATTAGGCTTGTACTTTTAAAGCTGATTTCATAAAACCAATTTGCCTATATTGGTCTTATGTTGTTGTTTTTCTGTTTTCTTCTGCGTGACTTGAATGAGGGACGTGATACATTAAGTCGGATATGACGTTCCAGCCGAATGGATCTTTATTTCAGATATTTTGCTTTTGTTGCACGTAAACTAATATAAACCTCCTGCTGGAAGTCTTACCTCACCTTTTATTAAAAAAAAAGAGATTATTTGACGTACTACGTTGTGTTCAGCTGATGTGCAAAATCTGTAAGTGACAAGAAGGTATTAATAGTTGTTTTCAGACATGAACTTGCTTACTTCCCTCCCTCATTTTTTTAAATATTTTATTATGAAACAATATATACATGCAGATTCAAAAACGTACTAAAATGGTAACATTACGTAGCTTTCCTTTTCGTCGCTAAACTGAATGTACGATCTGCCTGGGAATAGCTTATACTAAATCGGATGAATTGCACCAGAAAAAGAAACAAAAAACGGGCTAGTTGCTTAAAAATCCTTATACTGCTTATAGTTTTATTGTTTAGTTGTTAACTAAAGTAAGTTATCTCACAACTTACTTTAATTAACTGAACTGGAAACTTGAATTTAAAGCCATCAGTATTCTGTGTAAATTATACAGTGTATGCCACCGAAAAGGTTGTTCCAATTTTCTGGCGAAGACATACTAGAAAAAGATAGAAACAACTACTTGCAAGCGAAAAAAGTGTAAATAAAATTTTGTTCGAATTTCATCAGCGGTCTAAAATGAGATTCACGTTACTGTAACAGAAATTAAAGTTGTCTCGTGTTCCCAAGAGAAAGTTGTAAATGGCCAGGAGGTCTAGTCCCTCATCCCTATTCAGATAGGGTTTCCTTTGTTTGATAGCTTTGGCCAATGATGGTGTGATTTTCATCATTTTGTGGCCTAAATGTTATGACCCGTTGCCCAGCATTGCTCAAAAACGGCAAATAATCAAGTTTTACGGGATTGCTGTAGTTCCTTGATCTAATTAAGACAAAGGGATCTGGCGGTCTCATGAGTTATAAAACAAGTGACTTGCTTCTTTCCTCAGTCAAGTGGTTGTGTTTACACTAGTACTTGTTGCTTTCTTTAGTCGTTGTGTTTACACTAGCGCCTCTTCTTGTTGATTGGTGGAAGACGTGTTTGCGGATTGAGACACAGTCGCATTAACGTCATCTGATCCTCGCCTTGGAGTGTGCCGTCTCAGGAGTCTTTTTAATACAACCTTAAGATTTCCACCAAAGTACCCATAAAGCAATGGATCTAATGCAGCATTTAGGCATATCAGAAGTTGGGATGCCCTCCAGACGAGACCGGGGGAAGCTAAGTGAAAGTAAATTAGTGTTCGTGTGATCATGAAGGGAGACCAGCAAATAACAAAAGCTATAGTTAAAGCTGCGAGTGTTTTGGCAACTTTCTTGTGTTTTCGATTTGACGCTTCACTGGAGGAGCTTTGTCTTGGTATTGCTCTATCTCGAAGCGCGCGGTAAATACGGGTTTGTGTTACTATCATATATAACAACGGGAGAACAAAGAAGAAAGCTCCGTGTAAACTATAGTATATTTGTCGGCCTTTATTCCCCCATGATGTGTTAACGCAAACAATGTTTCCTTTGTCACGTATTTCGACGCGGTAGATGAAGATCAAAGGTGAACAAACAGCGAAGCACAAGATCCAGATTAGTGCCAATGTTGCGTATATTTTCTGTGACATGTCCTTATTTCTTGCATTGAAATCCAAAGGGTCGGCCACGGCCCTTAGTCTCTGATAACTAATTACCACAAGGGTACTGATGGAAGTCGTGTAGGTTGCCTCGATGAGAAATCCCTGAAGTTTACAAGTATTGTCACCGCCTACCCACTTCCAGAAAAAGCCAATGATGTTGAAAATTGTAAGAAATATGAATACGAGATCCGCACAAGCTAAATTTGCCACTAACCACGTAAAAGTATGATATTTTTTCTTCCTGATTGTCTTGTAACAGTTTCCTATGACCCAAGTATTACCAACAATTGCAAAGATGAAAACAGTGCTGTAAAATATACAAAGGAAGACTATTATGGCGAGCGGGAAACCGTCGCTATCAGCCATGGCTCATCAGTAACAAACGTGACAGTGTTCTAGAATGAACTGCGGTCGTGCTGTAATCACGATGAGAAACTTGTTTTTTGCGAGTCGTATATCGCTGACGTGTTTCCGGAAAGACTAACAAGGCAATATTGCAATCTATTTTGATTTCTGAAGGCTAATAATACTCGAAGTTTCAATATAAGCTGGTTTGAAAGAAGCTTAACTTAAAACGATATTTAAACTTAAATATTTAAAATTAAGTAAAAACAAATGGAAATTTTACCTGTAAAGTAAAAACAATTTGAAATTTAACCTGTTAGACTTGGGATCATTAATTAAAAGAGTAAGTGGTCTTAATTTAATTCAGGCTATTTAACACATAAATACGTTTTTAACTAATTAATTACCACAAAGACAGGGGAGAGGAAGATCGCGTTGTCTCAGGGGCACAATTTTCGGAAAATATCTGTTCGGAAGACGATTTGAGATCTAGAATTTTCGGAACATTTTCGTAACATTTCTTGCTTGCCTGCCTCTCCTAGGATTTCCGAACATCTAAAGAATGGTATAATTGTCCATTTTGAACGGATTTTTACCCTAAAAAGGTCACCTAGAATTTTCGGGAGCCTTTATTCTGGGTGAAATTTTCGAAAAAGTACGTTTTGATCGCTATAATTTTCGGATTACTGGACTTTCAGCTAGGAAATCCGAACAGATGAAACATTTTTAGGGGATAAAAATATGCCTATATCTACCGTTTAAATACTATAATACGTTTAACAATGCTATTTTTAAGTGGTTTTGAGCCATATTCTCGTTGGGTGCCCCTGTTGTCTACTGTGCTATCAGTATTATTAATTAAAATTAAAATTAAAATTAAAATAAAAATAAAAATTAAAATTAAAATTAAAATTAAAATTAAAATTAAAATTAAAATTAAAATTAAAATTAAAATTAAAATTAAAATTAAAATTAAAATTAAAATTAAAATTAAAATTAAAATTAAAATTAAATTAAGATTAAAATTAAGCAACAACAACGACGATGGCAGTCAGAAAACCGGTCTCCTGAACAAATGAATTTGCGTTCTTTCAAACTCTAGATCTTTCATCCTCTATTGCCAAGTGAAGTTGGTTTCTTATGGACTCCATCCAAGTTCAAAAAGAAAGTAAAACATTCGTCGTCGTGTGTTCACGTCGTCAATTTTACGTCGCAATAGCAAATTTCACGTCAGGGTCTTGTGGCTGACGTCTAAGAAATGTGCCAAAAAGCGTGATGCACGTGCAATGCTGTTGTTTTAATGCCTATAATTAACCGTTATTGGACGAGGTTGAGCAAAATATCGTGATTCTGCGATAACCGAGTTCAATAATTGTTTTATCATTCGATCACCGAGTTTGTTTTTTTAATGAATATCCTCGGGAAGCAAAGCGATCTGCCATTTTCACGTAAGAGCGATCGCAAGAAAGAGAAAACAAGGTTTCCTTTACTCATGTACAGAATATTATTTGTTGCCAAACGCAGTTGGACGGCATTGCGCATGAGCAGACCATTATTTGTAGGCAGTTATTTGCAGGTCACGTGGTGGGTCGTCGTCGTCTTTTCTAAGCTAAGATGTGCCCTAAAGTTCCCTAAAGTATTGCCTCAACAATAGGCTTTTGTTAAGAAAAAATACCTCCTGAAAAAAATGCTTAATTTATAGTTGAGCTTAATTAACATTCCACGATTTACCTCAACCTCTGTCAACTCCATGTTAATTTCCGCCCCATGATCCCGGTGGCGTTGTAGTCGTCTGAGGTAATTAAGATCTGTATAAACATGTATTGCAGAGCAAAACATAATAATCAAGAAAAATACCCATTCATTGAAGGAAGGAGTGACAAAAATTTCAGAGTTGTAAATTTATTCACGGGCAGTATTTTTGCGATAATTTTATTTTGCACTGTGATGTTATTCGGTTCACAGGCATGGTCATCATTGTCGTTCGTCCCCCTGGGTGAGGTGCGGCACCTCGCAGAACTGCCGCTCGTGCTCATTTTGTAGTCATAAACAAAGGTGCTGGACAGTTCTATCTGAGCTCTGATACGAGGTAGCGTCCAATCTCAATACTTTTTTCCTGAGTTGGAAGCAACGAACAGCAGTAAAAGTCGTTGAAAATGAATTGCAATACATCAAAATGTATGCAGCAGGAGTTTGAGCCAAAACTGCAAAGGGATATTTTAAAATGTCGAAGAACAAGTCATTCTACTTCAGAGCAAGGTTTGGAGCAATTTATGGTGCTTCTAAAACTAAAAAGTACCTTTTTATATATCAATTAAAGCCGATACCAGAAATTTCAGTAAAAAATATCAGCAAATTTTTTTACTAGACGCGATTTTCTTCGAACAGTAGGGTCCTTTTAAGCGCTAATTTCTCAAGAAATATTTACCATCAATGAAATCGGAATATTTCGTATTATTGCCGAATGATATATGTTGTTCTTTGCAAAGTTTCGCAGTCATCGCGTTAAGAACCAAAAAGTTATGACGGAAAATTTGTCACAGCAAAATGCTCTTGTATTAATTACGGAGCCACCTTAAAGAGCGTCTTTGTCAATGCTTTGTTTGTTCAAAAGAAAATGTAGTTAACAACTATTAATTTTTTTTAGATTAAGAAACTGCCAAAAATTAGAATTTATGCAAAGTTGAAACGACGGTTTACCAAAATACGGTAAAATAAGACAACTTTTACAGGTTATCGCTTTAAAAGAGAACATTAGGCCTGATCATGAATTGAATTGTTTTCCATGTCCATTCTGCACCTTTATCATTTCTTAACTTGCAATATCCGTAATCTGAACAGTTTGCATGCCGCGTACCACCGTATAATACTCTATTTTCCCTAACGTTTTATTAATTCAGTTTTTATTAACGCTATAGTAAGGTGGTTACACGACCCCACAGATATGTATTGACTTCACTATAAGTATTTTCTAAACTAAATAAAAAATGTGCACAATGATATGTATGTAGTACATTCCATTTTCATAGACTACGAGCAAGCTCTCTGTTTAAAGTGGCGAGTGAAGCCAGCCGCGGTGGGCGTGACGTTAACGCCTAACATCTACCTCAGTTGGAGAGCTTGCTGGTCTGGTCCCGATTGTTGAAACGTTGGATAGCGCTATCCACCAAATAAATCACTATCCAGTGGATAGCGCAATTGGTTCTCCTATTTCATTTCCACTGGATAGTGATTTATCCCGTGGATGGCTTTATCCCAGGCCCTATCCAACGTTGAACAACCAGCGCCTGAAATGTCAGCTACCTACTACTCGCCCCATCCCCCCACCGTTGGGTGGCTAATCGAGAGAGACGCCTGGCGGCGTTTGGCGTGGGCGGTGTGGAACGTAAGAGGCGCCTAACATTTTAGACAAAAATCTGCTGGTAGGCTTTTATGTTGAACGTTCACAGTACTGATCTAGACTTTGATTGCTCGTTGTGTTTAGTGTGTTTGCTTGAATCACAGTCATGCTATTAACATCATGTTCCCGTTGCCGTGATGAATGCCACCTCAGAACTCTTCGTAATACAGTTTTTAGATTTCCACCATAGTAGCCGTATAACAAGGGATCCAAAGCAGGGTTGACGCATATCAGAAGTTGAGATGCTCTCCAAGCAAAATCAGGTGACGCCAAATGGAAGTAAATTAGTGTTCGTGTAATCATAAAGGGTGACCAACAGATAGCAAACGCTATAGTTAAAGCTGCAAGAGTTTTGGCAACTTTCTTGTGTTTTTGATTTGACTCTTCGCGGGAATAGCTGTGTCTTGGCATTGCTCTATCTCGAAGGACGCGGTAAATACGGGTTTGTGTTACTATCATATATAACAACGGGAGAACAAAGAAGAAAGCTCCATGTAAACAATAGTATATTTGTCGGCCTTTATTTCCCCATGATGTATTAACGCAAACAACGTCTCCGTTTTCGAGTGTTTCCACACGGTAGATGAAGATCAAAGGCGAACAAACAGCGAAGCACAAGATCCAGATTAGTGCCAATGTTGCGTATATTTTCTGTGACATGTCCTTATTTCTTGCATTGAAATCCAAAGGGTTAGCCACGGCCCTTAGTCTCTGATAACTAATTACCACAAGGGTACTGATGGAAGTCGTGTAGGTTGCCTCGATGAGAAATCCCTGAAGTTTACAAGTGTTGTCACCGCCTACCCACTTCCAGAAAAAGCCCACGATGTTGAAAATTGTAAGAAATATGAATACGAGATCCGCACAAGCTAAATTTGCCACAAACCACGTAAAAGCGTGATATTTTTTCTTCCTGATTGTCTTGTAACAGTTTCCTATGACCCAAGTATTACCAACAACTGCTAAGATGAAAACAGTGCTGTAAAATATACAAAGGAAGACTATTATGGCGAGCGGGAAACCGTCGCTATCAGCCATGGCTCATTCAGTAACAAATGCGACAGTTTTCTAGAATGAACATTGGTCGTGCTGAAATCACGATGAGAAACTTGTTTTTTGCGAGTCGTATATCGCTGACGTGTTTCCGGAAAGACTAACAAGGCAATATTGCAATCTATTTTGATTACTGGAGGCTAATAATACTCGAAGTTTCTATTTAAGCTGGTTTGAAAGAAGCTTAACTTAAAACGATATTTAAACTTGAAAATTAAGTGAAAACAAATGGAAATTTAACCTGTTAAGTAAAAACAATTTGAAACTTAATCTGTTAGACTTGGAATCATTAATTAAAAGAGTATAGTAGTCTTAATTTAATTCAGGCTATTTAACACATAAATACGTTTTTAACTATTGTAATTACCACAAAGATACGGGAGAGGAAGATCGCGTTGTCTAAGGTGCAACCAGCGTCAATTTTTGGAAAATATCTGTTCGGAAGACGATTTGAGATCTAGAATTTGCGGAACATTTTCGTAAAATTTCCTGCTTGTCTGCTTCTACTAGGATTTTCGAACATCTAAAGAATGGTATAATTGCCCATTTATAACGGATTTTTACCCTAAAAAAGTCATGAAATTTTCGAAAAGGTACGTTTTGATCGCTATAATTTTCGGATCACTAGACTTTCAGCTAGGAAATCCGAACAGATGAAAAATTTTTAGGGGATAGAAATATGTCTATGTCGACCGTTTAAATACTAAAATACGTTTAAGAATGCTATTTTTAAGTGGTTTTGAGCCATATTCTCAGGGGCACCCAACGAATATTTTTCTGAAAATGAGCCGTTAACTACAGAAAACGAAAATTTAGACGCTTTTAAGGCATTTTCAAGCGCTTTTCTGTGTTGCTGGAAAGAATTTATCTGTTCCTCACTCCCAGCAGGTTAGATGGCTATTCTCCCAGCCAGCAGAGCGGCCTTTTCCATGTTTACCAGCCAGCAGAAAAAAAAGACATCAGTATTCAAATAAGCGCCGCAGGCTTGCTTGGAAATTGCGGCGCTGATTCGAGTATATACGGTAAAAATTAATAACACACAGCCTTACCTCTCGCTTGTCAACCAAGAATACTAACAACTACAATGGTAATGAAAAAGGAACATCACTAAAGCTTCCCTAGATGTACCTTTTGTGAATCCTATTCAGTCCAACTTAAATATAATACATCAGGCGGTTTAATAGGTTTTGACAACGGTGAACTTGCGCTCCGCCAAAACTGGAATGTTTTAATTAAGAATTTTTTAACAGTTGTGTAACACTATTATGTAAGATGGACGAAAAGAATGCATTTACCAAGAACATGCAGATATAACACTTTATCGTGACTATTGGCAACCTTAAGATACCTTTCCTTTACAACCCGATAAGTTTGTTCTGCAGTTGGTGCTTCCACAAAAAACCTAAAACACTTAAATCTAAAAACAAGGAAAAAAAGAACCATTAGATGAATATTAAAGAAAACCTACTAAATCCAGCTGAAAGAGGTGTAAAATATAATTACAACAGACAAGTGTTTTTTGTTTAAAAAATAATAATAATAATAAAATTTGTTGCTATCAACATCATCCATCACGGGCATGTAGAGAGGTTTAATTAAATCAACTTTTCCCAAATTTGGTTATATTTTCTGAAAACATGGTTGAAATTGCATTTCTCTTCTTGTCTGTATGTTAAAGCTTTTTCCTTAAAACAGAGCTCCTCAATAACTGCTCTTTATTTTTTCCATTTCTAAACATACACATACTAAATAAGGGCTAGAACATTTTACTTCTTGGTTGAGCAACTTTAACCGCATTAAATACAGTTATAATTGAAACATGAAATTTCTAGTGAAGATTAAAAAAATTTACATAAATGTACCGCATAAACCATGAATCAGTATCTGCAATCCACACTACATCTGCAACTTGCACAAAAATCATTGTAAAATAACATAAAAAATGAAGACCATTGTACACACATCAGCAGTAAAAATATAACCATGTCTTCCAAATTAAACAAGAAAGTTATTTAGGAATTTATTAAAACAGCTCTGAGACAGTTACCCTAGTTGAAACAAAACAAAAAAGGGATAAATGATTTTAAAAAAAAGTTGAGAAGGACAAATAACTGATAATAAGGCCAAGCTAACAGCACCCATCTTCAGAAGCCTTACACCACGTGTGGAAGAAGAGAGGGTCAAAAGAATCAACAGTAAAAGAATGCTCGTTGTCTTAACTGTAGCCCCACCTACAGCAGGAGAGAGGGTCGCAAGGACGAACAGACAAAGAATGCTCGTTGTCACAACTCTAGCCCCACCTAATGGCAGAAGAGAGGGTCGCAAGGACGAACAGACAAAGAATGCTCGTTGTCACAACTCTAGCCCCACCTAATGGCAGGAGAGAGGGTCGCAAGGACGAACAGACAAAGAATGCTCGTTGTCACAACTCTAGCCCCACCTAATGGCAGGAGAGAGGGTCGCAAGGACGAACAAACAAAGAATGCTCGTTGTCACAACTCTAGCCCCACCTAATGGCAGAAGAGAGGGTCGCAAGGACGAACAAACAAAGAATGCTCGTTGTCACAACTCTAGCCCCACCTAATGGCAGGAGAGAGGGTCGCAAGGACGAACAGACAAAGAATGCTCGTTGTCACAACTCTAGCCCCACCTAATGGCAGGAGAGAGGGTCGCAAGGACGAACAAACAAAGAATGCTCGTTGTCACAACTCTAGCCCCACCTAATGGCAGAAGAGAGGGTCGCAAGGACGAACAAACAAAGAATGCTCGTTGTCACAACTCTAGCCCCACCTACAGCGGGAGAGAGGGTCGCAAGGACGAACAGACAAAGAATGCTCGTTGTCACAACTCTAGCCCCACCTAATGGCAGGAGAGAGGGTCGCAAGGACGAACAAACAAAGAATGCTCGTTGTCACAACTCTAGCCCCACCTAATGGCAGGAGAGAGGGTCGCAAGGACGAACAGACAAAGAATGCTCGTTGTCACAACTCTAGCCCCACCTACAGCGGGAGAGAGGGTCGCAAGGACGAACAAACAAAGAATGCTCGTTGTCACAACTCTAGCCCCACCTAATGGCAGGAGAGAGGGTCACAAGGACGAACAGACAAAGAATGCTCGTTGTCACAACTCTAGCCCCACCTACAGCAGGAGAAACAGTCACAAGGACAAATGACCAATGAATACTCAAACATGAGCAAGCCCTTTAGTGAGAGGAATAGTGTTCTGTTTACATAGACTTACTCTACTGTCAGGCAGGTTAAGGTAAAAAAAGTTTAAACATGACCCAGTGGTTGACTGTCTGCCGCTATATGCGAAAAGGAAATCAAAGATCCATTGCTAAAATTACCAAAATACACTATACAACACAGTTCAATGATGCATTATCTTCACACCTACCAGGTACATGTCTACAGAAACGAATGTCTTTTTATAAGTAAATCAATAAATTGTTTTTTAAGGGGAATTTTCAAAGATGTTTGTAGCAGCATCAAAGTTCAATTATCATTCTTTACATGTGTATGTTTCCATAATGTTCTTTCCTGTCCTTTGTACTAGGATAAATTAAATTTCATGATTAATCATTATGGTACTTCACTGATCCATTGACTACAAAAAGATCTTATGTTGACATTCCTGTTCTGATTGATACCATAACATACATTAATTATATTACTCATAAAATAAATGTTTACCTGGGCTCAAGTCAAATTTCCTCTCCTGTCACGACAAGCTTAAGAAAAAGAAACAGAAAAACATTATTATTATTTTCATTATTATTCCCATTTGTGCAGCACTAATTGCTGATGTACATGGCACAATATTACTCTACCTCTGATGATGAATATGGGGAAAATAATATTAAATTTAGACAACAGACAAAAATAATAATAAATAGGTCAGTGTTTGTCCAGGGTCACATCCAACTTCAATATGATGTATGAAATATCAGGATATCCAGGTTAACATGGTATAACAATTGCATACTTGTAATTTCCTACTAAATTCTTATTTATTATTATCTGTTTCTTAGAATATGTATTGAAATTACTGCAGAGAGAAAAGTGTATGCTGCACTACTAGGACTCAAAAGCTGAGTTTTAGTCTCTTGAATGTAGAACTTATTCCATAGTGTTTCCTTTTTTATATCAATGAGAGCTATAAGGATGAGAAAACCAACTTGGAATATTGTGTTTTTCAGTTAATATTAATCAGCCTAGACGTATTATTTCAAACTTGACCTGTTGCAGCCATTGTTTAATTCTGCAGTATCTATTCTAAAAAGACACTTGTAACAAATCTTAGTGTGGGTTAAGTAAGATAGCAAATACAAAAACATGAATTATCCATGTAACGTACTACCATTCTAGAGCTATATTGTTTTAATGTGAGGGTACATGGGGTGGGTTAATAAATCATAATGAAACTTCTTAATACAAATAGGGCTGTATAGGTAAAAGGATTACAGAGGATAAGCTTCTTTATGACTCAGTCAATTCTAAACATGCCCACCCCCCTCCACAGGCATTTGTCATTTTTTAATTCGAAAGCTGCAAATGCCTGCTCCCACTGTGGGGCCAGTAGATACATACAAAACCTCACCATGGAAATAAAAGTTGGAACAAATGCCCCAGTATCAAAGCAGAAGTTACATGTACGTCACCTTGTAAAAAGCTGAAAATTGTTACTGTCAAACTCCGAAAACAGTGAACACCTCAAAATTTTCAGGATTGTTGATTGTGTACTGGCCAAACACAATTAAGTTCAGGAATATGCAAGCAAAACTCTAAACCACAAACTAATTACCATTGTTGTTTGTGTGTAAGTTATCTCGCGCCTTATTGCCTGATTCTCGTAACAAAATAATATTCCATAAATATTTCTGATGTTCATGGTTTTGTGAGTTTCACAGTAAACATACTTAACAACTTAACTCAGCAAGCAACCTTACAGTTTTCCTGATATCCATACAGTCCCCAAAGACACTGCAAAGAGGACAACTTTACAACCCAAAATTACTTTATAAGATAAACTTTCCATGGTAGACTTGGCAAACAGTATGGCATATACAGAGCGCATACATAAGTACAAGTTTAGATGGTACCCCTTAAGGGGGTAAGGTTAATTAAACAATGAAAAATTTGCTACCCAAATGAAGCTTTTGTCAATGAAAAATGCCCACTGTAGGAACAAAATGCCAGAAAAATTCCCAGGGAGAATGGGTATGCTTGGAATTGACTGAGCATTAGGATAAATGAAATAAATATATTTAAATGTACAACTACACAGCATTTGAATTGAGATAAAATCTTTCCAACACAGCGTAGAAGTACAACACAATAAAAGAAAGGATGATATTCTGGAATCGAAAAAATGCAACTTTTCAAAAACACAATGAGTCGGATTTTTGAATTGCAATTGCTGTTAAAACTCGTTGTAGCACATGCTGGCTGTTTTGTTAGCTTTTTCAAAATGTTTTGTTGACGTTGTCAAGCATTATCAGAAAATATTACAGCTCAGGGTTCAGTATGAAAGCCACTGTAAATAATTAAAAGCAAAATAAAGAAACGACACCAACTAATATGCACCGAAATAATTCTTTCACAACACACTCCTCAGAAGACTCGATCTACGGTAGTATTAAAAAACAGTTTTCGGTTAATGTTATTGAATTATATTATGATAGCATCGACCAGTGGAGAAAAAAATGAGCTTACACAGGAAATGTTTAAGTTTGTTTCCCCTTGTGACATCAATTTACACGGTTGAGAAAAACATGAGGTTAATTGTCCTGTACGACTAGGCACATTTTACAATTAAAGAATTTGAATTCATTACTCATCCTTTTTATCTCCAGTATCTCGTTCGCGCTTTTCGAAATGGTTTCATCCGAAAACTACCAATACACACTGAAACTAAGCCAACCCTTGACTAACAATAAGACTAAGACTAAGAAAAGACGAATCGTTTTGAAAAGCTAACGGCTGCGCGCTAAAAAACCGAGAAGCGATTTTAATGGCATTTAGTGACATGCAGATAAGTAAGACAAGGGAATTAAAAATGCATGCATAATAGTAGACAATATATTCAGCATATTCAAAGAAACCTTACCTTTTGCATAAACATGAATCTCATGAATCGTCCTAACCAGCACCGCAGAAATACGTTTTGTGACGTCACAACACCTGGTCAGCGGTATTTGAGTTCTTTCGATCGCTTTCTTGTCCTTCGCGAGTCCTTCGCTGCTTCGCCTAGATGTGTTTATAATACGTACAGGTCGGTTTTATCGTGGAATTGAACGGGCAGTCTTCGCTTTTTTGAGACTAGCTTTCTTTAATAGATCGTAAACCGAGCTAAAGGACTTGTAAATACAGCTGAAGCGAAGTAAGTTTAACTTCGTGTAGCGTTGCGTCGAGTCAGTTTGAATTGCCTTGGGAAAAATGTACCAGAAGCTACAATGGAGAGCCAGAGAAGCAGAAGATTTTGAACACTGGCAAGGTTTTTAAGTGTAGCATTTGCATTCATAACATGCGATAGAGGTAAGACACTTTGAAAATTTATCAACAATTTTATTTCAAGACGCTAAGCTTACTCAGCTCAGCTGCCGTTTTTACCATCATTTTACAACTCTGATATTTTGTCGTAAGTTAGTATTAAGCTTTCATAACCGTGCTTTTGTCGACTTGGTTTAGCCGTCGACTTCTTTTTTTCATCGTTCAATAAAGACAAATAGTTCATTAACCACAACATGAGTTCAGTAAACATATATACACTAGGCATGTTAAGAAAGAAAAAATGACTACACATCGATTCAATGACCACACATCAGTTCAATAATCAAACCAGCAGCTTAAGGTTCCAGGTTCTATTTTTATGCCTAAGGGTAGTTACAGTGGTCTTTATTTTTCTTGGTAAGGAGGTGGGGGGGGAAAGAGGGTTTTACCGTACAGTAGTCGTTCAAAATAAAGTACATTTATAACAATTAGTCCATTTTATTGCTAGTTATTCAACATTGTCCTTTGATCAGCTTATAAAATTAATAATGAAGCCATTTCTTCCTCATGGAGCATGGAAGCACCTTATTTATTATTAGTCCGCAACTAACAAAGGGTGTATAAATAATTGCTTGTCCATATCTGTTGTTCAATGTCGATTTCACCTTGACAGTTCAATAATAATATTTTTATTTAGACAGCCATTTCTTAATCACTGTGTTTCCTTCCTCCTTTTACTTCCAAATACATCCAGAATTTACTATGACTCTCCCGATTCCAAGTTTCTGGAAGGTTTACCGTATTTCCTTGAATAATAGCCGGGGGCGATTATTATTATTTTCGCACAATTATTCAAGGGGAGGCAATTATTTTAGGGAGGCGATTATTTTAAACATTGCTCACTGGAAGTCGTCCACTAAATATTTTGTTTTATTTTCCCATTGAATCAACAAATGATCACATCAAATAAACTGAACATGGGCTTTTTTAGTGCTCCCGAGTTGGTTCCTTGATTACCTTTCATCGTCAATATCCTCAGCATCAGAGCTTGAATGTTCACTGATGAGTTTTGCCACACCAGACTCCAGGGAGGGGATTTAACAAATAGAAGATGGCAAGAAGGGTGGGGGGGGGCGATTATTTGAGGGAGGCGATTATTTGAAATATTTCTGTCTTAGGGGTGATTATTGGAGGTAGGGCGATTAATTGAGGGATCCGTGGCTATTATTCGAGGAAGTACGGTATGCATTGGTTGTTCTTTTTTAGAATGAGGTTGGGGCAAATGTTTTTGCATATATACAACAAAATTGCATTCACTTTTAATAGAATGGGGTTGGGATGATGGTCTTGTACAGGAGGTTATTAGATGTTAGCAATTTATCAGTTTTAACTTGTTTTATTCTTTAACTATATTTGTCAACTTAAAAAGTTTAATTTAATTTTTATTCTGCCTTACAGATAGTAGCAAAAGAGATTCAAACGAGCAGCAGTAGATGGAAAAAGAATGTCACAAATTGAAAAGAGAGAATGGATGTATTTAAAAAATAAACATAGTGCGTTTGGCTATTTTTCTTTTTCTTCTGTTTCTATAAACCTCCATTCATGTCAGTCATGCTTTTCATTTTGTCCATATTAACTTATGACTTTGCTTAAATCATCAACTTGTTGTTTGAATGTTGGTTCTGTCAAATAAATTGATGGCCCATTAGAGTTGTGGCTTTTAAATGAAATTTTTGTTTACAAATAGAATTTTATGTCTTTACGAGAAGTAGTTTTAATCAATAAAATTAATATGAGTTTTGCACATGACACATGAATTTAAGTGATTATCAATTAAGGACAGGGTGAGTGGTTGGGGGTAATCCTTTGTACCCCCCCCCCCACCTATAGAGCGCATTGTTGATCACATGTGGATGCAGAGTTTTGTGTCATTCTGCCTTGTTACTTCAGTGTGAAAGGACATCGAAACCTTTTCCCTACCTTCTTCCCTTTGCCTTGTCCTCATGTTCTTTTATTTGGCCTTTTAGTCCCTCACCTTTACAATGTACTGGGCTGAAAATTTTTATGTAGCCAATGTGGTGAAAGTACCCTTGATAAACCTGTTTTGTACACAAGTCATGTGATTCTGTTTATTACAATAAAATTAAAGCCGGCTATGGTGTGTCCCAAAGCCATTTTCACCCATATGGCATCTGTGTCTTAATTGCCCATTAAACAGAGCTCAGCCAATGTAGTATCCCAGTTTTTAGTAATATAAAGGAGGGAAAGACATAAATAGCATACATGCTTAACTATTTGTTACAAAACATAGTTTATAATTCCTTTAAAAATATTGAGCAATACAGAAAATACTTAGGTAACAGGTATTTTAACAACATGGGACCAAACTGGTCCTCTCTGATCAATCAGTAGTGTGAACTCTGCTGATGGGACACAAGAGTGGAACATGTCAGTGTACGCAAAGCTAGAGAAGCACACCTCATTGAGAGAGGTATTTTTCCACATACTGTTGTTTGTGGTTCTGGTGCATAATAATTATTGGTTTGTTCCACACAGACAACTTTGTTTCCTCCTTCAGATGGTCATTTACTATGCTTGTTTAGTACCTTTTTTAAATTTATTTTGTGGACTGTTTTGCAATTTGGCATCTTATGTTATTTTTAATAAAACATTCACTCCAAACAAAACTCTTGGTTGCCACTGTATTCATAACCAGAGGACCATCAGCCTTCTCTGCTTCACATCACTTCAGGCACAAATGAGTGGACAGCATTAATGGAAATTACAGAGGCATTTAATTTTGTTTGCAACAAAACTCCCTAGGTTCTCACAAAACTAACAACTCTTATTGTTGGTAACTTATGTGAATAATCCTGCCCCAGACCATTAACTGGTGTCAATAAGAAATATTTACATGCTCAGTTAAAATGTTTACTGCATTCATAACAATGGATAATAATTATTTTAAACTTTGATAACACAAAAAGAATTTCAAAACAACTTTGTGAATAATTTTCAAACTTTGTATTATCAATATTATAGAAAAAAGAATTCCTGAAAAGAAAAAAATAATAATGCATTGAAATACTTATCCTTTATACATAAACCAGAATTAAGGTTTCATTACAAATTTCTTTCAGTACAGCATCGAACAAAAAAATGGTCATTCGAAAACTTACCCCCTTGTGATCTTGTTTACGATTTTTTTTGTCGCGATCTTTTCGGTTTTTTTCTCACTTTTGGCCAGTTGTTTGACTTCTTTGGCGCTTCAATTCGGCACTTATTAGACCAACGTGTAATTCGGCAGCAAAGCACCAGCTTTATATAGAGTTTGAAATACTTGCACGGGATGGTATGAACGTGCAACTTCGCAGCGTGTCACCAAGTTGAAGGGGTCGTCTTGTCTTCGTATCAAATCGAAGTAACCCTGGCAAACCATTTCAAACGGCTCCAGCTCACCAGCTCTGCATACTTGAAGGTTGGTATGTCCTTAATAGGCATCGCTATATAGCTACAGCCTTTTGAAATATACTTGTTTTTGGCCTTTGCACACAACATCGATCATCGTGTCACGAAGACTATCGCGCCGCATACTTTCAAAAAATTCACTCGCTGTGCAAGCACAGTTTGTCTTTGGCACAATATATAATGTGTGAAAAGGAAGAAGGAAACGAGAGGCGAAGTTTAAAGATTAAGTTTTCAGTTTTCGCTCTAAGTTTTGGGGTTTTTTTATCGCCTACCGGGCTCGCGTTGAAAACCAATTCAAAGTTACCGGTGTTTTGAATTTTAAAAAGAGATGACGCTGACCAGCAAAATACTGTATCGCGCCTTCAAAAACGTATTTCTGCGGTGCCCGTCCTAACCGCCACTGAACCGTACCGTCTGGAAAGACCGCCAAATTTCGAGTGATGCCAGTTATCCAATGGCGGAGCGTAGCCTGATTTCTAATTTCTAACAACGGTGCCCACGTGCAGATTTTTTGGTCAGCGGTAAATAAATCATCAGCGCGCGACTCCGCGCGCCAGCCGCGCGCACAATTCGCGCACAAAGAAAATTTCTAGGAAATTAGAGGGATAAAATACCTCCAGCAAGAATTTTTGATACATTTGATAAATTCTTGACCGTAGATTCAATAGACTTTACTTCCCAGGAGAACAGCCGAAACCTCAGTTCCCAGCCAGCAAAATTTTCGCTGTAGAACAGATATTGTGAGGAACAGATCCGTTGGGTGCCCCTGTATTCTCGTTGGGTGCCTCTGTTGTCTACTGTGCTATCAGTAGTGCGAAGCTTAAAATTAAGCAACCACAATGACGACGGCAGTCAGCAAACCGGTCTCCTGAACAAATGATTTTGCGTTCTTTCAAACTCTAGATCTTCCATCCTCTATTGCCAAGTGAAGCTGGATTCTTATGGACTCCATCCAAGTTAAAAAAGAAAGCAAAACCTTCGTCGTCGTGTGTGTTCACGTCGTCAATTTTATCGTCGCAATAGCAAATTTCACGTCGGGGTCTTGTGGTTGACATCTAAAAAATGTACCAAAAAGCGTGATGCCCGTACAATGCTGTTGTTTTACCAATGAAAACAATTGTTCTTATGTCGTTATCCTCGCCGTCGTCCTAGGAATGGTTGCTTCAGCTCCCTAGTCTTTCTCTTTTAGACTCGGCAGATAATGATAATGATAATGATAATGATAATGATAATGATAATGATAATGATAATGATAATGATAATGATAATGATAATGATAATGATAATGATAATGATAATGATAATGATAATGAAAATGAAAATGACTTGGAGAAGTGTTTCATGATCAGTTTCCCTATCAAACAGTTGGTTGAGTAACTCTTTTGTGAGAACAAGTATCTTTTGACAAGAGTGTTTTCAGCCTGGGACCGGATGTTCAAGTTTAAAGCGATAACCTGTAATGGTCTTTGCGAGCACTCGCGAGCATTCGAGCACTACGATTTTTTTGGCGAGCACGAGCAGGGACAAAAAAAATTGCTTTGCGAGCAGCGAGCAGTTTACAGAGTACAACTCGAGAGCAGCGAGCACTTAAGAAAACAAAAATTTAAAGTTATGCAAAGTTTAAAGGACAGTTTAATTGTTTTCCATTTCCATTCTGCATCTTTATCATTTCTTAACTTGCAATATTCTAGTCTGAACAGAATTACATGTCGCGGACTACCGTATAGTACCCTATTTTTCCGAACGTTTTATAGATTCATTTTTTATTAACACCAGTAAGATAGTTACACGACCCCACAAATATGTGTTGACTTCACTATAAGTATTTTCTAAACTAAATAAAAAATGTGTACAATGTATGTAGTACATACCATTTTCATAGACTACGAGCAAGCTCTCCGTTTCAAGTGGCGAGTGAGGCAAGCCGCGGTGTGCATGACGCTAACGCCTAACATCTACTCCTCGACCAGTTGGAGAGCTTGCTGGTGTGACCCCGATTGTTCAAACGCTGGATAGCGCTATCCACCAAATAAATCACTATCCAGTGGATAGCGCAATTGGTTCTCCTATTTCATTTCCACTGGATAGTGATTTATCCCGTGGATAGCTCTATCCCAGGCCCTATCCAACGTTGAACAACCAGGGCCTGAAATGTCAGCTACCTACTACTCGCCCCATCCCCCCACCATTGGGTGGCTAAACGAGAGAGACGCCTGGCAGCGTTGGGCGTGGGCGGTGTGGGACGTAAGAGGTGCCTGACATTTTAGACAAAAAGCTGCCGGCAGGCTATTATGTTGAACGGTCACAGAACTGTCCTAGACTTTGATTGCTCGATATGTTTGCTGTGTCTGCTTGAATCACAGTCATGCTAGTAACATCATGTTCCCGTTGCCGTGATAAATGGCACCTTAGAACTCTTCCTAATACAGTTTTTAGATTTCCACCGTAGTAGCCGTATAACAAGGGATCCAAAGCAGGGTTGACGCATATTAGAAGTTGAGATGCTCTCCAAGCAACATCAGGTGACGCCAAATGGAAGTAAATTAGTGTTCTTGTGATCATAAATGGAGACCAGCAAATAACAAAAGCTATAGTTAAAGCTGCAAGAGTTTTGGCGACTTTCTTGTGTTTTTGATTTGACTCTTCGCGGGAATAGCTGTGTCTTGGCATTGCTCTATCTCGAAGGGCGCGGTAAATACGGGTTTGTGTTACTATCATATATAACAATGGGAGAACAAAGAAGAAAGCTCCATGTAAACAATAGTATATTTGTCGGCCTTTATTTCCCCATGATGTAGTAACGCAAACAACGTCTCCGTTTTCGAGTGTTTCCACACGGTAGATGAAGATCAAAGGTGAACAAACAGCGAAGCACAAGATCCAGATTAGTGCCAATGTTACATACTTTCTCTGTGACATGCTTTTATTTATTGCATTGAAGTAGAACGGGTCGGCCACGGCCTTTAGTCTCTGATAACTAATTACCACAAGGGTACTGATGGAAGTCGTGTAGGCTGCCTCGACAAGAAATCCCTGAAGTTTACAAGTGTTGTCACCGCCTACCCACTTCCAGAAAACGCCAATGGTGTTAAAAATGGTAAGAAATATAAACATGAGGTCGGCACAAGCCAAATTTACCACAAGCCACGTAAAAGGGTGATAATTTTTTTTCCTGATTGTCCTGTAACTGTTTCTTATTACCCATGTATTGCCAACGACTGAAAAAATGAAAACAGTAACATAAAAGAACCAAAGAAAGATCACAACGGAGAACGGAAAACCGTCGCTTACAGCCATAGCTCTTCAGCGGTAACGCAACAGTGTTCTAGAATGAACAGTCATCCTGTTATATTTTTTACTACCGTCGTGTATCGTTGACGTGTCAGTTCCGGTAACTGGCAACTCAATATTTTAAACGATCTAACTGTGACGACTTCTGGAAGCTTATTTTACTCGAAGCTGAATATCAGCAAGTGCATATAACCTCAAGTAAATACAATTTGAGATTTAACCTGATAGACTACAACTTGAAATCATTGATTTAAAATAGTCATTACAGTTTCACCGTACTGTTTAGGCTACCGAATATACTTTTAATTAATTAAGACAAAGATAGGTATAAATTAAAAGCTTGGCAAGGGTTTTCAAACTGAGAAAGAGGGAGAAGTCTAGCGGTGTATGTTAGCCAGCCGACGCAAGGAAGCGTCTTCGGAGTACCCTGCTAGCATAGCCATGCTCGATTATGGTGTGCTCGATTAAAAGACTTGTTTACCATTCTCTTTGTGTCGCTAGGATACAGTTTCGAATCCAGGCCATATAGCCGTGCGGTTGGTACAGAGGGCTCAGTTGTGATCAGAGGTTTATCAATAAACAGATGCTCGCGCGGCCTGCGGCAACTTCGAAGGCTTGACGCAAATCAGGCAGAGCCTTGTTTTCTCCTCCTCACCCACGAAGACAAAAAGTGGCTCTACGAACTCGTGTCACCAAGGGGAGAAGTCCAGGATCTCCTTATTCAATGGAAGATACATGTTCTTTAGAAAAATTATCAAAATTTCTTTGTTTCTTCTTAAGTTTTATAATTAGCGGAAAATTAAAATTTATGCTAGATTTGCTTATCCACCAAAAATTAGGAATTGTCTTGGAAACTCTAAACCAAAAATTGCGTTGTGATGTTTTTTGTTTTAAAAGGCCTTTTATTCGAACTGGAGACTATTTACTTTAACACCCTGATTCGACTCAGGAAGAATATAATAATGACTTTCAGGACTTTGCAAAAAATGATTGACAAAAAAAAAATAGTTGGCCTCTAAATTGTCTCGGTCCATGCTCTCCTGGTTTGATGTCGAAGGAAATCTGCTGTTTGATCATCTGGAAAGAGATGTTTTCTTTGTTTTCAGTTGATTTTGTTCAGTTTGTGCCTATCCACACTAGCCATAAAGTTGCTTATTGAGACCAATTTTCTTTTTTCACCAAGTTACTAAAGGTAATCAACCCCTCAACAGATCTCGCTTCCGTCTGTTTACGGCATTAATCATCGATCTGTCTCAGGTCGATGTGTTTGATTGAAACACAGTCATGCTAGTAACATCATATACCCGTCGCCGTGAAAAACGACCTCTCAGAATTCTTCCTAATACGGTTTTTATATTTCCACCATAGTAGCCGTACAACAAAGGATCCAAAGCAGGATTAACGCATATCAGAAGTTGAGATGCTCTCCAAGCAACATCAATTGAATTCAAATGAAAGAAAAGTAGGGTCCGTGTGATCATAAAAGGTGACCAACATATTGCGAACGCTATAGTTAGAGCTGCAAGTGTTCGGGCAACTTTCCTGTGTCTTAGTTTGATTTCTTCAGCTAAACTGTTGCGTATAGGCACGCCTCTTGGCTGAAGAGCGCTATGAATGTTTGTCTGTGTGACAATCATATATAACAAAGGTAAGACGAAGAAAAGTGTCCCATGCAAAGTGTAATATATTTGTCGGCCAGTATCCCCCCATGTCGTTGTTACACAGACTATGTCGCCGTTTATTTGTGTTTCCACGCGATATATGAAGAACAAAGGTGAACAAACAGAAAAGCACAGGCCCCAAATTATGGCCAGTTTCATGTATTTCATTCGAGCCCAGCAACTAAATTTAGCCTTAAAGGGGTGAATCACAGCCTTCAGTCTCTGATAACTTATGACAACAAGCGTTGAGATGGAAGTTGTGTAGGTTGCCTCGACAAGAAACCCATGAAATTTGCAGGTGCTATCACCTCCTGGCCAACGCCAATGAAAGCTGATAGTGTTGAAAATTGTGAGAAGAGTGAAAACAAGATCAGCGAACGCCAGATTCGCCACGAGCCACGTAAAATGATTATGCGGTCTTCTTTGCTTGATTGTTGCGTAGAAAGTGACCGCGATGATCCATAAGTTACCAACAAAAGACATAATGAAAACTGTGATATAAAGTATAATGCTGAAAACCAGTAAGATCAGGGGAAAATCATCCTCTTTAAATGCCATAGTTCATAAGGCAATAGTCGAAGCAGAAGGTTTGCTGCCATTAATTACTGCAAGAACTGTTAAAAGTATTGATAGCTTTTCTTTTTATGTCTTTTATTGTCTACTTGCCATTATTCGAAAGTACGCTATACAAGTCTGTTCTTTACTTCAAGTGCTATAATAGTGCACTGAGTCTTTGCTTGCTCCAATTACTGCGAAGAAATAACTTTCCTTTTTGTCTCTTTTCATTGTGCTTTTGAAGTTATACGGAAGGTGCGCTATACGTCATGTATTATTATCATAAAGAACTGTTCTTTCAGTAATTACTTCAATTGCTTCCGGCTCAGAAAGATGTTGAACCAATCAATAAATTCAAAAACTGTCGTTAGGTAATGAATAATAATAACGACAGGTGAGTGATTAATTTTATTTGTTTAACCCTCTCTTTTAATACTTTATTCTGACATATCTTATATATACTAAATTAATTAATAGGATGTCAAACGAATCCCATAAGACAAAGTACTGTAATATTTTTTTGTGTAATCATCCTCCGCTTAGTTGACCTCCAAAAATACGAAATACCATTTGGTACTGTGTTTCGGACGAGAAGTCGTTGTTTTAAAAAGTTCCTTTAAAGAAGAGTTTGAACTAGAGGATTAAATTAACACTAAAAAAATACTAATGTTATGTTATGAAGAATTTTACGGCAGATCAAAGATTGGGCATCCTTGCATGGAATACACGGTTATCAAAATATATTGAACAGTCCGTGAGGACTGACCTCCGATGTTACATTTCTATCTATGATATACCACTTAGGTTATCGGATCTGGCCGAAACATTTGACATCTTTTAGACTTGTAGTTGACTATGAAACTTAATTTGATATCACTGGAGGATCTAGTACGTTTTTTTGGTATCTTGAAAATAAAACTTTGCGTGCGATCTCGCCTTTCCACTATGCGAGTTATGCGGTAATCTAGTAACAGGCTTCGTTGTTCAAATTTTAGTTTCGACTTTCTTCCAACTGTAAGGGCTGTTGACAAAACAGTCTTGAGAAAAAGCGAAACGTGTCTTTCGACTTTCAAGTATGACGAATACTAGCTAGCTGGCCATTAATCTTCTTGTTCCAAGGCGTAACGGTGAGGGGGAAGGTGAGTGAAAAGTGAAAACACTATCTTACGCAACAGGACTGGAACGGAAAGAAGACGGCAAACCTAGCGTGACAATAATTTTGTTAGATAACCTTTCCGCCGATCTTCACCTTCCTTTATAACAGATCTTTTTGTCAAAAAAAAAACAAAAAAAAATTAATGATAAGTGAAGATCACGACAAAAACACGCAAGTGATAGCCCTGTCACGTTTGTCAAAAAAAAGCGTTTTGCCGTCCTCTTCTTCCTGCCGTCCGGTAGCGTAAACTCACTATTGACAAATCTGACTTCAATGATAACAGGAAAAATTAAGATTTGCAGTCCAGTAGGTTGACAAATCTGTGGCTTTAATCCCCGGGGTACGTTTTCATAACCCGCTGGCGTTAACCCAATTTGAAAGAGGCAGGCAATATACACTGTTGTCGCTAGTCACTGTGACGTCAACGGATTGTATATTGCATGGACGTCACGCAAGACAACGACGCAGAAGATTAGTCAGAATATTTTTTTTCGCACGAGTGCAGAACTAAAAAACCAAAGGCAAAAATATGCATAAAGTATTACTCGATGAATTTCATCTGCTCTTTGTGGAGTATCAGCAAGGAACTTTGAAACATCCATTCATATTCTGAAACTGTGATGAGAAAAAGGGATGTTTTGAAGAGAGCCACGAGGAGGTAAGGATGTTTAGAACTTAGAAATAAATGATTAACAAAACAGTTATTGATGTTGAATGCGGCTTCCTATTTATTTAATTAATTTGTTTATTTACCAGCTTTTTCGGCACACAGGCCTGCCCAGAGGGAATGTGTACGAACGGGACTCAGATCTCCTGGGAGGTGCCACACTACCGGGGTCTAAGAGCCCTACGTACTCTTTTCGAATAATGATGAGGGTTCTTTTACGTCCCACAAGAACAAATCAGTGAAAGTGCTGTGAGACGGGACCTACTCTTTTTCGTCCTTATCCGAGAAGACTATAAAGTCTAACCATTTGCAGATCTTATTACCAAGGCAGCACTTTCTTCTCAGTTATTTTAAGACCCTGAGTGTTGGTCCGGCCGGGGTTTAAACCCGCAGCCTCTGAGCTAACCAGGCGGCGGTCATTCTGCATCATTATTCACGATCATACTCAGCCTTCCCATTCAATAATTACTGTTAAATGATATAAAAATTATCCCTTGGTGGCGTTTGCATCAATCACCAGTCCAATATTTTTGTCATAAAATGCATCGTAATGCTGAAAAAAACTGAAATTGTTAAAAACTGAGGCCCTGACCTAATAATTCCGCGTGCAAGACAAATAAAGTAGACTCTAAAAAACAACAACAAAAAAAAACTGTGAGTGGTCTGAGCCACACGAGAGGAACAACAGCTCAAACCGTTTTTTTCTGCGTGCCCTACCTTGCTACGCTAGTTTCCTGTTGATTACTATTATAACCTAACTCTTGGATTAACACATTCCTAGAGTTTTGAACTAGTGTTACGACGAAGAAGGGGATACTGTTTGAGACTGCGTCGTTGTAAATGACTGCGACTTAACCGACCGTGACTTCGTGGTTATATCCGAGCCACAAGAAGGTTGTGATCGTTTGCAAGGCATTTTCGATTCGTTGGGTGGTTGCACGAGTGTTTTCTTCGCATAATCGCCATGTCGAAAACACCATATTGACCTGCACCCCCCGTCTCCTTCTTTCGGCATAACTCCTACCCACAAGGGTTGCTGTTTCAACTCTCCTCAATCTCCCTCAGTGATAAAACCACGGCATTACGAACCTAAGCAAGTCGCTTTAACTGCTCGTCTAGTAAATTATGAAATACTCAACAGGACAGTTGCATGATGACGTCATTTTACTATAACTAGCAGAACTATCAGCTTGCTGTTTTCTAGAGCACATTAGAGCTATTGTTTTTTAAACTTCAGACTAATTGACAAATTAAAATAAGAAAGCAAAAAAGAAATGAATTCTGTTATTAGTCAAATGTCGTCATAGTGAAAATGGCCTATTTTTTGTTGTTTTGGGGTTTTGTTGTTATTGTTTTTATTTACATTTGTCTCAATGAGTAAGCTACACAACTTCACAAAAAAAACTATCTTTTTGTCCATTTTAAATACGCTCACAACACTCAATTTTCTCCTTATCTGGCCGATCTGTTTGCTTGAAACACAGTCATGCAAGCAACATCTGTATGTTCCTGTCGCTGTGAAAAATGGCACCTCAGAACTCTTCTTAATACAGTTTTTAGATTTCCACCATAGTAGCCGTATAACAAGGGATCCAAAGCAGGGTTGACGCATATCAGAAGTTGAGATGCCCTCCAAGCAACACCAGGTGACGCCAAATGGAAGTAAATTAGTGTTCGTGTGATCATAAAGGGTGACCAACAGATAACAAACGCTATGGTTAAAGCTGTGAGTATTCGGACAACTTTCCTGTGTCTTCTGTTAGTCTCTTCAGCTACAATGCTACGCATCGGAACCACTCTTCGCAAAAGAGCGCGATTAATTTTTTTTAGAGTGACTATCATATATACTAAAGGTGAAACAAAGAAAATTGCTCCATGAAAACTGTAGTAAATTTGTGGGCCAATATTCCCCCATGCTGTAGTAACACAAACTACTTGTCCGTTTTTTTTTGTTTTCAAGCGGTATATGAAGACCAAAGGTGAACAAACAGCAAAGCACAGGCCCCATATTATAGCCAGTTTTGAGAATTTCATTGTCGTCCAGCGACTAAATCTAGCATGAAAGGGCTCAATCACAGCCTTCAGTCTCTGATAACTTATGACAACAAGCGTGGAGATGGAAGTTGTGTAGGTTGCCTCGATAAGAAACCCATGAAATTTGCAAGTGTTATTACCTCCTGGCCAATGTTGGACAACGTTGAAAATTGTGAGTAAAGTAAACAAGAGATCAGCGAACGCCAGATTTGCCACGAGCCACCCAAAATGATTAAATATTCTTAGTTTGATTGTCTTTTGACATGTAACAATTATGATCCATGTGTTGCCAATAATGGACATAATAAAAAGTATACAATAACATATAGTACCGAAAACCACTATTGACAGCGAAAGACCGTTTCCAAATGCCATAGTCAGTTATAAATTCAACAGTGCAACAAGACTGTATACGCTTGCGTTAAAAACTACAATGACCTGTATTGTTAACCGGTTTTCCTTTTGGTTTCCTTAGGTTTTTATATTGAATGTGCGCGGTATCAAGTTAATAAATCATTGTTATTGTTATACTGAAGTACTCTTGTTGTATAAGTACTTTTGAGGGGGCGCGGGCGTGAAAGGGTCCGAAAACCGCAAAAACGCACAAACAAACATAAAAAAAGCAATAGCGCACCCGAAATAACCAGAAATGGAAATTGTTTGGCTTTATTTATCTGCAGTCTCGCAGTTTAAAATGTAAATTCCCGCTACGCGTCCACAAGGCATCTAGCATTCGGGTATTTGAAAACGGAGATTTTTTCCGTCTTAGCCTTCCCTCCTCACGTAAACTAAGTTTTGGGGACCAAAAACGCAAGTTTTCGAAAACGCTTTTTAAAGCGCTTTTTTTGTGTGGACGGACCAAAATGGAGGTTTTTGAATACGACTGATATATGTTGTCATATATCATACAGCGCATGCTGTGTAATGCATGCTATAGAATTTCTATTGCTTTACCGTTTTCGAGTGGACGGGTGAAAACGATTCCAATACGCTACGTGTGAACGCATTTTTTGTCGATAAATTAAATTTCAAAAAATGTCCATTTTCAAATATTTCGGGATACGCGTGGAGAAGCCCTAAGGTATGCAAACACATTCCAGTCCTGGCAGGATGTTTGTCTCCGTCATGCCTAGTCATGGGGGTACGCATGCACGCTTTGTGGAGCTCCGCTATAAATTCAAAGAACTCAAAGCCCCCAAGCCCCCACCCCCCTCCCCCAAAAAATAAGTTAAAGAAAAAAAAGAAAGGAAATTAAAAGAACGTTTCTCCAAAAAGCAGATAGCCATTAGTTATTAGTTGTTCCATTTTGTGTTTTTTCCAAGGATCAGACGGTCGCGATCGGTAAATTGAGGATGAAGGTAAATCGCGAAATACGGAATATTTTTAGGCTTCTCTCAAAAGCTGTAGTAATTAAGAATGACGAAAATGAACAAGAGAGCTGCAAGGATAGACTATATTGTTCAAATGAGAGCCCTTTACACTTGTATATACAAATCAGTGGCTCTCGATTAATCTCGATCGTACCGAAACAAACTACAACTTCACAGAGAAGATTTGAGTAACCCAGGTTTGAACTGTAATACAGAGACAAACACTTTCGAGATGAACTGCAACTTGAATGTTAAGTTGATCTTTCATTCCTCAAAAAGGAACAAAACTTAGTTATTCTATGAGGAAACTGTAATGTCTTTTTACTTGTACAATTAGCTTCTGATCTGTTTGCCTGTGGCAGATTTTTGGATCGAGTTTGTTAAGAACCTAAAAACTAACTTTTAATGCCGGCAAGATATATACTCAACTTTGAACAGTAAATCTGGGAACAAGCAAGACAACAGCTTTTGTTGTTTGTTCGAGCTCGGAAGCGAACCAATCTTACAGTTGCCAAAATTAACTGAAAAAAATGTAAGTTTTGTTATTGCACACAGACTTTTTGCGTTCGACGTTAGGAGAACGCTTCGTAATCTTTGGGGATCCTGTGGTCGATGGGATACCTGTGCATGCCAGGCGTGAAGATTCGAGATTTTTGGTTACTTGGACGGGCGATGTTCAAAATCTGCGCCATTTTGAATAATTATTAAGCGCGCGCACGAATTTTAAGCCCAATAGCCGGCCAAAGAAATTGCGGGCTCACCTTGTGGACATGCGCACACAACTATTTTTTACGTCATAAGCAATTGTCATATGGCAATCACGTGCATCACTGGTTCCATCAAGGTCAACTAGATGATTACACGGGAATATTTGAGTTCGGCAAAAGAATGAACTTTGGAGTTGTTTTCTAAGCGGGTTTTATCACTGAGCTGATGATTCTGCTAAACTTTTCGGTCAATGCCGTTCAAATCGAGCTGGAACTTCGTAGAAACACACAAATAAAGACCAGGTAACATTTGTGCCGTGAGAAGTTTACCCGTGCGTTTGAGTCTATTTACATATTTGTAGTTTAACCTCTTTCATGCACGAAAAAGTAAGCTTGAGCGTATCAGTGCAGTTTGTTACAACTGTAATGCTTTATTCACGTCTGATATCTCTACGCGGGTAATTTTGCATGATAAGTATCTCGCTCGCTGAAGCAAGCTAAGTTTAAAACATGTTGAACTGACCTACATCGTGAACGTAAAATAATCATGAGATGAAAAGTTTGCACAATGGCAAAAGATTCTGTCCGGTTCTCTGACATCAGTAATCTAGCAGAAACCTAATATGTTTCCGTCGCTCCTATGGTCATTGATTTCACTTCAAGTTGTGTCACGCAAGAAGCCAAGACTTTTAACCTTCAAGGCTACCATTTTTTCGAAGTTTGTAGTGACATGTTTATCTTTTTAACAACAAAGAACTTTTTACGATCTACTTTACATTTTTATCGACCATGCTTGAGGGAGAGTAAGACATTTTAAGAGTAGAGAGTTAATGAGTGAGATATTTTGAAGCCGTATACGCGAAGAACATTTTTTACGAAAAGAATGTTTACCTTTTAATTCATGATCTCTTCCATGATTTTGAAATCAAGCTTGACGACACAAAAGCTAATCTGGAGCTAAGAAAACTCGAACGCACTTATTGATCTATGATTACTACTAGTATATTTAATACATTCCACTTGCTGGTGAATGAAAAGGACAAAAAAACGCTATGAGCTTTAATATAAGCTACATCACAAAATCTATTCTGATCAGTAAATGTCAGAAATATCTCAGGTCAATAAAGCCGGAATTAATATTACAGTACTTCAAAACTTATGAAATGTGGGCAATATTGAGAAAACTATTTCAGGCTAGTTTTTATCTATTAACAGGTTAGAATATAACTTAAACAGTCGACGTATTATCCGTTCTAACATCATATGCCCGTCGCCGTGGAAAACGACCCCTCAGAACTCTATGTAATCGAATTTTTAGATTTCCACCATAGTAGCCGTATAAAAAGGGATCCAAAGCAGGATTGACGCATATCAGAATTTGAGATGCTCTCCAAGCAACACCGGGTGATGTTAAATGAAAGTTAATTAGTGTACGTGTGATCATGAAAGGTGACCAACATATTGCAAATGCTATAGTTAGAGCTGCAAGTGTTTTGGCAACTTTCTTGTGTCTTCTGTTAGTTTCTTCTGCGACGCTGTTGCGTACTACTTTGACTCTTCGAAGAAGAGCGCGATTTATGTTTACCTGTGTGACATTCATGTATAATAAAGGTGCAACAAAAAAAAGTGTCCCATGCAAACTGTAGTAAATTTGTCGGCCAGTATCTCCCCATGTTGTAGTAACACAAATAATTTGGCCGTTTCTTGTTTCCACACGGTATATGAAGATCAAAGGTGAACTAACAGCAAAGCACAGGCTCCATATTATAGCCAATTTTGTGTATTTCATTCTTGTCCAACGAGAAAATCTCGCCTTAAAGGGGTCAGTCACAGCCTTCAGTCTCTGATAACTTATGACAACAAGCGTCGAGATGGAAGTTGTGTAGGTTGCCTCTACAAGAAACCCATGAAATTTGCAAGTGCTATCACCTCCTGGCCAATCAGAGTAAAAGCTGACAAAGTTGAAAATTGTGAGAGAAATAAAAACGAGATCAGCGAACGCCAGATTCGCCACGAGGCACGTAAAATGATTAAATATTCTTTTCTTGATTGTTCTTTGGTACGTGACTACAATGATCCATGAGTTACCAACGACTGACAAAATGAAAACAGTACAATAAAGAAGACTGCCGAAAACCACTGTGATCAAAGAAAACTCCTCACTAAACGCCATAGCTCATAAGGCAAAATAATAAATAATAAAGACCACTCTATGAACGTTCGTTCTATTCTGCGGTTTTTGCAACTGCTTCCAATGTTTCTTTCCCAAAGGATGGACGTTTTTGTAGGTACAGAGCACTCACTAGGTCGACAAAACCCCAATATCCAAATACAAATCAGTTCCAGACTAATCAGTCTCCATAGATTTCCCTAAAAAACTAGTAGAGAGAAGTTGTTTAAAAATCAATTTCTCTTTGATTATGCGTGGATACTGTTAGGAGAAAATTGACATTGGTCACTTTTTGTACTATAGTTAATAATTATTCCTCTAGCCCGAAAGGGCTCTGAGTCAATAGCCCATGAGGCCGAAGGCCGAATCTGCTATTGATTCAGAGGCCATGAGGGCGATAGGAATAATTGTTTTAGTAAAATCCAACTAGTTGGTAAACAATATCGAGACAAAACAACTTTAGCTAGCGAAACGCGATTCAGCCACCATTGTTTTGTTGTTCAAAGCCGGCGCATTTCGCTACTAGTAGGCTGTAACATATAGCCTAGTATTAGCTCAACCAATCAGAACGCAGGATTGTTATTGACCACTAGCTGGATTTTACTAATAAGGGTTAGACACTTGTTCTTCGTGCCATTTACCGGCCAAAGAAGTATTTAACAGTTATTCCTCGAGCCCCAAAGGGGTCTGAGTCAATAGCCCATGAGGCCGAAGGCCGAATGGGCTATTGACTCAGAGGGCGAGAGGAATAATTGTTTTAGTAAAATCCAACTAGTTGTTCAAAAGTATCGGGACAAAACAACTTTAGCTAGCAAAACTTGATTCAGCCGCCATTGTTTTGGTTTTCAAAGCCGGCGCTTTTAGCTACTAGTAGGCTATAACATATAGCCTAATAGTTGCTCAACCAATCAGAACGCAGCATTGATAATAGACCACTCGTTGGATTTTACTAAATAGCCTCAGAATGGACTCGAAACTTTTCACTCTTTCATTCTAGAACCATAAGAACACCTGCGGTTATTTGCCGGTAAAGCAATAAAAATATGTATGGACCTCACCAAACTAAGACGGCGACAGGAACGGAAAAGACAAAAACCAGTAGGGTTAATGAGCAAAGCAAGATCACTACAAGTGTATCGCACTTTTTTGTTAATTCCTTTGTCGTCCCTGCTCAACTACCACGTGAAATGACCAAACTTAAGGTGTATTTGGGAACGGAAACGGAAAGGTGGTAATTTGTTTTACTATCTCTGTCTGAGCTTGGACGGCAAAGTTTACATCGACGTCGCCGTTGTCGTATCCAAGAGAGGTCGAAGGACCGTCAGTCCTCTCTTAATAGAAGTAACTTACCTTTGACTGTATTACAAAACATCGATAATTTTTCCTTGACGACGGCGAATGCATCGTGAACAAAGTTCTCTTTTGATAAACTGTCATTATATATTAATAACAATAGGCTAAGTAAAGTGAAGACGTTGACGCATTTACATTTCCCTGCTAGCAGGTGCCTAGAGGCATCTTCTAGCAGGGAACATTTTTTTTTTGTCGAAAATGGTTGAAGGTTGTTCACAGTGGTGAAGTGCAATTATTCGTGTTTAAACGATTTAGTCACTCAGTGCGATGTAGATCGCTGTGTTTCGACTGGTCGTTCCGTTTTCGATTCGGTAGGAAATTTCAGAGGGATTTAGTGTGAACCATAGGCCTAACTGTAAGAATAGAGTTGAATTTTCAAATCTATCTAGCGTAGTGTGGAAGGGGCCTGAAAGAAATAAAAAAAACATTTTTGAATTGGTTTAGTTTAGTGTGAACCGAATATATTCATCTTTTGGCGTTTCAAAATGTCTCAGTTCAGTCAGGTGTCCGCAATTTACTGGATTAATGTATAGGCTGGGAGGTTGATATGCAGCTTGTCAGTTTTGTTTTTATAATGCTCTTCCCTCGGGTTCACCGAGGGATATTTGTCTTGCAAGTTTTAGTCTATTCCAGCAGGCTTTCAATTTCGCTTTTTTCTCTTCACGGTCAGAAGCCATGCGGCCTCATGGAGTTTCTCTTCTTCTTTTTTTTTTCTCTCAGAAAAAATGGGCTTCACTTATATAAATAACACTTTTAAAATATCGGTCTAAATATTGGTGATTTTTTTCTTGTAACGAAGGATTTTTGCCCTTGTTTTGTGCTTCTCCAGAGAAAATGTCATTGTTTCTCTCTGTCAATACAAACTTTGTTCGTTCCATCTGCCAATTTCGGCCGCACATTATCTTCTTACCTATATCTCCTCTAATAGTGATAAATCCCGACAAGTAGACAGGTCTTAGCATTCGTTTTTAAAGCCTTGTTGACTGTTTCCCTAAACTCCCTCCGCTTAAAACTTGTCACATTAAAGAAGCATAAAGTAGGAACTGGTGTTTTAGTATGATGAAAGACTATGAATGATTTATCAATTCATATATATTGCCAGCAATGGTCCCAAACTACACGGCAGTAACCACGGCAGTTATTTCAAAGGTTTGTCCTTAAATAAATAACGCTACTTTTTCATTTCGTTGAAGATATTTGTGTGACGTGTGACAAACATAAAAAAGGCAATAGCGCACAGGAAATAACCAGAAATGGAAACTGTTTGGCTTTATTTATCTGCAGTCCCGCAGTTTACGAACGAGAACGTCAGTTAACGACGGCGCGCGCAATTTAAACAACTGGTTTGGCTTGACCAATGGCAGAGCGGCAAATTGGGCACCGGAAGTCGAGTTTAGTCCTTTTCGCGCGCTTTCCCGTCGTCAAATGACGTTCCCGTTCTGTTGCTAAATCAGCCTAATATAAATTCCCACAACGCGTCCACATGGCGTCTGGCATCCGGGTGTTTGAAAACGGAGATTTTTTTTCATCTTAGCCTTCCCTCCACACGTAAACGACGTTTTCGGGCACCAAAAACGCGAGTTATCGAAAACTGTCCCAGCTTGGATTTTTTTTAAAGCGCCGACTTGTCTTTTTTGTTTGGACGGACGAAAATGGAGGTTTTTGAATACGACTGAAAAATGATGTCATACATCATACAGCGCATGCCGTGTAATGGATGCTATAGAATTTCTATTGCTTTACCGTTTTCGACTGGACGGGTGAAAACGATTCCAATACGCTACGTGTGAACGTATTTTTTGTCGATAAATTAAATTTGAAAAAAATGTCCATTTTCAAATATTTCCGGATACGCGTGGAGAAGCCCTAAGGTATGCAAACACATTCCAGTCCTGGCAGGATGTTTGTCTCCGTCATGCCTAGTCATAGGGGTACGCATGCACGCGTTGTGGAGCTCCGCTATAAATTCAAAGAACTCACAGCCCCCAAGCCCCCTCCCCCCCTAAAAACAAAGTTAAAGAAAAAAAGAAAGAAAATTAAAAGAACGTTTCTCTAAAAAGCAGATAGCCATTAGTTATCTGCAATAGCTATGTCTTGTTCCATTTTGTGTTTTTTCCAAGGATCAGACGGTCGGTAAATTGAAGATGAAGGTAAATCGCGAAATACGGAATATTTTTAGGCTTCTCTCAAAAGCTGTAGTAATTAAGAATCTACTAAAATGAACAAGGGAGTTGCAAGGTTAGATATTGTTCAAATGAGAGCCCTTAACACTTGTATATACAAATCAGTGGCTCTCGATTAATCTCGATCGTACTGAAACAAACTACAACTTCACAGAGAAGATTTGAGTAACCCAGGTTTGATCTGTAATACAGACACAAACACTTTCGAGATGAACTGCAACTTGAATGTTAAGTTGATCTTTCATTCCTCAAAAAGAACAAAACTTAGTTATTCTATGAGGAAACTGTAATGTCTTTTTACTTGTACAATTAGCTTCTGATCTGTTTGCCTGTAGCAGATTTTTGGATCGAGTTTGTTAAAAACCTAAAAACTAACTTTTAATGCCGGCAAGATATATACTCAACTTTGAACAGTAAATCTGGGAACAAGCAAGACAACAGCTTTTGATGTTTGTTCGAGCTCGGAAGCGAACCAATCTTACCGTGACGGTTGCCAAAAATTAACTGAAAAACTGTAAGTTTTGTTATTGCACACAGACTTTTATATTTGATACATTCCACTTGCTACATCACAAAATCTATTCTGATCAGTAAATGTCAGAAATATCTCAGCTCTATAAAGCCGGAATTAATATTACAGTACTTCAAAACTTATAAAATGTGGGCAATATTGAGAAAACTATTTCAGGCTAGTTTTTATCTATTAACAGGTTAGAATATAACTTAAACAGTCGACGTATTATCCGTTGTAACATCATAAGCCCGTCGCCGTGGAAAACGACCCCTCAGAACTCTTTGTAATCGAGTTTTTAGATTTCCACCATAGTAGCCGTATAACAAGGGATCCAAAGCAGGGTTGACGCATATCAGAATTTGAGATGCTCTCCATGCAATACCGGGTGAAGTTAAATGAAAGTTAATTAGTGTACGTGTGATCATGAAAGGTGACCAACATATTGCAAATGCTATAGTTAGAGCTGCAAGTGTTTTGGCAACTTTCCTGTGTCTTCTGTTAGTTTCTTCTGCGACGCTGTTGCGTACTACTTTGACTCTTCGCAGGAGAGCGCGATTTATGGTTATCTGTGTGACATTCATATATAATAAAGGTACAACAAAAAAAAGTGTCCCATGCAAACTGTAGTAAATTTGTCTACCAATATCTCCCCATGTTGTATTAACACAAATAATTTGGCCGTTTCTTGTTTCCACACGGTATATGAAGACCAAAGGTAAACAAACAGCAAAGCACAGGCTCCATATTATGGCCAGTTTCGTGTATTTCATTCTTGTCCAACGACAAAATCTCGCCTCAAAGGGGTCAATCACAGCCTTCAGTCTCTGATGACTTATGACAACAAGCGTCGAGATGGAAGTTGTGTAGGTTGCCTCGACAAGAAACCCATGAAATTTGCAAGTGCGATCACCTCCTGGCCAATCAGAGTAAAAGCTGACAAAGTTGAAAATTGTGAGAAAAATAAAAACGAGATCAGCGAACGCCAGATTCGCCACGAGGCACGTAAAATGATTAAATCTTCTTTTCTTGATTATTCTTTGGTATGTGACTACAAGGATCCATGAGTTACCAACGACTGACATAGTGAAAACAGTACAATAAAGAAGACTGTAGAAAACCACCGTGATCAAAGAAAACTCCTCACCAAATGCCATAGCTCATAAGGCAACTGATTTGTGAGGGCCGGCAGCCAGTAAATTGTATATATGCTCACATTTATTATTGACAAGACAAGAGAGAATTCATTCTCTCTTGTTATTGAAGTGAACTCTATATATTGATAACTTTCCTGTCTCTTTTTTGGTACATTTATATAAAACATACTCCATATAAGTAAGAGCCTTAAAAAATTAAAAAAATATCATAATACTCTCTCGCGTTAACTCCTTCATTCCTCTAATAAAGACCACTTTATGAACGTTCGTTCTATTCTGATTTGGACATATTACTTAACGGTTTTTGCCACTGCTCCTAATATTTCTTTCCCATAGGATGGACGGTTTTGTAGGTACAGAGCACTCACTAGGTTGAAAAAATCCCAATATCCAAATACAAATCAGTTCCAGACTGATCAGTCTCCATAGATTTCCCTAGACAACTAGTAGAGAGAAGTGGTTTAAAAATCAATTTTTCTTTGATTATGCATGGATACTGTTAGGAGAAAATTGTCATTGGTCATTTTTTGTACTATAGTTAACAATTATTCCTCGAGCCCGAATGGACTCTGAGTCAATAGCCCATGAGGCCGAAGGCCGAATGGGCTATTGATTCAGAGGCCATGAGGGCGAGAGGAATAATTGTTTTAGTAAAATCCAACTATCTCAAAAATATCGAGACAAAACAAGTTTAGCTAGCGAAACGCGATTCAACCGCCATTGTTTTGGTTTTCAAAGCCGGCACATTTCGCTACTAGTGGGCTATAACATATAGCCTAGTATAAGCTCAACCAATAAGAACGCAGGATTGATTATTGAACACTGGTTGGATTTTACTAATAAGGGTTGGACACTTGTTCTTCGTGCCATTTACCGGTCAAAAAAGTATATAGTAACAGCTTCAGATTCGGACTCGAAACTTTTAACTCTTTCATTCTAGAACCAAAAGAACACCTGCGGTTATTTGCCGGTAAAGCAATAAAAATACGTATGGACCTCACGAAACTACGACGGCGACAGGAACGGGACCGTCAAAAACCAGTAGGGTTAATGAGCCGAAACAAGATCACTGCAAGTGTATCGCGCTTTTTTGTTAACTTCTCTGTCGTCTGTGCTCAACCACCACGTGAAATGACCAAACTTAAGGTTTATTTGGGAACGGAAACGAAAAGGTGGTAATTTGTTTTACTATCTCTGTCTGAGCTTGGACGGCAAAGTTTTCATCGACGTCGCCGTTGTCGTATCCAAGGGAGGATGAAGGACCGTCAGTCCTCTCTTAGTTGTAACGTGCCTTTGACGGTATTACAAAACATCGATAATCTTTCCTTGACGATCGCGAATGCATCGTGAACAAAGTTCTCTTTTGATAAACTGTCATTATATATAACAATAGTAAAGTTAAGACGTTGAGGCATTTACATTTCCCTGCTAGCAGATGCCTCTAGGCATTTGTCTTTTTGTCGAAAATGGTTGAAGGTTGTTCACAGTGGTGAAGTGCAATTATGCGTGTTCAAACGATTTAGTCACTCAGTGTGATGTAGATCGCTGCGTTTCGACTGCTCGTTCGGTTTTCCATTCTGTGGGAAATTTCAGAGGGATTTAGTGTGAACCATAGGCCTAACTGTAAGAATAGAGTTGAATTTTCAAATCTATCTAGCGTAGTGTGGAAGGGGCCTGAAAGAAATAAAAAAACGTTTTTGAATTGGTTTAGTTTAGTGTGAACCGCATGATATATTCATCTTTTGGCGTTTCAAAATGTCTCAGTTCAGTCAGTTGACGGCAATTTACTGGTCAGGATTAATGTAGGCGGAGGTTGATATGCAGCTTGTCAGTTTTGTTTTTTTAATGCGCTTCGGCAGTTTCTTTGATCCAAAAATTGTATAAGGGTTCCCGGAGCGATATTTGTCTTGCAATTTCTAGTCTATTCCAGCAGTTCCAATTTCGCTTTTTTCTCTTCACGGTCAGAAGCCATGCGGCCTCATGGAGTTTCTCTTCTTCTTCTTTTTTTTTTTCGTTCAGAAAAAATGGGCTTCACTTAACACGTTTAAAATATCGGTCTAAACATTGGTGCTTTTTTTCTTGTAACGAAGGATTTTTGCCCTTGTTTTGTGCGTCTCCAGAGAAAGTGTCATTGTTTCTCTGTGTCAATACAAACTTTGTTCGTTCCATCTGCCAATTTCGGTCGCACATTATCCTCCCACCTATATCTCCTCTAATTGTGATAAATCCGGACAAGTAAGACAGGTTATTAGCATTCATTTTGAAAGCCTTGTTGTCTGTTTTCCTACACTCCTTCCGCTCAAAAATTGTCATATTAAAGAGGCATGAAGTAGGACCTGGTGTTTTAGTATGATGAACGACTATGAATAATTTATCAACTGCTATTGCCATCAATGGTTCCAAACTACACGGCAGTTATTCCAAACGTTGTCCTTAAATAAATAACGCTACTTTTTCATTTCGTTAAACGTTAATTTATGAATTTTGAATAAAAACACAGAGAAAAGCTTTTTGTGACGTGTTGTAGCTTATCTGTTTATCTAAACTCCCTTGCTAAGTTTTTAATACATATCTTTTTGGACGCGTGTTTAGAGCCTATCTTCAAGTAATAAACTGAAAAGAAACCACAATGAAATCGACAATAACGAATGCAGTATGTCAATAACAGTACAAAGAACAACAGATATTCCTATTTGCAATATTTGTCAGTTACGTCCGATGTAAAAGACCTGCTCCAATTCATAGTCATGTCTTTTTTTCCCGGAAAATCGTCGGTATAATTCCCTTCAAAGCCATTTCTTCAGCAACAAATTAACTCGGAACTCCCCGCTTATTTTCTTCCTCCTCTATTAAAGCGTTTGTTCGAAAAATAGCCAGACTGGTCAGATTAGAGTCACGTCGTTGCATGTAATTGCAATTCAGCAGACGCCGTAATCCAGACTTGAGGTTACCGCCAAAATACCCATATAACAAGGGATCCAGTGCAGCATTTAGGCATATCAGAAGTTGGGATGCTCTCCAAACGAGACCCGGGGAAGCCAAATGAAAGTAAATTAATGTTCGCGTGATCATGAAGGGAGACCAGCAAACAACAAAAGCTATAGTTAAGGCAGCAAGAGTCTTTGCAATTTTTTTGTTTCTTCGATTTGATTTCTCAATAAATGAGTTGCTTATCACCTCAACTCTTGAACGAAGAGCGCGTTTAATCTGAGTCTGAGTGAAAATCATATACGCCAGGGGGGCAATGAAGAATAATGTTGCATGCAAACTGTAATAGATTTGTCGGCCATCATTTCCCCATGTGGTATTAACACAAACCACATCGCCACTTTGTATTTCGACGCGGTATATGTGAACCAAGGGTGTGCAAACCGCTAAGCATAGAAACCAAATTAGGATAATTTTCAAAAATTCTCTTCGTGGCCAACTACCAACTCTTGAATTAAATGGATCAGTAATAGCCTTCAACCTCTGATACGTTATCACTGCAAGTGTTGTGATCGAAACGGTGTAGGTTGCTTCCACAAGAAATCCGTGAAGTTTACAGGTGACGTCGCCACCCACCCAACGCCAAAAAAAGCTGATAATATTAAAAAACGTTAGAAAAATAAATAAGAGATCCGCAGACGCTAAATTTGCCAAGAGCCACATCACAGGAAAATATCTTCTCTTCAGGGTCGTGTAGCAGGTTTTTATAACCCATATGTTGCCAACGATTGACAAGATTGAAACAGCGCTATAAAATATGCTGAGAAAAACCAACACAAAAAGCGGAAAACCATCGCTGGTCGCCATCGTGTTTCCTGATAATGGATTAACAGCTCAACATGCATATACTTTAAGAAGACAACTCAGTCAGTAGTTTCACTCGTACTTCTCTCTTGCTTTCCAGTTGAAATTTCTGGCGGGAAAACTGGAGAGACCAGGCCTAAACTCAACGCTTTTTTCCAGAGTGCTGTTTCACAACTTGATCGATCATTCTGCTTTTCTTCTCTGGCTCCAGTTTAAATTACATTTTATGTTACGTATAACTTTTCCATTTCCCCTGTCACGTCATCAAACTACAAATAAAAGCCTTATAAACCGGCTGTGTGTGATTATCTTTTTTGTTTACTTCACACTGCGCTACCTCTCGTGAATTACAGTCCTTGGACACGACTTGAATAAATAATGTATGTCACTGTTTGACACCTGTGTACGGCTCTTTATTTGTTTTTTTAACGAGGAAACTAACATGTTTTCCGTTATAGCAGTTACCTTTAATTTAAAATACCTCTTGTTTAGAATTTCATTCACGCTAGAATATCTGTTGTCTGGTATATTTTTTCTAAAAAAAAGCCGTACTAACCTAATATTTACTTGTTCAAATAGTACTAACTTAATATTTACTTGTTCAAATAGTACTGCAAGTGTTTTATGGTGAAGGGAGCGAATGATGAAAGATTCCTTTCTTGAATAATAATAATAATAATAATAATAATAATAATAATAATTCAGCATTTCGCAATTATTCTGGGGTACAACCACCTGATCTCAGTACAGATCATAAAACTTGCCTTGAGGGGGTATTGTTTGTAGCTATATATTTTCCTGCCCATATGACTTTTCATTTTCCCTTTAATTGTCATTTTTTTTTTCTTTTCTGCTAATGGAACAGCTGATGATTTTGGTAATAACTTTGTGTGACTGTTTGTTTATTTCTTTGTAATTCCTTTTATGCAGTTACACAAGTCGCCGATGGGAGGTAGCCTGCGTGGCAGGCGCAAAAAGGGGAGGGGGGAGGGGGAGGGGGAGAAAAGCGCGAAAGCTAATGTGAGCACCATAGTACGTGTTCTCATTAAGTCCGTTTTAGTTTATGACAGCGAATTCTATGACTTGTCCTAAGTTACATGGAAGGCTTCAATGTCGAGATATTTATGTCAATTTTTGCTTACTCTGGGTGCCAGAGTTTTTTTCTCCTACTCTGGGGTGACGGTCTCGCCGCTGGTGAGCGAGAAATCCTCTGGCATCCAGGATAATTTTCACTTTGAACGCGTTGACATTCTTCAGGGGCCATTAGAAGTCTGTCCTGAAATTTACGAACCGCTGGCTTTATACGTCTGGACTGGTCATGTACATGTCGTTTGAGACTGACAAGTCGTCTATAATTTCAAAACAGGATAAACATATTTTAAAATTTTAAAGAAAATGTTCTTTTCTTGTCTGATTTTGTCAGTTTCGTTTCTTCCGTCTACCAAGTTCAGTTCCTAAGTCAATTTAAGATTTGCTCGTCTAGAACAATATATCGCCAATATTCCGACTTCAAATCACCCCCAGACGTACAAATGGTTGAGGAAGTGTCCGATCAGACTGTACGAACGCTAAACATCTTCTTGAATGTGTGAAAACGGCCATTATGTTATAGGGTCATTTCTTCTGAAATAAAATCTGCTTTCGCAGTGAGATTTTTATCGGACCTTACTGATTGCTTGTTTATACATCTAAAAGGAACTTAATTTTGAAATACAAACGGGCCACCCTAAAAAGAAAACTGTGTCTTGGAGCAGCGGCAACTTGTACATGGTTACGCAATAATTTATAACAACATCAATTTGACTACATTTAACACTACACTCTTGGAACATGTTTCCGAAAATGGTCTCTTTTCCTGCATAGGAAATTGGTCTATATTTACACAGGAATTCAGTCTATGGAATCATATGTGATGATTCATGTGATAATGTCATAGCCTTGACAAATCATAACTATGCTGCTAACTGAGCACATACAATCATTTCACAATCATTGGCATGATGCAATGTGTACAGTTAGAATCATTTCTGGAATCATAACATGATTTTACATGTACACATAACAGCATCTCTAGCATCATAACATGATTTTATGTGCACACATAACATCATCTCTGGAATCATAACCTGATTTTATGTGTACACTTAGAATCATTTCTGGAATCATGACATGATTTTATGCGTGCACATAACATCATCTCTGGAATGATAGCCTGATTTTGTGTGTACACATAACATCATCTCTGGAATCATAGCCTGATTTTGTGTGTACACATAACATCATCTCTGGAACCATAGCCTGATTTTGTGTGTCTACATAACATCATCTCTGGAATCATAACATGATTTTATGTTTATTATTCTAAAGAAAGAATGCTTTGGTTTGGTTTCAAAAGAGTAGGAAATTGACGATCCTCCTCTCGGATTAGGGAACCCCAAAGTTACTCTTTGTACCAAGAGAGGATGAAGGACCTCGGACGAATTCCGGCCATTAACCAAAAAGTCGCCCTGATTTCTTTTAATGTGCGTGCGCTAAACACACGTGAAATTATGCGCAGTAAGGATGCTCAGGCTTTTCCCCTAAGGCATTGATTTATTGGCGTTTAATGTTTATTAAGTGGTAATGAAAAGAGCCGAAATTTATATTTAAAAAGAAGGTAATCGACTAAAGAACTAGTCAATTAATAGGTAAAAACGCTGACGTTTGAAAATGATTAATGAGTGAAAACTAAGCAATGTGGCTACAAATTTGTGAGTTATATAGTGTCTGATAAGTGAAGAAGTGGACTAACAAATTATCAATAGCAGTTATGTGATATTTACTTCATTTGTTTTTAAAGAAGGAACTGGAACCATCCGCCATTTAAGATCCGCCATTTTGAATTAATTTTTTAATAAATTTTTAATTTTACTTTAAACACGTGTAATTGGAGTAATCGTGATAGAAAACTGATCTGTGCATAAAAGGATGCTTAATAACAACAAAATCTGCATTTTTTATGCAATTCTGACACTGTTGAAAATTGAAGCCAGCATCTTCTATTTGGTCATTTTAAATTCATGTTTTTTTTTTCTCTCAAATTAGTGACTAAAATGGCTTGATTGCATTGCACTGCGACCAGGAAAGCCGTAAACAATTGAAATATCTCGTTTATTGTGTTATGACCAATCGCAGCAAAGATCAAGACAAACCACGGGAAAGCCAAAATAATAATTCTTTCTTCCTCGAATAAGTTAAAGAATAAATCAAAGAAACCCAAGTGATCTCGAGATATCTCGAACTAATTCGGCTCTCACTTTGTCAAATACCCGAATAAGACAAAAAACCTACAGACTTTGGGTGCCTAATCTTGTCCGGACGTTCCTGAGCGTCGCGAATCCTTTACTTCGCGCTCTTCCGAAGTAATAGGCCATTTTCACGATGACGATGTTTAACTACAACTACCAGAATTCATTTCGTCTTTGCTTTCTTATTTAAATTTTCAATTCCACTGATGTTTAAAGAATAATAGCCCTAATTTGCTCAAGAAAAAAACAAACTGAAGGATTCTGGTAGTTGACAGTAGTATAACGACGTGATCGTGCAAGTGTCCTATTAGGTGTAACACTCTATTAAAAAAATAGCAATAAACTTTTTTATTGGAGTAACGATGCTAATTTTGAAAAACATGCTTGTCAAAACTTGGTTTCCGTGGTAACATCAATGCTGACGTACACGTAGCGATGACTTTAAAATGTTCCCAAATAAATTTTAGACTGAAAGGTTGCAAGTTTTGGCTGCCATAGCTTGAATGGTTTTGAAGTTATTCGACTTTTTAAAGGAGGGCGCCTCAGAAGATCCTCGGTCTGAATACGGTTACCTTTGCCTGAATCTGAATTCCTTTCTGATTTGTTTAAAATCTTAATCTTAGTGTTCGATTTACATGGTTCAGTTAAATTTAGAGAATGGACCGACACAAAAATTAAGGTTTACATCACATATTACTATAATTTGATGATCTTGAGTTATGTTAGAACAAGTTCCATTTGTGAGTTTTGGACAGCTGATCCTATACTTTTCAGACTTTGTTGACTTTGTTTTAATCATGCTTAATAACTTGATTGATCTTTCTTTTTGCTTTCATGATAGGATACTAAGAACTTGAATTTCCATTTAGTCTCGTCTTCGATAGCTCATAGTGGAATCTATTTAACCCAAATTATTATGCGCCAAATTTTTATTAAGTAGTTGTTATTTGTTGTTCGTGCAACGAGTATACGAGTTTTGCTAATTAAAATCATTTATCTGCACTATTCCGGTAAAGCTAAACAGAAGTCTGAATCCAATTCAGTCTCAAATTCATCAAATTTCATACTATGAAATAAAAAGAAATTTATGTTTAAAAAAGTGTTGTAAATCAGATAAAAAAAAATTCTCTATTTTTGTATCCTTCTAAAATCATTTTGTTTGAGGAGCTATATCGTACATTCGACATATATATATATTTCAGCAAAAATATCACACAATTTGTCATTCGTTTAACGGATGTAATCAGATTGTTTTAGAATGTTAACATCACTGTACTAATACGGACTCCTCTTGTCGACTGCGCGTGCTCTAAGCCTTACTTCAATTTTTGACGTAAAAAATTTTTCGGATGGTTCGTAGTGTTACAGAAGACGCTATAAGATTAAGTCTAAGCCCAGATTTCCCACTATTTCGTGCAACCAATGACTGGAGTTCGACAGACTAACGTTTTTGTTTTATTAATGTACAGACGAGCGAGTAGTTTTGCTGTTTTCACAAACCGTTTCCACTGACACGGTCCATGAATAAGGGCATTCTATCCTGCCCGATGGAAGGGTGCCCCAGAGGCTGTCAAACTCAGACCCTGTTTACTGGACAAGAAAGTTCATTTTGCTAGCCTTTACTATCATTTTACTGTTATCCTGTTTTATTTCAGTTACGAATTATATGTACAGCATTAAATAAGTTAAACTAACATCATGGAGTTAGTTTTGGTAACACAAATGTAGACCACTTATCGCCAACCTTCTCACCCGGGGTCTTTTAATGGCTTCCGGTCCAAACTGTGACACTTAAAAAATTGGCTAAATCATAGTGTGCACCCTGTTGAATACTGAAAGGCCCTGAAAAACCTGCTCAGTGGCACATATACACCTGTATCTGTTTAGGCTAAATAAGAAAGTGGCCCACGATGCTAGCCTGCGTCACGGAAGGCCCATTCAGGTCCAATACTGTCGTCTTGATACGAGTGGAAAAATACTTTTCACAACTTGTACGAACTCAGTCCCAATTTCTGGTTTAGTTCACCTGCGAAACAGCGCCAAAATCCTTGTTCTGGGTCGCCAGCTGTCTACCAGGATTTGAGTACGCGCTATGATTGGCCCGTTAGAAAAGCATTTGTCGATTTGCCGATCAGGTAAAAGGGAAATTCAAAGGAAGAATTTCCGTTAATTCATTGATTCCTTTGGGAGCTCAGAACAAAGGCCTCGCTGCTTCGCAGACGTTACCACCCGCGGTAAGATTGCATCTGCGACGCAGGCTACCCGATACCTTCCTTAGTCTGATGATACTGGCAGGCGCGAATCTAGAATAAATGCTGACGGATTTCCTAAACGAGCTCCGGAGGCTCAAGTTTCTAGGGGTTTCTAGGGGAATGCTCTCCTGGGAATTTTTTTTTATTTTAACTCCCTAAAGTCCCCTTTCCTGGGTTTCTGAGTCATTCAGATAGGATATTGGCAAGTTCCATTCTCCTCAGGTGAAACCTTGCAACTTGGAAAGATTTTTCTTTATCAAAAATGTTTCAGTATTATGATTAATCGGACCGATTTCCGTAAAATGGTGGAAACCGGCGTGGATCCGCGCCTGACTGGTGTCCTGTTCTTTTTTCTTTTAGTATTTTATACTTTTGTTTTATTTTTAAGTTCCTCTCATAGAGAGTCAACTTAAAGAAGTAAAGAAAGGCAGGGAAGATGAAATGTCCTGGCCGGTCTGATACACCTATATTATCACAGCACTAGGTGATAAATGTTAAACATCGATAAATTCTGCTCCAAAAAAGTAAAGGGTTAAGAGTCATTAGTCAAGTCACAATCGTCTTGAATACATGGTAATTTTTATCTTTTTACCTAGTTAAATTCTTCTCTAAGCTGATTTCCTTTCTGATTTGTTTAAAATTTAATACATAGTGTTGAGCTACTTAGTACAAGACTAAATTCAGCGAATAGACCGACATAATTAAGGTTCACATAGCTCCAATTTGGTGATCTTGAGTTATGTAAGAACGCTCACGTTCTTTTATTACAAGCTTTTAACAGTGATTGTCAGTGGATCTTCTACACTCCCTCAGTCGTTTTTGAATAATGCTCTTTTACTGAGCAGTCTTTCAGTTCGTTTGTCTTTGTTGTATTCCATTGTTCGCCGTTCAAGGTCTTTGTTGGAATACAGTCAAAGGCGTCACATTAGGGCGTCGCCGTTGTAAGCAATTACACCCCAGGAGTCCTGTTTGTAATACACTTTTAAGGTTTCCGCCAAAGTACCCGTATAACAAGGGATCCAATGACACGTTTAGGCAGATCAAGAGTTGAGATCCTCTCCAAATAAAACCATATGGAGCTAAGTGAAAGTAGACAAGACGCTACGAAGCGTACACTTCGGCGTCGTGGTTGTGGAACCAATTAATTGTAAATGCGGAGGAATAGTAAGAAATCAAATATGGTTAGAGTAAGGTGTTAATTTGTGAAATTATGGGATTTGTCAGGATATTCTGAAAAGAGCAACATCCAAGAGGCCTACTTGCCAAAAACTAGCTGGGGACAAATTGTCTCCGAGATATTAGCCCAGTTGTGCTCTGATGACTCCATACAAATCCTTCTAAAAAAACAATTCTCTATTTTTCTTAGTCACATCAGGCTTCAAAGACAGCATAGCAGTCTCATGTACTGATTAAAGATATGTAAGGCATGGGTAAGCAGTCAATTACGTTGAGCATGGAATTGGCTAAAACTCAAACTCACGGGTTCGAATGTTTTGAGGATAATTATTCACTGACTATCAGCATGCAGGGATGTCGGATTAACACAAGGAAGTTTAGCACCAAAGGAACATAGCCTTTACAGAGCTTTAAAACACAGCATCCACCAACACAAACTTGACTTGAACTTTGAATAAAACTAAACAGCCTCTACCAATATTAACAAACTCTCACTTGAACTTCAGATATCTTACGGCTTCCGCGAACTTGTAAACACAATACCTGAAAATCGACCTTCGTCACACTTTACTAAACACAGCAGCCCAGCTCGTGGGAAAAACACTTAGTTCTTCAAAAGAACTCGCTTGGAACTTGCATACCGTTTGACATAAGGTTCTAGAGAATACTAAAGTAGTAGTAGCTTTTCGACATATTTTAAGATTTCAGTAACTGATGCAAATCTGCTGACTCATGGAGAAATGTAAACATGCCCTAATTAATTATTCATGGCTAATCCAAAAACGTAGAGAACGTTCGAGAAAGTCACGCAACGCATGAAAGCAATTTGACTACGTAACACTCAACAAAGACAAAATGTCTTTTTGCAGCATTTTGTAACTTTAAATTCATCATAAAACAGTTCGAAAGGAGGGCTCACTCGTGAAATGTTTTTGAACACTCGAAGAGAAATTTCGTGTCTCTGCGCGGCCACGTAATATCCTCTATTTATTCCTCGAGTAATTAAAGACTAAACTCGAAGTGATCTCAAGATATCACGAAGTAGTCCGGTCTCATTTCGTGAAATAGTTGAAACAAGCCGAAAAGTCACGAACTTGCACGCCCAATCTTGTCCCGAAACTAGTGCATCATTTCATAACTATTTTTCATATTCCAAACTACCTTGGGTCGCAGTAGCGCAATCGGCTAATCCCTCAACTTAGAGTCTCCTCTGATCTGACGGGTCACACAGGTGAGTCGGTTCAAACCCCGGGAAAGCCAAAATAATAATTCTTTCTTCCTCGAAAAAGTTAAAGAATAAATTAAAGAAATCGAAGTGATCTCGAGATATCTCGAATTAATTCGGCTCTCACTTCGTCAAATAGCCGAATAAAACCGAAAACCTACAGACTTTGCATGCCCAATCTTGTCAAAAAATTGTAACTTTGATACATTCCTGAGCGTCGCGAAACCTTTACTTCGCGCTCCGCCGAAGTAATAAGCGTTCGTGTGACCATAAAAGGGAACTGGCAGATAGCAAACGCTGCGGTTAATGCTGCCAGTGTTTTGGCAACTTTCCTGTGTCGTCGATTAGACCTCTCAATAAAATTATTGTTAATTACCCCAGATCTTGAACGAAGAGCGCGAAAAATCTGAGTTTGAGAAAAAATCATATACGACAAAGGAATGATGAAGTACAGAATTGCATGCACACCATAGAATATTTGTCGGCCAATTCTTCCCCATGTGGTATTAGTACAAAGCAATTCACCGTTTTCTTGTGTTTCCACGCGATAAATGTGAACCAAAGGTGAACAGACCGCCAAGGAAAGGACCCAGATTGCGACAGTTTTTAGAAATTCTTTTCGTGGCCAGCTATTAATTAGTGCATTAAAAGGATCAACAAAAGCCTTCAATCTCTGATAGCTTACCACCAGAAGCGTTGTAATTGAAACGGTGTAAGTTGCTTCGACGAGAAAGCCATGAAGTTTACAGGTAACGTCACCGCCTATCCAACGCCAATAAAAGCCTATAGCATTTAAAATGGTGAGAAAAGTAAACAAGAGATCGGCAGAAGCTAGATTTGCCAAGAACCACATCACAGGAGAATGTGTTCTCCGCAGGGTGACATAGCAGGTTGTTAGAACCCATGTATTACCAACGACTGACATGATGAAAACAGCGCTATAAAATATGCCGAAGAAAACCACCAGAGAAAGCGAGAAGGAAGTACTATTAACCATAGTTGAGATTGTTCAAATCGGTGTTTTGGCATCGAATAATTTGAACGTATTTTATCCTAGGATCAGATATTATTAACAATAACCTCTTAAATTTTCTATTTTCATCATTGTCGCTCTTAGCTCAAAGTAGTACAGTAGACCCGGTAGTAACTCAAACGCTGAAGGGAAACGAAAAACAGTTCGAGTTAGCGGGGTATTCGAGTTACTCGAGTTCTAGTTATCGAGGTTCTACTGTAATACATTTTAACCATTTTTGCGCCTGTAATTAATTTCTTGTTTGTCGGCGATGAGTACACGAGATTTGTTAAATCTAAACTCGTGCAGTAATTTTCGCTGAGGCGAAAACAGAAGTTTGTATGACTCCAACTTCTTATGAACTCATCAATAATTCACACTTTTTGTCTAATAATCTAAAGAAATTACAGTCGAAGCCCTCCTTGTGACCTCTCTCGTAAGCGACCGCAGCTTTTGTTACGACCTGATTCTTTGTGGAACTCCATTTGAACTGTGACTTAACCTTTGTAATGAAAAGCTCTCGTAAGCAGCGACCGCTCCCGTACGCAAACGCGACAACTTTTTGGACTACCCGACTGGACTTTTCCTTTGTTTTACAGCTCTCGTAATCGGCCACTCAGACTCGATACAATCGGAACTTTGAGTTTATCAAATGGCTTCAAAAACGTCTGATGTAGATCAACTCATTCTAATGCACTAATAGTTAGATTTGGGGTTATTCGATCTAGTCTAAGAAATTGGACGTAAAGTTTAACCGTGTTTGTATCAGATATAATGACACTCATTAAATATTGAGACGGAGTCCACCAGGAAATTGTAATGAGTAATTTTAATTTTCAGCATGTTCAGTGGACAAGAAACCTTGTACCAGAATAATTTAAAGAATATTTCATTCTTTTCCAAATTTTTCAAGGGCTAAAGATGTAATTTGTCATCTGTAATGACACCAAAGAAAATTTCTCATGGGAGTCCGAGAGAGCCGGGCTACCCAAGCGAAGTTTGGGTATAGATGTGTGCAGCTGATGCCTTTGAACCTTTATGCTCCAAGATCAAGATACAAATTCTTTACTCTGGCTAGGCTTTTGTACATTATGCTAGCATTTTTTCGAGCATTTTAGTGAGGCAAAAGCGTTGAGCATTATTCGAGCATTTTAGTGGCATTTTCCCCGGAAAATTAATTTTTCCCAGAAAAAAAAAAATAGAAATTAACCTTTTTCAGGAGCCCATGCCCCATGAGCTCCTGCTTTTTTAAACAAAATGTTTTTTTTGGCCGTATTTATGAACTTGTACACGTTTTCGTTGTTACTTGCAACACTTGCACGTTTTTGTAAGTATAAACTTTGAAATTAATTAAAGAAAACCGTTTGTATAATGAGCTTTATCCGAGCATTTTAGTGACTTCATTTTGGGGAGACCGAGCATTTTAGTGGGAAAAATGGAGCCTTAAGGTGGAGCATTTTAGTAGGGAAGCAAAAGCATAATGTACAAAAGTCTAACTCTAGCCTCCATAAATTTCTTGAAAAATTGGTTGAGAGAATTTGTTGAAAGATCAAAGCATATTTCCTTGTAATAAGTGATAATTTATTAATTCTCATTACCTTTCTACTTGATTATACACTGATAATGTTAGAAGAAAACTGATGTTGGTCACTCGTGGGACATAAGGGATTAAACCGTGTGTCCTTTAAACTCTTTCATTCCGCTACCGTGATTAGCCTGCGTAGCAGGCGCTTGGAAGTAGTGGGTACAAGAAAAAACGGGCGCGCGAGAAGGAGACACGCGAGGGGAGACCTTACTTTATGACCATGTTTTATTTCGTCTCGCATACGGAATTAAGTTGTTTTTTTAACTCACATCCTGGAATTTGTGTTTTGTTTTGGAAAAACATTTTTGGTACTGCAAATGCAAACCACTTTATCGCCAACCTTCCCACTCTTTTCAAAACTTTTGGCCCAAAAAGACAACCGTTCAACTGCTTCCCAAACTGGCCTAAAGAAGTTATGATAAGCTAGAAAGTTCGCATGGTCAGCTTGACCGTTACTACATAATTCTCACAAGGACTACCCTGGCTCTAGAGGTGCGCTCTCGAACTGAATACCTAGTATGAAATAAAGCGTGCCAACATGCTTCGCTGCGAAGCATCAGGAATTAGATAAGAATAAAATAACCTCTGGAACCCGGAATACAAAACCACTAACACAGTTTGATTAAATAATCATGAAGCTTTTGTTAACTCTAAGTTGATATACGAGTAACAGAACTACGAGAGAAGAAGAAGAAAAAAACGTGGTTTGCAAAGTGACACACTCACCTGGCGATAGACCCTGGGGGGGCGGGGGGGCACTCCCATACATTACCTACACGGGTATGTGCCGCCCAACGGGGTCGTGATTTTGAAGCTCCTGATTTAGAACGGGGTATCCATTTCAGAGGCGTTTTCTAGAACGGGGTATAAAAAATTGTGGATCAGATTATGAAGAAGCATTTATTTGATGTATAAGTTGAACAAATAAAAAATATCTTTTTTAAAAAACAGGGCTATTTCAATTTACAAACTTTCTAGAACGGAGTACAAAAAATTGGCCCAGTTCTAGAACGGGGTATCAGTTTTAGGTCGAATTCTAGAACGGGGTACAAAAAAATCGGCCCATTTCTAGAACGGGGTATCAATTTTAGGGGAAATTCTTTTTAGAACGGGGTACCAATTTGGAGTCCCGGGCGGCACATACCCACCCAAAAAATACCCAAGTGCCCCCCACCCCCCGTGCGATAGACCAATCATTACTAGTGTCACGCTAGTCACCGACTTGTATTCCCAGATTATTACCAGTGGCGGATTACGATCTTCAAGCAAGTGGGATGACCCACTCATTCAGAGCCTAAGACAAGAGGGGATTCGTCCTAAAAATAATTTCTTGGCCCTGCGGGCTTCAGTATGACATGGTATGACATAAAAGTAAGAAGTGTGCTCATAGGCCTTGGGCCCCTCCCAGCCCACAATTCGTTCCAATTGATTTTTAAGGCCGGCAAAGCTAGGCTTAAATTTCGGTAACAAATTACATTAAAAGAAGAAAAATCACTGTCTTACTTACATTTCAAGGTCGCCAAAACTCACATAGATACTGGGTATTAGTCGTCGTAACCTAAACTTAAACTGCCTGACCTTGTTTTCAGATCCGCTCCATAAATTCCAGTCGCTGACGATCTACATACATTTTGTTTCGTGATGAAAACAAAATCCACTTGTTCAGACAGTCCGCAGAATTGAGATATACTCATAACCCAAGCGCTGCCCTAGTAAATGATCAGTGAAATCATTAATGAGTAGAGACAACTTAGAGACGACTGGGGACGAGTCAGCCGCAAGATGTCTGTCCGGAGTCAGTAGGGTGCTTGTAAGCAACGACGTTTTTGAGCGACGCACGTGAACCGGAAGTGAACCTTATTCTCTTTTTAACATGCCTTGACGCTTCCAAATTTGTATTGCTAAGAGTCTTTTCTCTTATGGAGACGATTTGCCTAAACATTTGTTCAAAACCATTGTTCAAGAGCGCAAAAAGTCCACTTCCGGTTGACGTGCGTGCCAAGGTCGCTGCTTTCAAGTCATCTATCAACAACCCTTGTTCCATAAAAATGGGAAATACTGTGTAACGCACCATCCACGGAGAACCCTTGGAAGCTGTTGATCACCACTAATGCCTTGGAGTTGATATACATGTATCCAGTGATCTAAATTGCTGGAATTATAGGCAAAGCCAACAGATCTCTTGGCTTTATAAGAAAAAACTTAAGTAAATGTCCAGAAAACGTAAAACAGCAAGCCTATCTTGCTTTAGTTAGACCACAGCTTGAATATATGGATGGTGCGCATGGGATCCGCACATTCAAAAACAGATAAAGGACATTGAGGGAGCACAGAGACGAGCGGCACGTTTTGTTAAAAATGAATATGGCACAACTCCTGGAACTATTGCTGGTTTTCAGTGTCACGCCGTTCAAAATAGATCAAAATAAAAATCAAAACCGTTCAATAGATAAAGTCCACAATCTGGGAAATGAAAAGAGGGACATATACAAAGACCCTCGCCAAGATTCAGGTCAGAGGAGTATTTCGTATACGAGATATCCGAAGAAATGTTTTACCCAAACTTATAGAGATTTGTATGGAGACGCCATGCTGGTACTCACTTGGTCACTTGGATGAGCTCCAACCGGCGGACGGAAACCAACAGAAACATCTGTTACCAAGTTTTGCTACAAAAGCGTGAATTTATTCTTCGAGAAACTCATAAACATTAAAGTAATAGTTTTTCTAGTACATGAACTGTTTACATAGCAAAATTTCCTGAAATAAGTCATTTTTTTAACCTACATGAAAGCTCTCTTGGCCGTCATGTTATTTCCGCGTCAAGCAAAAACTTAGAAATTCAAGCGTACTCTATCACAAAACCAAGAACCCTTTTGAAGCGAAAATTTGTATGAAAATTAGTTTTCAGCTGCTCTAGTGCACCGTGAAAGTAAAATCTTGGTAGGAGCGATAGTTTTTTAGTTTGAATTTTAGTGACGTCATGTGAAAACCAAAATTTGAATGATTTGAATGATTTGAAATGGCGAACACCCGAGAAGTTTCTTAAGGTTTATCATTTGCATGTAGTTCTGATCGCAATCCGCTAAAAAAGGAACAAATATGTAAATCATTATACTTCACAGGTGTTTTCAATACATTAGATTCTCATTATTTTTTTACGAGAACCAAAATAGAACAATGAGTCATCTATATTCACCCATGCGCAAATAACCCCTAAATGATTTTGAAATTTCTTAACGGCATCGTAGTTAACGATCATGGATCGCTTGTGTTTAACGATACCTGATGAAAGTTACTGCTGCTAAAACTGTTCCTTCTATTTCAAGGTGGTATAACATTAGAACTGTATCAAAAAACACAGCGAAGAAATTCAACTCGCGAATCAATATGGAACTGA